GGGCTTGTCGCCGAGGAGAAGCGCCAGAGACGACCACGAAGCGTTTCAACAGGCTTATAGGGAACAGAGGAGATTTGAACGGTAAGGGAACCGGGCGCCGACGGCTTCATGGCGGGGTTGTCGAACATGCTGATGAGGGACGAGGTATATTTGCTGAATATATGTATATATAATTGCGGTCTTCGGTGCTGAACATGAGCTTGGGCTATAAACGCATTAGCAGGTCAGCTGACATAGATCGGTGTGCATACCTACCGTCACGCCAGCCGCCTGCTGAGTTTTTGCCGGCCCAACGCCCTCCATTGTAGCTGGCCGAGGGCAATCAGAGCGCCACCAGATACGGATCGTGTAACGACTCGGTAGGAGTCCATCTTCAGTTGGAGCTTGCCTAAGTTGATTGCAGGGGGATTGTATCGACGTATCGGCGGTCCGACCCTTTTCTCGCGTTGAGAGATAATGCGGCTGCGGTCGACATGTGCAGCCACGGGGATATGATCGCCGAGGCAGTAGTAGTGGCATGGAAGAATGACACTGCGATGGCCACCAAGATGCAGGTAGAGATCGCAACTACGGGTGTCAAGGTTAGGTTGCGCCACTTGGCCGTGTGCATCGACTCACCGCCAATACAATGGTGAAGGTTCGAGGCCAAGAAGCCCACGTATTGATCCCTCCTTTACCATCCACAAGTGTCGATTGCCAAAGAAGTAGCGCTCAAATTTCCGTACTCGATAGGCATCGTCGGTCGGCGAGAGATGCATCATGGCCGGGGGGGCAGGACTGCATTGGCTGAATGTGCACGACAAGATCTCAAGATGCAGTCTCGTCCACAGTAGAGGCTCGATGAGAATGCGCTTCCTCGGTTGGCGAGCCGACTCGTAGATGGAAAGGGCCTCTGCATTGACGCGTTGATTCGAGCTCGGCGGCTGTTCCATCTTGACGGAACTTGTGTCGAGCGAGCCATGGGGAACGGATGGCAAAGGAGAGAGAGGAGGGCGCCAATATAGCCGCTCCCGTCACTTGGTCCGATGGCGGATCAACTGGCGGGCCGAAAGAGGGAAATGCAACACATTAACGTACCCCTGCGTCATGCAACGCACTAGGTCATGCGACAATTTTCAACACCTGACGCGTCTTCTTCAAATTGACGCGATATGGACCACAACACTCGTATTGCAGAGGCAATTATAAATGCAATCCCAAGATCGCCCTAAATATGCAGAGACCGCGAGGAGATACAATATCGACAAATCCACGCTGTGGCGCCGCTTCAAAGGCAAAACAGCCTCAAATCACGACGCGAACTCTTACTCGCGACAGAAACTCACCAGCGCGCAGGAGGAGATTCTTATTGGGCACGTCAATAAGCTGACCGACCGTGGTATCCCGCCTACCCTCAGATGTTGAAGAATATCGCCGAGGAAATCGCAGGGACAGAGCTTGGTGTCAACTGGGTGAGCCGCTTCAAGCGACACCATGACCGTCTTTCGAGCTTGTATTTGCGCACCATAGATCATCAGCGGAAGGCTGCTGATAATTCAGGCATTTCAAAACTTCTTCAATCTAGTAAGACTGCTTTTTATCGTCATTTCAAGGGTATACTGCCGACAATACTCGGTCAAATGCCGTAAAGTCGCCATTTCTGACCGAATCCAACTAGCTCCGCGAAAAGATCGAAAAGTACAACATCAGTCCTCAAATGTTTATAATTTTGACGAGAGGGATTCCAAATTGGTCTCTCTCGCTCCACCAAGCGAGTTGTCCCCGAAGCCCTCAGGCGCGGAAAACTGGTCAGGGCAAGCCAAGACGGGAACCGGGAGATCATCACGCTGATCGCTGCCATATGTGCAGATTATTCGTACCTGCCACCGGCCCTCATTTACAAGGGAGTCAAAAGACTTCCAAGATACTTGGCTTGAGGATTTTGACCATTCCAGCAAGTAGCCTTCTTCGCCAGTACGGAAAACGGCTGGAGCTGTGATGCACTGGGTTACACTGGCTTCAGCGCATATTTGACTGCCATACGAAGCAAAAGGCTGGTCGTGCCTACCGTCTCTTAATTTTAGACGGTCACAATAGTCACATTAACCTGAAATTCATTGACTATGCCGATCGAAATCGAATTCTCATTGCTGTGTTGCCATCGCACTCAACTCATCGGCTTCAACCACTCGATGTTGGCCTGTTTTCCGCACTCTCCACCTATTATGCTCAAGGTTCCGACCAGCTGATGTCCATTGGATGGGGTTAATTCCTATACCAAACGGAATTTTTGGCCACTCTTTCGTGATGCGTGGAACCAGGCATTTACGGCCAAAAATATCGAGGCTGGTTGGCGGGCCACAGTAATGAGGGGCCTCAAAGTCAGCCAATCCGTGACAGCTCCACAGTCACGGGGGCGGTTGACCTAGAAAAGCTCGTTGACCTGGAAAAAGAAAGTACATAAGAACCCCGCCATTTTGCTAGAACAAAAGTACCTCTCTTCCCGCGATAAGTGCAACACATGTTCGCTTTATTGCAAGCTAGTCATAGCAATGCAAATGCATCACCATACTGCCTTTGAGGTGTTTTTGGTGTTTTGGCATCGAATTAAGCTCTATTCGATTTCTTCTTCCCCAGCCTCGAGCGCGTCTTATGATTCCTCTTCATCGCATCTCGATGCCGTCAGCTTCAAGGAAAGTCTGACGGCAAATTGCACGCTGCCTCCATCACCACTAATTCGACTGCTTCCTTTACAATCTCGCGATCATAGTACTCCGGCCACATGATCGCCTTGCTACCCTACGCGCGGTTGTGTAGCTCGCGGAGAATCCTGTAGCTTGCGCACGTCCACTCATTGCAATTGAGGTGTGCGCGCTTGTCGCCCTGGCCCAGAGACCTCTGATGCAGTGTGGCTAACAAACCGACCGTCTGTCAGACGGTCTGAAGGTGGTCTGAGTTGCAGACCGACCGCCCGAAAACCTCAGACGGTCTGGGTCTGATCAGACGGTCTGACCACCCTTAATGTGGGCCCATTACTATGGAGCGGAGAACTTTTGTTCTGCCGACTCAAGCTGTCGCGTTCTCGTTTTCGTGACATTGCCACGCGCTCTTTGGCTTTCAACGGTTATGGCTTGCTTGTAGGGCGGCAGTCCAGCGCTGTCTATCCCATCAGCCTCATACCTCACCGGAGAGAATCCAGATGCCACTCCAGCCACCTCGGAAGCAACAGTCGATGAGCTGGATTCGTCGAGGTGTGACTTCGCAATCGACTGGGATAATATCTGGCACCATGGTAAAAGGCTCGTTGGCGCAAAGCGGCGATTTCGTCATAGGAGGGTGGTCGGCACCAAGATCAAAGAATCATGGATCTACAGATATGGTGCGAATCTTGAGCATGCCGGCGTTCGTTATTGGCTCTGCAGGATCTGTCATTTGAGAAGAAGCTATGCGACAGCTCTGTACGTCTCATCTGGGACATCTCATGCAGCGCGGCATTTGCTTCGTCATCATCGAATTACGGAATTAGGCGAGAGAGGATGATTTCGGCTTGAAATCCGTTCGCTTTGGCTGCAGCATCCGCTTTCTCGAGGTCGTATTCTGTACCTGGTCCGTTAGGTCCGGGTCTACATCTTGCACGCTGCTTTGACGAAGCGACATGGACACGTTTTGTAGATTGGGTCATAGCCGAAGACGTGACCTTCCGTCAAGCGTCGAGCGAGAGGCTCAGATGGCTGTTGGCGAATGGTGGGGAACAAGTCAGCAAGCTACTGCCAGAGCATCACAGCACAATTCGTTCATGGATTCGCGATTCGTACGAAGGGCGTCGACAGGCTATATGCAATCTTATACGAGGATCGAAGAGCTCCGTTCACTTGAGCTTTGATCTATGGACAGCTTCAAATGGATTTCATTACGTCGGGGTCGTTGGTCATTTCGTCGACGGACACGGGAAGAAGCGCGATGTTCTTCTGGGACTGCCGCGCCTGATAGGGCCGCATTCCGGTGAGAACATTGGTCCACACATCAAGAAGGTGATAGACCGATACGAGTTAGGATCAAAGCTTGGGTATTTCATGCTTGACAATGCGGAGCAACGATACATGCCTTCAAACTCTGGCGCAATGGTACCCGATGGACGTGCAGCGACGGCGACTGCGTTGCGTTGGCCACATCATCAACCTGGTCGTCCGGGCTGTCATATTTGGCTCCAATGCTGGAAGTTTGAGTCACAACTTCGAGCTGCGACCGACGAGTTCAAATTTGATGTCTGGGCCAAGGTCGGAGCAGTGGAAAACTTCACAACCTCGCCACGTACATCCGTCGAACGGACCAGCGGCGACAAGCACTTCGACAGTTGCAATCGGAGCTTGCCGGGACGATCCCATCTTTACGCTGGAGATCCTGGTTGATGGTAAAACGAGATGGAGCTCCATTTACATGATGATTAGAAGAGGTAGGCTTCCGTGGTGTCTGAAGCTGCAACCATCTGAACATCGTTGACCGTCAGCAGCGCTCGAGCTTCGGAGTGCTATTGAGCTCTATCAGTCGCGTTGGCAGAAGCTCAGGAATGATGTGGATCGACGTGACATCACCAAGGACTTCCTGAACGCTACCGACTGGGTCGAGCTGCAACGGTTTTTTGACTTTCTGAAGCCCTTTCACATCTTGACCCAGACGATGGAAGGCAACGCCAGTAAGGACGGAGCAGAGGGCGGCCATGGAGCCGTGTGGGAGACGCTGAAGACGATGGACTATCTCTTCATCAAGTTCAAGCAAGCCGCGGAGTTGACCCGACACGAGGATGCCTCACTTCAAATCAGGAATCGACTGTGGTTGGGCGGAACTGGAGGACTACTACCTCAAGACAGATCGGTCCCCTGTGTCGTGCGGCGCTTGCGCTTCCCCTTCCTACGGGTACGATTACTTTGAGCGGCACTGGTCGGAGGGAATGGACAAACCGGAATGGTACAGCGAAATGAAAAGGGCGGTTAGTGACCTTTTCGAGGAATATCGGCAGCAGGCAGAGGTCGAGATACAGGCGCAGACAGGGCTTTTGGACGACGAATCCGACAGGGAGGCCGCCAGTGCCGACAATGACTACAGCTCTTTCGGCAAGAGATCAGTCACTTCTCTCAATGTGCGGCGGAGAAGAGCCAGAACCGTGACCGAGCTCGATCTATTCCAAACTCGGCCAATTTATGTACAGGATCTCGACGTCGCCGACCCGCTCGAATGGTGGCATCAACATCAACTTGAATACCCAGTGCTGTATCGAATGGCGCTCGACCTGTTCTCGATTCCCGGCATGAGCGCTGAATGCGAGAGAGTCTTCAGCCAGACCAAGAGACTGATCACAGACGAGCGCAACAATCTGTCAGAGGACACTGTGGAGGCAGATCAGCTTCAAAAGCAATGGTTATCCAGAGGCCTCGTAGAGTAGAACGAAGTAGCAACATATCTGACGCGTAACTTGGCAGAGAATACTTTGCAAAATGCACACAAAATGCACAACAAAGTATGACTTCTTGTAGCAAATTAAGTAATCAGACCACCTTCAGACCACCTTCAGACCCAGACCGACCGGTGCTCAAAACCCAGACCGACCGACCAAGACTCAGGATTGACCTAGACCGACCGACCGGAGGCCGGTCTGAGTCGGTCGGTTTGTTAGCCACACTGTCGCTGTCTTCGCTACAGCTTGAAAAAGCCGTCGCTGCTCGGGTTAGTCCCAATCAATTTTGCTTCTGAGAGAACTTACAAATGCGTTCTCCGTCCCTCGCGATCAAAACGGCCGTGTTTGTAGAGGGCATTCCGACGAAAATCTTCATGTTCTCGGCCACAGGATATGGTGGGTCTCCTCCGAGTGTGTCTGGGGATCCGAGCTGTCCCTGGAATCGTGCAATCACCTGGAGATCCTGTCGTGATAGTGTTGATGAGCACTCTTTCGCAAATACGTGTGCTCCCTCAAAACTCCCCTCAATCTCCTTGAAAAGTCCCCGCATGATTCCAAAGATAATTGTTTGGAAAGCGACGGTAGGGATCTCCACACCTTCGCCGGGTAAACGACTGGATGTCAGACGGAGGCCCTCGGATTGAGGCATGGCCTCTTCGATTGTGCCATCACTCGCATTGTTCGACTCGCCCTCAGTGTTACCTGAGTTCCCCTATAGCGTCCACGTCAGTCAAAGGTTCGCTGCCGTCATGACAGGTCACGATGGCGTTCTTACTATCGTCCTGGCGCTCAGGCTTTGGAGCAGCTGTCGTGGCTTCGGAGTGTAGCTTGGGTGGTTGCTGGAGGGCGAAGAGCCTCTCGCACATGCGTAGGAGTCGAAAAGAGGATGCTGAGCTTGCGTGTTGAAGGCTGTGTAGCGGATGAAGTGTTCATTGAAGGTTGAAGAAATCTGTGAGTAAATACAGAGAAATGCCACCTTAATATATCACTTCCAAGCTAGTGTCAGAGGCTCCTCAGAGAGCCTTTCAGGGTTCAGGGTTTCTGATGACCCACTTCAACATTGCGACATTGCCTCGACTAGATTTGCTATCACACGCTCGCATGTGCCCGCGGCTATGTAAGTGCCGCAAGATACTCACGACCCAGGAGTCGAGTGTTGATTCAAGGTATGAATGGAAGACGGAGTTGGTAGCAGAGCTGGGAAACAATATGGAAGCCGGAAAGGTGATCATACAAACCAGCAGTTTATGGTGGCGTCTGAGCATCGCGATGTCTCGTTTTCCCACTTTGGGGGTGTCCTGAAGGCTCTCTGGAGCCGCTCCTTTGGAGCTCCTGCTGATTTTCATAACCATTGTATTCAGCCAACATTTCAAAGCGTTGCTCTCGTTAGCCCCAAAATCAGGTTTCGTAAAGGTCGCCGTCTTCCCGAAGTTGATGCCGACGTGGGCGGCCCTCCTTGTCAAGAGGCTCCTCTGCTCAGTCTGCTGCAAGCTTCGCCACCCCAATACTCCCCAGGCATATGCATGGACGTTGCCGTACTAGGGGACTAAAATTGTCCTCATCCCCTCCTTCCAGGAGGGGGGGGAACGCGACCAGGAAAAGGCCAAGCGACCGGGAAAACACGGTACTTATACCACGAGCTATTTTCTTAGGGGACCAAGTACCCGATTTTCTTTAAATGCACATTCCCTAACAGCCCCTTAACAAATGATGTATCGTGATTGAGGCAGAAAAGTCAATTGAAGCATCGCATCATGGGTCTATCTATTGGTGTTTTCTAGCTTAATGACTTAAAATTCGCCTGCCGGGTTATCAGCTTCCTGTTCCGTCGTGATCTCAAACCCGTCAGCCTCGAGTCATTAGCTGCCGGCTTGAGTCTCTATCCATTGTCTCCAGGACCACAAATTCAACTGCATCTGGCTCGTGATCATAATACTCCGCCACGTTTGCGTGCTGCTGCTAAAGACTTGCCTTCTAAGGCCACAAGTGTGGCCATTAGATATAAGATCGCGATGAATGCGATAGCGTTGACAGACCCAGTTGATGGTGTTAAGGTACGCCTTTTATCCGCCTTAAGCCACCTACCCTGACATCGATGCTGGCTTGGTGTTGTTTTGTGATGCTATGCCTCACAATGCTCCTGACATCGCGAAGCCAGCGGCGAAGATATGCCGCCTCGTCTCGAACCCCTTTTTTCCTGATTCGTCGAGCCTCATCTTCTTGAGCAGCCCGCCTGTGGTGTTCATCTCTGGCTGCTCGAATTCGTGCGTCGCTAAGTGTCAACGGTCCAAATTTAGCGACGATGGACGTCTTTTCGTGTAGCTTTGAACGGGCAAGTTGCTTTTCCTTGATTCGTCTCATCTCAGCCGTGGCTGTGATGCCGTTGAGGACAAGTGTATGCGATGCCTTCCGCACTTTCTCGTACACATGCTGCACTGACGGCGTTAGTGGCACCCGGGATAGTGAGAAACCTGGATCCGTAGGTTGACGTATTGGTGATAGTTTTGAATGACAGCCAGGTTGAGCTTGGGGTCTGTGCAGTCTTCCAGTCAAATCGTCCTCTTGCAGGCGGTATTTTGGTGGTCTTTGGGCGTTGCAAATACAATATCGTCTCTAGCCTCGCCGTCAGCCTCGCTACTTTGGCTGCTCCATCACTTATATAGCCTGGAAGATCCTGTTCCCGTACAACCTGTGTGAGAGAAGATAACGCATCTTGAAGCTCATCAAGAACAATGCTCGGGTTATGGGGAAAGAGGCCACATTTCTGCCAGGCAGAGAGGATTGTAGACTTCTTGAACGTTCGATTCCGCACCTCTTGAAGATGGAATAAGAAATCAGTCTTCTTAAAGTCAGTGGCTCCATCGGCAACCTCCCGATATAAGACTTGCTGGTGCCAGTACTTATATGAGCGGAATACACCTACATCGAGAGGCTGAAGTAGATGTGTAGGTGCGGCGGCAGGAAAAGCTCGATCAAATGTTGCTTGCAAAAGTGGACGATGTCGCTAGTAAAATGGCTCTCGCATCCGTCCATAAGTAGAACTCTAATTTCCTTCAGATTCCGGGGTCGTGTATGCCGCTCAAAGTGCTCAATCCACTCAATCGCTATAATATCATTCATGTACCCCTTGGCTTGTTGTGAGGGTTGTCTCGCCGTCAAGTGCGTTTTGGGTCCATTGAAGAGGATATGAACGCCTGGGAGGATTAAAAATGAAGGAATGAAGTTCCCTGATGCGGAAATAGCCTCAATGGCCGTAATAGAGACTGTATCGTGAGAATCTGTAAGGATTGGGGTCTCAATCTCGTTGAAAGTCCACACAAAAGTCCCCTATTAAGGTATCCAATCATAAAGCCGGTCTCATCAAAATTCCAGACGTTGCGAGGCTCGATAGTCGATACGGCGCCTTATAAGAAACTCTCGCCAGTCACGGAAGAAGGCTTCCACACGAACCCGGTCTTGCATTGCCTTACGCTTAGCATCTCGCGATGCTGCCTTTTTAGCGTGAAAGAGCTTTTTGTTCCTCTTGATAAAGTTCTTTACCCAGGTTGTTGATATAGTCGGCTTTTCCCCTTTAGCTTGAAGAATGGCGTTGGCGTGCTGTCGTAGGGTGCGACTTGTGATATGATGCCCTTGTGTGATGCGGCGATGAGACCAGCAGAGAATCTCTCGCTCCTCTGACGGCGAGAAGAGCTTATTCAAGCCCCCATTCTGCTGCACTGGCTGATGCCCTTGGACACGAGACCATAGTCGTTTGTACGGCACGTCTAGCGCCTGTGCCGCCGCTCTGATTGTCCGGTAAAATCCCTCTTTTATAGCTCCGCACCAGCGACAGTGCGCTCCTCGAGGTTCTGAGGTATGTTGCGTTGAAATATAGGCAGGTTGGTTTTAGAATCGATCCATTTCTGGACCGCAGATAAATGGGACGTTGAAGGAATCATGGCTTTAGTAGTAGTAGTAGTTTATTACACTAGCTAGCCTGCAGGCTCTAGAGCCTCGCGTTACCTATAGGAAAAACCCGGTGGCCCAGGAGGAAAACCTATATACAACCTTCTCATCTGCCTCGGCCCGCGGGCCGCCGTCGTCGCGATGTTGAGCATGTTGGGTCGCAGCCGCCAGCCTGGTGCAGGTGGGGGACCTCCGTCCCAAACTGGGCCGGGGCGTCAGGTCCCGTAGGCGCGTTGTACCCGAATAGCCGTCAACGCGCGCAGCTGACGGAGAACTCTATCCCGCTTATACCTCCTTTCTCAGGAATTTCTTGCTGGTGTTCAGTCGGTCGTCCACGGCCCGCCAAGCTCGAGTGTGAGCCGTACTAAGGGCGGGGGCCATTGACACCATTGTGGGGTCGAGGCCCGGCAGTGCGTGCAGGCCCTTCGCGGCTGTTTGGGATTGGGAGCCGACAAGAGTAAAGACCTTCTGCTACCTTGTTCTCTCTTTCTACTCTCCGTCCGCTCGTGATCGTGTCGTTGTCGCGGCGCTGGCGGTCCAGCTTCTTGCGAGATCTGCTGCTACCTTGTAGTGGGGTATCGGCCGAAAGTTGAGAAACCATCGGACGAGGTATGGGGCTGTGTCGGGTCGCATAAGAAGCGCGCGGAGGTCGGCGTCAGTGCGGAGGGCGCCTGGGAGGAGCCTGCGGTTGTCAGCTTGTAGGGGGCAGCGGAGGAAGACGTGAAACACTGTTTCCTCCCCGCCACCGCACCGGCAGAGGGGGGTCGTCGCGCTGGGAACGTTCTTGTGATAGAAAGCTGTTAAGACCTATCTTCCCCGTGCGGAGCTGGATAAGCGTGGAGCTCTCGTGCTTGTAGAGGTCGGCGTGGGCCTTCAGCCTTCTCCCGGGCTTCGGAGGGCGTTTCCGTGTCTGATGGTTGGAGGGCGCGACGAGGATGGCGTGCCTTCGCGTCTCGCAGCTCTCTTCCCACCTTCTCGTCCATTCACGCCATAGAGCTTCACGAGGCTCCGTCGAGCCTATGCACCAGCGCTGTTGCCACTCCTCGCCGTCATTTCCGGGTTTGCGCCATGGTTGCGTTTTCGAAGCACGCTGCTGACTTTTGCGCAGGCCAGACGCAGGCGCGCCGCCATCCCCGAGGTCTCGAGTCGACTCTGAAATCTCGCTAGCCGTTCGTTGAGGTAGAGGTCAAGCGGCGGGACTTCGGTCTCTGTTTCTAGCTGCGGGTTGGTGTGGCTTTATACGCGCGCGGCGACGGTGCGAAGGCACGTCGTTTGTAGGCTGCAGAGCGCACGAGCCACTCCTTGGGCGTCCGTTCGATGGCGTAGGCGTATGGAAGGCTGGGCCTCCATAGACGATGGCGCTGCGGATAACCTTGGTGTAGATCTCCCGTGCGCGCGAGTCGACATCCCCACGCAGACGCAGCGAGCGCGGTAAGTGCCACCGTTGGCGCTGAAACTTGGTCTGGATTTGCTGGTGAGGGCCCCATTGGAGCTTGCGGTGAAGCCAAACTCCGAGGAAGCGGGAGGACTCTGACGGCGCTATCGTGGTGTTGCCGAGGCGAACGCACGTCTCGGGCGGGGCGTGGGCGCGTGTGAAGTGCAGTAATTCGCTTTTCGCCGGTTCGAACGCTGCCTACAGCGCGCGCCCAGCCTTCGCATGCAGACCATGCTCCTTCGAGCCTTTCGGCGGTTTCGTCTGTGGTTCTGCCGAAGGCGAGAATGTTCGAGTCGTCCGCGAAGCCGACTAGTATTGTTCCCGCCGTTGCGAGAGCGTCGTAAAGGGGGCGATATAGAGGAAGAGGATCGGGAAAGCGGGGATCCTTGGGGACGCCTGCGTGTATGCTGAGGGGTCCGACGCGTCGCCGTCGAAGAGTAGGCGAGCTGTTCTGTTGCTTACGAAACTCCGGATCCAAGCTAAGAGCCATTCCGGGATTCCTCTCCCTTTAAAGCCTGGAGGAGGCAGGTGTGGTCTACACTGTCAAAAGCACCCTTGAGATCGAGTTGAAGAAGGGACGCGACACCGCCTCGATCCCGCCGTGCGCGCCAGTTCTGCGACAATATGGACTGCTACTTCCGTAGAGCGTCTGAGCCGATTGCCCATCTGTCCCTCGGGGAGCAGTAGATGCGTCTCCGCAGTATCGGCGAGCCGCCGTGCGATCGTCGCCTCTATTATCTTGCCCACCGTGCTGAGGAGGAGATTGGGCGCCAGCTGCCTGCTAGGTTAAGTTGAGCCTGGGTCGAATCATGGCTTTAATTTGAGCTCAATTAAAGCATTTCTAGCAAATACTTGACTTTGCGGTGGCAGGATGGTGTCGAGAAGAAGGTCCGAACGATCCGGTGACTAGGAGCAGCCTCAGGGTCAAAATAGCTGCAAGCTCGGTTGGGAGGTCTGCTGACTGCATAGAAAAGTTGAGCCTCTAGTTGGATGACAACTGGAATGAGTTGGATGACAACGGGAATGGCTGAAAGATAGGAAGATTGAGCTGAAGAGTCTGACATGGCGCACGGCAAGTGGCAAAAAGCAGCAGCTTCCTATAGATCATTCAGAAGACAGCCAGGATATTAATAAGGAAGGAAGGATGGATATAATAGGCTGGCATGCCCTTGGGAGATGATAAGAGGAGCAACAGACAGCCGACACAGAATACGCCACTCGCACAAACAAAGACCCTTTCCATGTCCATTTGCCTACTTTCTTCGCGAGAGATGGCGAGGACAAAATGTCGCGTTAGTGCTACAGTAAGAGAATCACCATATCCGGTATTGGCGGAGCTAAAATGTCTAGTATGCGGGACTTGAAGGAAAGGGGGGATACCCCATTTTACGTGGCTGCATCATACTAAATCTGTGTACTACTCTTTTTTTTCCCGGTCGCTTGGCCTTTTCCTGGTCGCGTTCCCCCCCCTCCTGGAAGGAGGGGGATGAGGGACGAATTTTAGTCCCCCCTAGTACTGTATCGATACCTGACTCAAGTCCTTGTGTCTGACCTGCCTCTTTCACCGGAGTTTATACGTGTGCTGATTAGACCGTCAGTCTGCTCCCTCTGACAGAAGCAAACTTCTTACCATCGTTTAGTCAGATATTGCACCAAAAGTAGAACGCGCGCTCCAACAAGTGGTGCGCAATTAACATTATGGCATGTGGTCTGTGTGTGATAACAGACAATCAATCATCCTTTTTCATCCACTGTAACCTGTCAGTTTTAACTGACACCAAACTGGCCCCCGTGAGGTCTTTGTGGGGTCCCCGATACATTGCCTCATAATGATCCTTCAGGTGGCCTCTCTTGATCCTTCAGGTGACCTACTAACAGCGCGGTGCCTATACTAGCCGACAGACACAATACCATCTAAAACGAGTAGCACTGGTCGAAGAAGGGGTCAAAGTTCTTATGGAAAATTGACTTCTCCCACTGGAGGATAAATGCGTAGATGTCGAGCTGGACCTCGCTCTTGAGGTGCACGCCGTTGGAGCAGCTCTTTGCCACGTCGTTGGACTGCTGTCGAAGCTCCTTGGCCTTCTTCTCGGCCGCCTTCTGCTCCGGAGTCTTGGACGGCTTGTTGTCTTCTTGGAGCTCCTGCTTGTCGGCGTCATTCTTGGCCTGCTTTTGGCTCTTCCGGGGCTTAGTGGTGCGGCTGATCAAGCCTCTGACCGTGTTCGCGGCAACGGTCCGCCAAACTTGTTCTTGTTCTTCTTGCCCTTGTCCGGCTTGTCGTCGTCCCCGAAGATGGAGTTGGGGCCCTTGCCGCCGTGTGACTTTCCGGCTCTCCGCTGGCGTCCTCCTTGCCTCCTGGGAGTTCCTGAGGGTGCCTCGGCCGGTTTCTGCTCGCCGCCCTCTGGGTTGGTGTTAAAGACCTCCTTGCTGGCGTCGACGGTAACCGTGTTGGCAATCTTGGGCTTGATACCCACGCCGCCGTTAATGTTGGCCAGGCCCAAAGAGCTGCGCGTTGAGCATGAACCGAAAGTCAATAAAGGGGTCCATGAGGAGTGAGGCCCTTCCGCCCAGCTTGACGTTGGCTTCGGTGTTTGGCGTGAAGCCTTCCGACTTGGACTTTTCGCCGTCGACGAGGTCGACGTGCCACTGGGCATTGGGGAAGTCGAGTTTGACATTGGCCTCGGCGGTCAGGGCAGCGATGGCTGCAATGTCCATGCCGACGCCAAACTGGACGGCCGGACCGACCGTGATGATGCCCGGGACCGCCAGAAGAGGAAAAGTGAGCGGGCTCGTTGACTTGCTAATGGTTTCCTGAAACTGCGCCATGAGCTGGAGCTGGAGGCCAAGGTCCAGGGCCGCGTGGCCGCTCATGTCGAACCAGCACTCGGTGACGGAGAACCACTTCATCTTGATCTTGCCCGAGAATGTTACGCCCGCCTCTATGTGGAGATGATCAGCGACCAGGGACACGTTCTTGTAGTTAAAGAGCTCCTTGCTGTGCTCCATGTCGTACGACGTCTCGAACTTCTTGGAGAACTCGGCTCGCCTCGAGAGCCCCGGCATTGTGATACTATCAACTGTAATATCCGTGTCCTCTGCTTCCTAGTCAGCGCATGTATTCAATGAGAGCAAAGGCCATGACGGACCGGTCGTCTCCTTGAAATCCGTCTTTTGCACCGCAATCTCAAACGTCTTGGATTCTTGATTGGCCGTGACGCCGTCGGCGCGGTAGATGCCTCTCTCGGTCTCCTGGTCACAGTTTCCCTGAGCATTCGTCACGAACAGGAATTGTCCTTGGCCGGGCCACTTGTCTTGGGCCGTCTCGAACGCCGTGTTGTCCTTGAATATGACCTTGATCGAGTTGGCATCGCAGACGACCTCTCGATGGTCCCGATGTCCTCGAGTAGGACTGTCGGAAGTGACATCTGACTGGCGACGTTGACAGAACCAGTCTCATCCTGCTTCCATAGCATGGCAATGTCGTGCTTTGGCTCAATGTTCTTGAGGTCCATGAGATTCTTATCAGGTTGAGGAATCGGCTTCAGGGGTGTCTCATCGTCGAGATCGTTAGAGACCTCGAGGTCCAGAGAAGGTTCCAAGGCTGCGACTAGCGCAAATGGCAAAGCCAGAAGTGCGATACAGGGCTGCGCATGGTGACGATGTTGTTGTAAGCTGGTGTAAAGGAATGTGATGGTGTCGAGATGAGTGAATGTGAGGCGAGTGAATATCAGAGACCGAGTGAGTGTGCAGAGTGACAGTGAATGTAGAGAGGTGGCTGAGGAGCGGATGCTTGAGATGAACAAGATGTCATGACTGTGCATCGTTTATATAGAAGTCCCAAGAGCACCATCGTGGAGGCGCAGGAACAGGAACCAAGAGTCCATAACAGCCATAAAGATCCAAGGCCTGAAAAATCCACCCAACGAGCTGAGGCAGTGAGGCCTGTATAGCCTACCCGAAGAGCTGAAGTTGAACAAGTTGCAACTCCGCAAGGCCCAAAAACGTCGCTAGCGGCTGCATAAATTTTATCAAGTGCTTGTGCTTGACTCGATGTGCGGAAGGGAATTGGTAGGGCACGATACCATCACCCTGAGTCAAGATGCCGCTTAACACATGTCAGCTTCTTGCAGCTGGCTGAACGCATTTCCACTTTTGCCTGCGTAGCGCGCTCCTGTTAGGTGGGGTAAATAAAAGGCAGCCGGTCTAGGAAGACCGGCGGAGCTTTTCTCACCCCGCCAACCTCTTTGGGTTTTACAATCCCAACTATGGGCTGAAGTTTTAGCTAGGCGACATTGTCAAACATATACCGAGTAACTCGGTAGTACTGCTCTTCTTGTGCGACTAGTCCATTCGACTTGTGCTGCACCGGTTCTAAAAATGGGACCTGGTTGAAGAGGCGCTGCAAACCAACCCCTAGTTAATTATCGTGGTTTAGACACCAGACGAGACTCGGCACAATCACTAGAGTTATAACGGTTTACAATACAGCCGACACATCCTTAGGAGATTATATTGTGACGGCCCAGCACCGTCACACCCCCTTGCATACATGACCCACATGTTGTTGAGCCAACGGCCCACACGTACGGAAGGCATATTTAGGGAGAGGACACCCAGTTGTGCTGTTCTGTTCTCCTTTCTCTTCTTCAGAGCAGAATCTTCGTAATAGAGTCCACAGCCTTCTGGCTCAGTGCATGACCGTCACACTAGACACTCCTCTGCTAAATACATTTAAACGCTATAAGAGCTATAATGGTTATTGCGGAAGGCTTTAATGTTATACGCCAGGCCGCCTTTATATCTATATAGCCAGGTAGTATAAGTTGTGCTAAGATCCCTTCGTTTAATTACATTTTATGGTAGAACGGATTCTCTAAGTTGCAACAAACGGATGACTCTATAGCAGAGGACAAGGAATCAAAGCCTGTTGTAAATGCTTTTAATTAAACCACCATCCCTCCTGAAGCTGACACGCAATATAGATAGCATGGCTTTTAACCGTAGAGTCATGAGTCTAATCAACACATGTTATAGTGTTCTTGTCTATAAGATAGATGGTCGATTAGCCGTAATGTCAGTTTAACGCTAGCCAGTAAAAGCATAGCTCGTGCCTTCTTCAGCTGAAGATTTATACACTAAGGCACGAAAAGTACTCGAATAATGTATATGTATTCATTGATTCCCCTGTTCCGTTGAGCAATCGATCATCACTTATCGACATGATTTATTGGCACTCATTTGTAGATTCACATTCACTCTTTTCACTCAGTCTTTTGCATCCACCCTTTTCTTGCCGCATCTTCTAACAAACTACGTTCAAAATGAAGGCATCTGCTATTGTTTTCTGTCATCCTCCCTGCTGCTCAGGCCAGAGTTAGGAGTTCTGGCAAGGGCAACAGCATGATAGAGCCGGACGCCAAAGCACCCAAACCAAACACGGATCGCGATGAGCAGGCTCCGGAGCCCAACGCAAATACAATCAAAACAATCACAGATCAATATGTCTTTGAGCTCGCCATGCCTGACTTCCTAAAGAAGCGAGACGCAAAAGATCCAGAATCCTTAGACTGGGAAAGTGATGGCTGCACCTACGTCTTCGATAATCCCTTAGGCTTCTCCTTTGTGAATGGATGCTACCGTCATGACTTCGCCTACCGCAACTATAAGGCTCAGGACCGTTTTACTGAGACTGCAAAAGACATCATCGATCAGAAATTCCTCTTTGAGTACGTATCTCTATAATATCACCATTACTAAAACCTATTCCTAAGCAGGTCTCTGATGCACCTGATTTCTTTTACCTTTCGGGTTACTAACCAAGTAAAAGTCTATTAGGTGTATGCCAGGAGGAAGGATCTAACTGGTTTGGCTTCAGCCGCCGGTGTGTTGGCTTGGCGCAAATGCTTATTTCCGGGTGTCAATCTTTTAAGCTTGGGGCAAAGCCAGGAAGAGAGATATAGACCTAGCTATGCAAGATCAAGAACAGGCCGAGGCCGGTTACCAACGAGCCTTGGCTGACTACCAGGCAGCTTTAGAGGAACTCGAAAGGCCGGCATGATCCCAGGAGCAAACGCCACCAGCACTGAGTCGCCTGGGAAGCTATCAGGAGCCAGCGCCGAGTCACCTGTAAAGACAGCTTGATGAGGTTATTCAGCCGAAGGCTGACTATGCCTTGAGGAACGAGGAACGTGCCTTGAGGAACGAGGAACGAGTGACGAAAGGTTCTTAGGGTTCCTCCCCGGGGAGAAAAAAAATTCGCCATCGATTTCCCCCCCGCAAATGCCGCCCTCTGATTCGCTGGCGTTCTCGCTTTTGATTCGTCGGTTGTTCTTTCTCGCTTTTGATTCGTCGATGTTCTCGCTTTTCATTCGTTAATAAATAAAAATGCATAATGCCCTGCCCCTTGCTGCCCCTTTTAGTTCCAGCTGCGCAGTTCGCTTCCAACGCCTCCGTAGACCATACGCCGCCGCAGACCACATAGAGGAAGGTGCCCAAGCCGGCCCGGCTTAACTCCGCCATAGACCACACGCCTCCACAGACCACCTTCGCCCGTCCTCCTGGCCCTTAACCTACACTCCTTTTACGTCAGTGTGGAAAATGCAGGGCGCCTGCGTTACCTGCGGAGCCAGTCGGCCGCCTCCTGTGTTGTCTGCCTGCTAAGCTCCTCTAGCCGGGCCTGCGCTGCCGTCATCTCCTCAGGCACCCGGTTCCCACTAGGTCCCGCCCCGCACCTCTGATACGAGCATGATGCCGTCGAGCGTCGGGCACCGCGACAGCTGCACGTATAGGCTATACGGGTCGCACGACGACGGCACCGCCCCCCCTCGACCGTCGTCATCCTCGCCCCCCGCAGCTCCAGCGCCACGCGCTCTAGCGTCCCGCCCTGCACCTTATAGTCGGTGCAGGCGAAGGCCGCGGCGCACGGCAGGCCCCTCCGGCTGACGTCGTTGCGCTGCCATGGCCGCTTCCGCTGCGCTGTGATCTTGACGCTGATGGGCGTTAGCAGGATCGTCCCGGCAGGCATCCCGACGAAGTGGAAGTCCTTGGTCGTCTCCGAGGCCAGCACGATGCCCGCCGGCGGCCCGAAGTGCATGATGAGCTCCGCCGAGACGCGGTGGCCGGGGAAGGCGCGGTCGGGGATGACGTCCACCGCCGTGTACCCGGCCCCGTTCACAAGCTTTAGCCCCTGGTGCGTGTTCTGGTTCACGACGACCGGCATGCCTGGCACGAAGAGGAAGACGGCCGGCACCGGCGTCGCGCTGTCGTCGCCCTGGCCTAGCATTAGCACCGCCTCCTCTTCCGTCGGCACGCCGTCCCTCCACTTATGCTCGAGAGGAAGACGCGCGCCGCCGTCCGCCGCCTCTCCCGGAACGCGAGCGCCGCCTCTAGGTTGAGGTTCCAGCGGTTCCGGTTGAGCGGCGTCACCACCGTCAGGCCCGTCTCCCACGGGATCCGCCTGCCCGGCCGGTAGCATCTCGAGTTGAGCAGCTCAGATCCGACCGGTCCTGCTCGCCCCGGCGGATCCGCCCGAGCAGCCGCCGCAGCTCCGGGTCGCCGGCGGCCCGCATCTGCTCGTCAGCATGACGACCGTCGTGAAGCGCCGCCACAGCGCGTGCGCCTTGTCGTGCTGCCGCCGCTGCTCGGCCGCGAACGCCCCGTCCTCGTCCCACGCCACCGCCGCGCTCGGCAGCAGGATCGACCGTTCCTGCACCGGCCGGAACTGGTGGAAGTCGCCGCAGAGGATCACTACCGGGATGCCGCCGAAGTCCCGCGCCGACCCCCGCAGCCGGCAGAGCTGCTCGTTGGCGGCGTGCAGCGTCCGCGCCCCGAGCATGCTGACCTCGTCGATCACCAGCACCTCCTTCTCCTGCCAGTCCATCCGCGACCGGCCGTCGACGAAGCGCTCGCCCTGGCCCGCCAGCCGTACGCCGTCAATGTCCTCGTCGCCCTCCCGCCCGGCCGCCCTGGCCGACCGTAAGGCCGCAGGCCGAGTGCAGCGTGATGCCGTTGATCCGCGCTGCCGCCGTCCCCGACGTCGCCGTAACCAGTACCCGGCTCGATAGGTCCTCCGGGCGAGCAGCTCGACGAGCGCCTCGATGACGCGCGACTTGCCGGTGCCGCCCTCGCCGCCGATGAATAGGCAGAGCTGGCCACCACCGTCGCCGCCTGCGTCGTCGCCCTGCCGGATTCGGTCGAGTTGCCGGCACACGATTAGGAGGGCGATGGCCTGCTTCTCGTTGAGCGTGAGCTGGCCGCCAGCCTCTGCCGGCGGCGACGAACGAGCTCGCCGGGCCGAGCCGCCCGCGCACCCCCGCCGCCGTGCCTGCGTCTGCGTCGCCGTCGGCCGCCGTTACGTCGATGTCGTCCTCGCCGAAGCCCCCCATCACCCCGCGAAGGGCCGCGCCGCGTCGGCCCCGACGCCCGCCGCCGCCCCGCCGCCCTGGATGCCCTGGATCGCCCGCTCCGCCCCGCGCCGCGCTCCTCTGCTGCGACTTGATGGCCCGCACCTCTTCTTGCCGCGGCAGTGCCGCCCCCGACAGCGCCGAGCCCGGTAGGTTCACCCGCCTGCCTGCCCTCTCGTCCGCCACCACCGTCGCCGCGAGCTCGGCCGCCGACCCGAGCGCCGACTGCTGGAACCGGCAGAGCTGCTGCGTCATCGCTAGCAGCTCTGTTGACTGCGCCGTGACTTGTCCCGCGCTGGCGGCGTTCCGGACGACGTCGATGAGCCGAGCCGCGTCGCCCGCCCCGCCGGCGCGGTATGCCTCCTCGCCCCTTCGGCCGCCCCTGCCTTCGTCGTCGGCCTGCGGCGCCGTCATACCGCCCTCCTCGGCCGTGGCGGCCCACTGCTTGGCGTCGCGCTTCGCGTCCTCCGCCGACCGCCGGAGGAGCTGCACGTTGTCTGCGAGCCGCGCGACCCTCGGCGCCAGCGACTCCGCGCCCGTGCCCAGATGTTGTTAATGTCGCCTGCCTCCTCGCCGAGGACTCCCACGGCACGAATAGGGCCAGGTGCTGCACCGCCGCCCTAGATGCTGTTAGCCGATGCCCCTAGCTGCTCTGCCTTCCTCTTAGGCGCCCCCCGTCTTATAGTACGCACCTCCGGTGGCACGACTCGTCGTCTTCCTCGCTGAACTCCTTGCTGAGGTATCCGTCGACGCATACAGTCGCCCCGCAACCCGGCCGCCTAAGCGCCTGCACCCAGCCCTTCCCGACGCCCAGCTCTCCGCGAAGGGTACTCACCCCCCCCCGCCATACCGTCGGCGCCGCTGCCGTTTTGCTTTAACCTTACAAGCGATGCGTAGTCATAAAGGCAGAGGCCCGCAGGAGCTCGCCCCGGTGCCGGTAGGCCTCGACGAGAGGGATCCTCAGGCCAGCCTCCTCGACGACGACCGTCTCGTCCGGCGCGTCGCCCGTCGCCTCGGCGCCGCTCGCCCGTCGGAGGTGCCGCCACCGGCGGAAGACGGCCCAGTAGAGCTGGTTTGCGTTTATATACGCCCACGCTGAGCCGCTGCTAAACTCCGCCGGGTACCCTAGGAGGTGCGCGATCACCTCGACCTGCGACAGCGGCCGCTCCGTAAAGACTCGATTCGCCGCCTTAAGCAGGAACGTTCTCGTCTTATTCCCCTACGGGGTCCGCCGCCGTCGCTACCCCTTCGGCCCCGCCTCCCGGCCGGCGTCGCGGTCGGCGCCACTTCTGTTGCCCTCTCCCGTCGGCTCTAGCACAGGAAGGAACTCGGCCGCGGCGGCCACACGCTTCCACACCGGGTCCTCTACCTTCGTCGCATAGTTAGTAATATAGTAGATTAGGGCCATGGTCTTGCGCTGCGTCGCGATGAACGAGATGTCGTGGTTGTGTCGTAGCCCCACTGCCATCGCCCTGTTCCACCGGTTCACCATGCTATGCGTCCGCCGGATCTCGAGCACCCCGTCCGCCGTCAGCGCCGTCCTCTCCACCAACCTCCACGGCGCCTTAAACCGGCAGAGGTCCCCTCCCGCGCCCCACGCCGAGCGAGTATTTTACGCAGGTCGCGCTATGCGTATGGATCTGCGTCGCGCCCGCGCAGAAGTTGGCCTCCTCGTCGAAGGTGTCCGTGAAGCGCGCGACGTCGTCGAGCCGCGACGATATGTCCGCCGTGGCCGACCGCTCTGCCTGCATGGCACAGTAACCTTCTGCGTCTAGCTCCTGCGGCCTCGGTTCAGCTTAGGCCCTCAGCCTGCCCCAGATAGGGGCATCGGGGTTGTGTTAAGGCGGCCGCCTTACCTCAGAGAAGACGCTATCTACGTAGCGGACGATGCGCCCGGTACGCCGCCTGCTCCTCCGCGTCCGGGCCGGCGAGCGCGTCGCCAATGCCCGCGTTGCCCTTAGCCAGAGGAGCCCGTGGATGTGGAGGGCGCCTCGCTCGTTGGTCTCTACCGCCCCGTAGTATGCGCCGACGTGGCCGAACACCGACTCCTCCCCGACGTTGACGTAGTGCTCGAAGAAGAGCGTCATCTCCCGGTGGAAGAAGACGGCCGAGCTCATCGGGTCCGATATGGCCAGCCGCGTCCGCTTATACGCGGTCCCTAGGTCACTTAGGAAGGCCTCGGCCTCGCGGGGTCGCGGCCGCGGTGCGCCGCTAGCCGTAACTTTACTAGGTTCGTAATGTCGTTCGGGTTCAGCGTGAACCAGATAGCCGGCACCCCGTACCTAACGATGAGGGATAGTATCTTCTTCCGCATACTAAGGCGGCTCTCCCTCGACATTGGCTGCCGGTAGCCGAACACGGAGAGGGACCGGAGGAGCTTTACCCCGTCGTCGCTAGTCTTACCTGTGGCCTCGAGCTCGGCCTGGCCGCCTCGAGCCTCTGCGCCGTTAACGACTTTAGTAGGCCCTCGACCCTTGCGAAGTTCTTCCTCGCTACGCCTAGCATGCTGGCCTGGCGGTTCTTAGACCGCACGCCCATGTTAAAGACAAGGAAGGCGAAGATAGGGTGCGTCGCGAACCGGCCGCCGTGACGCCGCAGCACGACGTCGGCCCATGCCTGGAGCTTCATGTTCCGCGTCGACATAAGGCCCTCTGCAACCCGCTCCGCCTGGGCGCCCTGGTTCCCGACGCTGGGGCCGCGCTCTCCCGCGGCGTCCTCGTCGGCGAGCCTCGGCCCGCCTAAGCCAAAGGGAACAGGGTCGGAAAAGCCTTTGCAAAGAAGGAGGCGTCCGCCGAGTCGGCGAAATCCTCGCCGCGTCGCACCTGTATGTACGGCTCGCCGTCGCCGCCGTCGCCCGCCGCCCTCTGGCCGCCGTCCCTACCCACGTCCTCGGGCTGGCGCGCCTCGGGCCCGACCGCGTCGCGGGCGAAGCGAATCTTCTCGGCGTCGGCCACATCTGGCGCCCCATCTAACGGGAACATGCCGGAAGACGTTACCTCATTGATTACGTCCCCGTCCTCTTCGGGCCTAGCGCCGTCCCTGTCGTCGTCCTCGCACGTGAGCCCGACGTCGCGGCTCCTCGGCGGGGTCCTGGCCCTGCCTTAGCATCGCGAGGATTTCTCGATCTCGGCCGCGCCTCCGTCGTCCATGGCCCGCTCCGACGGCGGCACCACCTGCGCCGTCTGCGTCCTCTCCCGCGCCGACGGCTCGTTTCGCAGCCGCTCGCACACCACCGGCGGCACCGTGCGGCGGCGCCCCAGCTGGCTATCTCCGCCGCGTCGATCTCGACCTCGCCGTAGAGCGGGTTGTTCTCCTTGAGCCAGGCCAGCGCCTCTCGACCGCCGACCGCCTTACCGACAGCAGGCCTGATAGGTCCCGCGGCCCGGGCCTCTCAGCGCCCTGGCACGAGACGTGGATCTCGTCCATGACCCGGACCAGCGGGTGCGGGAGCACCTGCAGCCAGGCCCTGCGTCGTTCGGGAACACCGTGATATGGCCCTTGACGTGCCTCGGGTACCTCACGCTCTGCCTCTGGCCGCCGGGGATGCTATACTTCGTCACGAAGCCGTAGCACGAGTTGAGCGAGATGAGCTTCTCCTCGAGCGGCGTGAGGTCCTTTAGCTCGTCGGGGTACGCGTGCTCGCAGCCGAGCCGCCCATGGAGGTGCATGGCCGGCGACGCCCTCACGCCCGGCCCATCGCGCGCACTCTGCGCAGACCGCCACCGGCCTGCCTCCGGGAAGCAGGCTTGGCACCCGAACGGGGACCGCCCGCCCCGCAACACCGCTCCGCGACCACCCTCCCACCCTCCCACGCCATCTCCTCAGCTCCCCTTGGCCCGCTTCCGGTAGCATAGCGTGCAGGTCGCGATCGGCAGCGTGCCAGCGTCGTGGAACGCCCGGTAGAACTTCCGCACCGTCCTCACCTGCCTCTCGCGCGGCACCGGCGCACACCACGTCTGCTCGTTGGCCAGCTCTCGCCCGCCTCGAACTCCTCGTCGAGGTGCCGCAGCGCGCTGGCTAGGTCCTCGGCCTGCAGCCCTTGGTCTCGGCACCCTTTCACCGACCCGGGCGCGTTTCCGCTCGGCCTGCCCACTACTAAGATGGCGTTTCCTCTTCTGCTCTTCCTCGCCTGCCGTCTTATCGCCGATCTACCTGCGTCCGGTTAGCTATCACCGCTACACGCCTTTACCTCGCTCTACGACCGTACCTGCCGAGGCGCTATCTCTGCCGCCAACAAGCAGCCCGGCTGCGGCCGGAGTTGTGGCGGGGATCTCGGCCCTGCTGGCCGGCCGGGACTGGATGGCTCGCGGCGAGTGCTGGCTTCCGATCGAGACTACGGCCGAGCTAGTCCCGCTTGACGGCGGCGAAGGGCCGGCGGCCTCCAAGTCGGTTGTGGCCGAATATCCCGCGGAACGTCCGAACTTCTCGTCGGCGGCGGCGAGGCCCGGCGGCCTCCACCGTCGGCAGAGGCCGGATTTCCTCGGTGCGCGCTGGCTTTTCCTGAGGCCGAGACGGCGCTAGGCCCGCCTTGCGGCAGCCGGCGCCCTGCCGCCGTCGGTGTCGACAGAGCCTGGATATCCGCGGCGCGTCCGAACTTTCGTCGGCGGCGAAGGGCCGGCGGCCCTCCATGTCGGCTGTGGCCGAATGTCCCGCGGAACGTCCGAACTTCTCGTCGGCGGCGAAGGACCGGCGGCTCTACCGTCGGCAGAGGCCGGATTTCTCTTGGTGCGCGCTGGTTTTTCCTGAGGCCGAGACGGCGCTGGGCACGCCTTGCGGCAGCCAGTGCCCTGCCGCCTCGGTGTCGGCGGCAGCCGTTGCCGCCGCGCTTGGTGTCGGCCGAGGCTGGATATCCCGCGGCATGACTCGGCCTGCGCTGATCCTCCATCTCCCTAGTCCTGGCGGTCTTCCCCGCCCTCGCCTCGGAGGCGCCTCCCGACGCCTCTTCTGCTCTCCGAGGGCGGGCCGCTAGCAAGTGCCGGCGCTGCTGTGGTCGGCTGGAACTCTGGTCCTGTGTACGGCGCTGCGCAGGCTTCTGGCGCCGGGCTTGCCCCGTCCCCGCTCCGACTGGTCCTTCCGTTGGCTGGCTTCATTGCGACACCGGTCTACCAAAGCCCCCACGGACGTCTTGTCTTCCTCTTTGCACCTGCCCTCTTTGGCCCTGCCTACTTATGGTGCCACTAGGCTCTGGCGTAAACTCGTAAGTGTAATAACAGCGTATAAATCCTTGCCTCGATTATTCGCCCTGCACTTATCTTGCTGACTGGCACCCTCTTGCGCATATAGGATCCTCTACAAAGTCTATATATCTTACTCGTAGCTCTCTACTATATCTATATGCGTGCTGCTGCTCTTTGCATTATACCGGCGCCGCCTTTCTATTAAGCCCGCCCGCCATTGCCTGCTGCTATATGCGATAGGCTAGACGGCCTCGGCCGATCCTTATATGTACGTCGCCGCGACGGCTTCTTCTTGCCTATGCTTTGCATGCTACGCTTTTCCTTCTTGTCATCCAGCTCTTATCAGTCAAAGCTTCCGTATGCCCCTAGACACTTGCCCGCTGAAGTTTAAAACCATGTCTTACACGTGTTGCGAATAGGGCTGCCTGCTTCTCCTCAAATATAGCTTCGCGCGTCCTGCTTGTCTTAAAACTCTCAACATCTTACTAGACCGCCTTTTAAAGTTCTCCTTCTCTTATTGCACTCTCCTCTATACGCATCTTATAACCCTCTTTTACAAAGGCTCCTTATATAACCTACCACTAACGCCATGTTGCGTCTTTGTTTAGAATCCTTTGACTTCTCTTACACACCATCGCCACTGGCCCTTCTCTTTACACTAAACTCGTAAGACGGTATAGGTAGGAGCACTCCTGCCTATCTTTCTCGCCGCTTTTAGCTTTGCCCAGCAACGTTGCTCTTTACTACACGGCCGAGCCATGTCTTCGTCTCCGTCGGCGGACAGCTCTGCCCCGCACCTCCGCAAGCCCCTTGGCTCTAGCAAGGGCGCGGGCAGCGATATGTCCATGATGTTCTTCGCCCAGCCCGACTGCCCCGCGAGGTTCGCCCACCACGACGAGCACCGCATTAGGGGCCTCAACGCTGAGGCTATCGCCCGCGTCCTCCTGCCGGTGCCCTCGTGGCTGCTCGAGGCCGACTACGCACCATACGGCCAGCCAATCGTCGACACGGACTGGTCCGAGCAATGGTTCTTTATGAGCGGCCGCGTTCACCCCTACGCCCTCGCCTGGGAGGTGGAGCGCCGCGACGGTCTTGAGGCCGGCCCAGACGATACCGTCCTCTACCCAGTGCCCCCCCTTATCGGCCGCGACCAAGGCTACCAGCCGTGCGCCCCCCCCTTTTTTTTTTTTTGCCCCTTCACCGGCCGCCTCGCTGACTTCTCTCCTAGCGTCCTCCCGCTCCTTGGCCTCTGGCGGCCAGTTCCCGTCTACGCCTCCTGTTGTCTCCTTCCATGGCGTCATCGCCGGGCCTGGCCTTGACCTCCTGCGTGGAGACTTCCTGCCAGGTCTCGGGCCCGACCAGCTCCGCTGCTGCGGCTTCGTCCGGCTCACTACCTACATCACCCTGGCCTGCCGGACCGGATTCCTTTAAGGGCTACCACCCCTTCCAGGTCTTTGTTATCTTTCCCATCTATGCTAACCCTTGGGCCGTGCTATGCAAGAAAATTGCTGAAAGGCCTAACTCTTCCTTCCTGCCCGGCGTCCCCTTTACCTGCACTGGAAAGGTCGTCGGCCTTCTCGACCACCGTCTTATGCTCTGCCCCGGGCTCAGAGCGCGATTACGTCTTTATCGTCGTCCCGGACAGCTGGAACTTTGTCGACAGGCCCTCGGCGGCCGCCTCCGCCTCGGCTTCCCCGCTACGCCCTTAAACGTCAGACCCTATCCGCCTCCTCTACCTTTGATTCCGTCCGCGCCGCCTTGTACTCCGTTGCTGCGCCGGCCTCGGCTGCGTCGGCTCCCCTTCCTTGGCCTCGGCCCCGACCGCCCTCGACCCCGTCACACCACCGCCTAAGCGCTCCCACCCGCCCTTGCCGATACGCCCATGAAGAGGGCGCGCTTGCTGCAGCAGCAGAATTCGCCGCCTTCCTCGTCTTCGGACACCGTCAGCTCCGCCGCCCTCCTCCTCTCCCCGCCGGCCGCTTCTTCGTCTCGACCGAGCGGCGTCCCGACCGTTCCTGCTCCGGCAGCCAAGCCGGGTTCCCCTCTTGACTCTATTGTCGCGAGCACCTCCGACCCGCCCGCTCGACCTATCCGCTATCGCATGCAGAAATGAGCTGCCTACTATAAACCTATCGCTCTCTTACGCCTCTTGCCTTTACTAAAATAAACCGTTCTCCTCTCGAGATGCTATTCCTAACGAAACTTATCGCTGCAAAATTACCATTACTCTACACATTACAACGTTTATCTCTTTTTGAAACAACAACTTTAGCTTGCGACCTATTTCTTACGATAGTGCCTGCCTCTATTTGTTCTCCGTGACCTTGTTTATGTCCTGCGCGTTATGCCTTGTCCCTTTTACTTTCCTTCCCTCCTCTCCCTAGCTCCCTAGCTTGCCTTTGGCTTGCATCCTTCTTGTGCACCTTCCAGTCCTCCTTTTGGTGTTGCCTGCTGCAGTACGCCACCGTCAGGCATCGGCTGCACCTCCTCGCCCCGCCATCTCTCCACAAACCCGGCAGACCTTCCTCTGTGCTCTGCGCATCCTGCCCTTGCATTTGCGTCGCGCCCTTGTTTCCGCCCGCCTGCCCCGCCTCTGCCATCGTGTCCTGCATTTCCTGCCTCGTCCTAATTTCGCATCCTTCTTTGCCGCAGAACGACGACACGACCACGAGCACAAACGGCCTCTCTGCGTGTAGGTACGATATCGGGCTCTGTAGAATCTCCTTTGCGAGTCCGCCGCAGCTCTCGCAGCGCACCCTGCTGCCTTCCGACACGCTGCCTCGTGCTCCCGTAGGATCGGCCTTATCCACTGTAGGAACAGTGCACTGGCTGCGTGGTTCGGCCTCGCCTGGCCTACCTGCGTCACGAGCGTCTTCGGGATGCTATGCTTGTACTTCAGCTCCGTGGCCCCGAATTCGCACCAGAACTCCACGGAAACGTTGCAAGTGGCCATGCTGTAGTTGTTTTCCTAACTGCTCGATCGGTAGCTAGGGTAGACGCTTCTGCTCTTGTTCTCCTATTCGTGCCTTGGCGCCTCTTATGCTCCCTTCCTCTCGCTTACCCCGCAATCGTCACCACCGCTTTACTTGCCTTCTTGCTTTTTCTGCCTCTTCCCCGCGGCGGGATGGTGCCCGAATGGCCACTTTCTTTACCTACCTTTTTTGCATGTTTTAGTTCCTAGCGCTACCGCCTGCTTGCGTTCTTTCTCTCACCCTGTCTTTGTCTTGTTTGTCTCTCCAATCTTCGGCCTTCGTTCCTCAAGGCTCTTTGCGCAACCCATGAAGGGTTGCCTTACCTGTTGGCCGCCAAAGAAAAGGTATGCCTTGAGGAACGTGCCTTGAGGAACGAAAGGACTTCATTAGCGCGCGGGGAAAAAAGGCCCCAGACTGCTTCACCCCCACATCCTCCGCCTCTGATTGGCTGATTTATTTCTTTCGGAATAAAAGATCCCGTGTGATTGGTCGCCGACCCTTCCGTCCTCCTCATCATTGGTCGCAGCCGCCTTTTCTTGCCCCTCTCATGCCTTGCCCTGTTTCCCCGTTTATACTCCTGTTTACCCTGCCAATGCCAATGCCAATGCCAACCTTTTTCCTTTCGTCCGCCGGTTTTCTTATTGTGTCTAAAACTTGCGTCTTTTGTCTTTGCCCTTTCGTTCATGCCTTTCTAGCGGGTTCTTCCTTCAAGTCTAAAAGTCGCCCTCGTTGATCGCTGCTGCCCAGTGCCCTTGTCTTCTTGCCCGCCGGCGCGCTCCTCCGTCTTCTCCCCCTCGTCACCTCACCCTGACAACTCTCCTTGACTCTTCAGCGTCGCCATCCGACCGACGCAAAGCTTCCTCGACAGTCCTCTCGCTTAGCACCTCCAGCCTGGCCTGCGCGGCGGTCATCTCTTCGGGGACTCGGTTGCCCACCAAGTCTCTCCCGCACCTTGACACGAGCGTGATGCCGTCTAGCGTTCGACAGCGCGATAGCTGCACATATAAGCTGTACGGGTCGCATTGCGAGGGCACGGCCCTTCCATCGACTTTCGTCGTCCGTGTCCCCCGCAGCTCCAGGGCCACGCGCTCTAGCGTTCTGCCCTGCACCTTGTAGTCCGTGCAGGCGAAGGCTGCTGCGCACGGCAATCCCTTCCGGCTGACGTCGTTCTGCTGCCACGGCCGCTTTCGTTGGCAGTGTATCCTGACGCTCATCGGCGTTAACAAGATCGTGCCCGGCGGCATCCCGACGAAGTGGAGGTCCTTTGTCGTCGCCGATTCCAGTAATATCCCCGCCGGCGGCCCGAAGTGGATCGTCATGTCGGACGAGATTCGATGCCCTGGGGACGCCTTGTCGACAATGACCTCCCGCCGAGTAGCCGGCGCCGTTCACCAGCTTCAGCCCCTGATGGGTGTTGTGGTTCACGACGACCGGCATCCCGGCCACGAACATGAAGACGGCCGGCACGGGGATCGCGCTATCGTCGCCTTGATTGAGTACCATGATCGCTTCTTCCTCGGTCGGCAGGCCCTCCTTCCACTTGTGCTCGGAGATGAAGATGCGCATCGTCGACCGCTGCTGGACCCGGAACGCCAAGCTTGCCTCCATGTTTAGGTTCCACCGATTCCTGTTCAGCGGCGTCACCACGGTGATGCCAGTCTCCCAAGGGATCCGCCTGCCCTCGCGGTAGCACCTTGAGTTGAGGAGGTCCAGATCCGTGCGGTCCTGCACACCCTGCCGGATCCGCTTCAGCAGCCCTGCAATTCCGGATCACCGGCGGCGCGCATTTGCTCGTTCAACATGACGACCGTCGTGAATCTCTTCCACAGCGCGTGCGCTTTGTCGTGCTGGTGCCGCTGCTCGGCCTTGAACGAGTTGTCTACGTCCCACGAGATGGCCGCGCTCGGCAGGACGATCGACCTCTCTTGGACCGGCCGGAACTGCTGAAAGTCTCCGCAGAAGAGGACGATGGGGATCCCCGAAATCTTTCTGCGATCCGCGAAGCCGACAGAGTCGCTCGTTTATGGCGTGCAGCGTCCGCGCTCCGAGCATGCTCACCTCGTCGATGACAAGCACGTCCTTCTCCTGCCAGTCCATCCGAGACTGGCCGTGGATGAACCGCTCCGCCCGTTTTGTCAGCCGCACCCCGTCAAGGTCCTTGGCTGTGTTCGCGCCGCCCGCCCTTGGTCTTTAGTGAACCCGCAGGCGGAGTGGATCGTGATGCCGTTGATCTGCGCCGCGGCAGTCCCTGACGTCGCCGTGATCAGCAGACGATTCGAAAGGCTCTTCCCACTGAACAGCTCGACGAGTGCCCCAATGATCCGCGACTTGCCGGTGCCCCCCTCGCCGCCGACGAACTGGCAGAGCTGGCCGGCATCGCCCCTATTCGTTTGTCGCATCAAATCGAGCTGGCGGCATATTATTAGGAAAGCGATCGACTGCCTCTTGTTCAGCGTTAGCCGTGTTGACAACTCCTTGCCCGCCGCGAAGAAGGAGGTCGATGGGCCAAGCTGGACGCGCATTCCCGCTTCTGCGTCGCTAGCCGTCTCGTCGGAGTCGGCTGTCGTCATTTCGACGTCGTCCTCCCGAAGCCGGTCATCACCTCCGCAACGCAGCTCGGCGATCGCTTTCCCGGACTGCGACTGTGGTTTGTACGCCTTGGATCATTCTCTCCTTTCCTCGACGCACTTATCTGCTGCGACTTGATAGCCTTGACCTGATCCTGCGGCGGTAGTGCGGCCCCGGAAAATACCCGCCCTGGCATGCTTATGCACCTCAACCCTTGTTCGGGAATCGCGATGGCCTCGAGCTCGGCCGTTGAGCAGAGCGCCGATTGCTGGAATCGACAGAGCTGCCGCATCATTGCCATGAGCTCCGGCGACTTGGCCGTCACCTGATTCGTGCCCACTGCGCCTCGGACGACGTCGATCAGGCGCGTTGCGTCTCCGATGTTGTTGGACCGATACGTCGCTGCAAATTCTGCGCCCGCCTCGCCTGTCTCGCCCTCCTCGACGTGGGCGACCGTGGAATCGCCATCGCCGGATGAGGCCGCCCATTGCTTGGCGTCGCGCTTTGCGTCTTCGGCTGATCGTCGAAGCAGCTGCACGTTGTCGACGAGACATGATATTCTCGGGGCCAGCGCCTCGCGCCCGCTCCCAGATGCTATTGATCTCACCTGTTTCTTCGCGCAGAAAGGACTCCCACGGCACAAATAGCGCAAGATGCTGCACGGCTGCCCTTTAAGGGGAGGGGGAGGTTAGCCACTTGATGATGCCTGCCGGCAGGGCGGTTGCTATACACACCTCCGGTGGCGACTCCTCGTCGTCGTTGTGGCCGAAGTCCTTGCTCAGGTAGCCATCGAGGCAGACGGTAGCATGCTTGCCCGGCCGCCTGAGCACCTGGACCCAGCGTCTCCCTGGCGCCCATCCATCCTCGAAGGGCACCTCCCCCCAGGCCGCACAGCTCTCATCCTTACTGGTGCGTTTTAGTCTAACGAGCGATATGTAGTCGTATAAGCATAGCCTCGCAGGAGCTCTCCCGGTGCTGGTACGCCTCAACGTGGGAGATCCTCAGGCCTGCTTCTTCGACAACGACCGACTCATCCAGAGTATCATCTATGGCCGCCGCGCCACTTGCTCGTCGGAGATACGGCCACCGTCGAAAGACTTCCCAGTACAGCAGAGATGTGTTCAGGTACGCCCAGGCGCTGCTGTTGGTGAACTCGGCCGGATATCCAAGAAGATGAGCGACGACCTCGACCTGAGATAGCGGACGCTCCGTGAACACACGATTCGCCACCTCATCAAGAACTGTCGCGTCCTGTTCCCTTGGCGGCGTCATCGCCAACAGCACCTCCACCGTCGTCCTGTCCTCCGTTGGCCGTGCCGTCACCCGTTGAGGCGGCCAGGAGATCGGCCGCGGCCGCCACACGCTTCCACACCGGGTCCTCCACCTTCGTCGCGTAGTTCGTGACATAATACATAAGGGCCATGGTCTTGCGCTGCGTCGCAATGAAGGAAATGTCGTGGTTGTGCCGGAGCCCAACAGCGATAGCCTTGTTCCATCGATTGACCATGCTGTGAGTCCTCCGGATCTGCAACACCCCGTCTGCCGTGATGGCGGTCTTGTCGACCAACCTCCATGGAGACTTAAACCGGCATGGATTCCTTCCGCGCTCCTTTGCCCAAGGAATTCTTGACACAGGGCGGGCTAAGCCTTGAACCTGTGTAGCGCCGGCACAGAAGTTGGCCTCCTCGTCAAATGCGGCCGAAAACTGCTCGGTGTTGTCCAGCAGGGAGGAAATATCGGACGTCACAGATCGCTCCGCTTGCACGGCGCAGAACCCTTCCTGATCCAGATCCTATCTTGCACGTCAGCCTGGCCCCGTTTGTCCATCGGACGAGCAATTCAGGTTCTCAGTGACACGTCTTAGCTATTCTTACCTCGGAGAAGACACTATCGACGTATCGTATGATTCGCTCGCGATACGCCGCCTGATCCTCCCGTGGATGTCGGCAAGCATCGAGCTGAGATGCGCGTTTCCGTGCAACCAGAGCAAGCCGTGAACATGAAGCGCCCTCGTTCGTTGGTCTCCACAGCGCCATAGTACTTGCCGATGCGCCCGAATACCGACTCTTCTCCGACCTTCACGTAATGATCGAAGAACAGCTTCATCTCCCGGTGGAAGAATACGGCGGCGCTCATCGGATCGGACATGGCCAGCCTTGTCCGCTTGTACGCACTCCCAAGGCCTTCTAGGAACTCCTCGGCCGCGCCGGGATCGCGTGTCCGATATGCCGCCAGTCGCAGCTTCACCGGGTTCGTAATGTCGTTTGGGTTGATGGTGAACCAGATGGCCGGAACGCCGTAGCCAACGATGAGCGACTGGATTTTCCGCCGCATATTGAGCCGAACCTCTCGACATGGGTTGCCGGTGGCCGTACAGCGAGAGGCTCCTGAGAAGCTCCTTCACGCCCTCATCGGTCGTCTTGCCCGAGCTCTCCAACTCGACCTCGCCGCCGCTAACCTTTGCGCGGTCATCGAGCGGGCAACGCGCTCGACCTTGCCGAAGTCCTTCCTCGCCACACTCAGCATGCTGACGCGGCGGTTCCTCGACCGCACCCCCATGTTGAAGACGAGAAATGCAAATATGTGGTGCAACGCAAACCGGCCACCATGGCGCCGGAGCACGATGTCGGCCCAAATCCGGAGGTTCAAGCTTCGGGAGGATACGATGTCTCCCGCTGCCGCCCCTGCCTCAGCAGCTCTACCGGTGCCTCGCAAGTTGGTAGGGCCTTCCCGCCTCGGCTATGGCCTCTTCGGCCAGCCTTGGTCCCCAACGCCAAATGGGAACAGGGTCGGGAACGTTCTGGCGAAGAAGGACGTCTCAAAGGAGTCGGCAAACTCATCCCCGCGAGACTCGAATGTATGGCTCACTGCCATCGTCGCCACGCCCTCGACCCCACCGAGGATCCGACCCACGTTCTCGGGCCCGCGCGGCCGTCGTCGGCACCTGCGCCAACAGCGTCACAGGCAAACCGCAGCTTTCGACATCCGCCACGTCTGGCGGTCCGTCCAGCCCAAACATGCCGGAAGACGTCACCTCGTTGATTGGTCGAACGTTCTGATCGGGGCTAGCACCAACTCCATCACGACCCGCGCCTTCTTCGTTGGGCCCGTGCCCTTCAGCCTCGCCTCCCGTTTCCTGCCTTTGGTTGAGCAGAGCGAAGAGTTCCTCGATCTCCACCGACCCTCGTCGTCCATGGCGCGCTCCGTGGGCGGCACAACGCGCCGTCCGCGTTTTCTCCCATGCGGACGGCTCGTTCCGCTCCATGCGATCATACACCAAGGCCGGCACCCCGTCTATCGGGTCTCCCAACTCTCCATCTCCGCCACGTCGATCTCGATCTCGGCGTAGTGGGGTTGCTCCTCTTCAGCCAAACAAGAGCCCTCTCGACGACCCGCCGCCTCACCGACAAGAGACTCGACAGGTCGCTCGGTGCCGGCTTCTCCACGCCCTGCCACGAAACGTGGATCTCGTCCAGTGCTTGCAAAGGGGTGCGGAGCACCTTGGTCGCCAGCTCCTGCACGTTGTTGGGAACACTGTGATGTGGCCTTGACGTGCCTCGATACCTCACGGCCTGCCTCTGCCCGCCCGGAATGCTATATCTCGTGACAAACCCATAGCAGGAGTTGAGCGAGACGAGCTTCTCTTCCACCAGCATGAGTCCCTTGAGCTCGTCAGGGAACATGTGCTCACAGCCAAGGCGAGTGTGAAGATGGACCGCCGGCGACAGACTCCCGCGCGCCAGGCATCGGGCACTCCGCACACACCGACACGGGCTCGCCTTCGGAAAGCAGCTCCGGCATGAAAATGGTGAGCGGCCGCCCTCTGGCACGCAGCTTGACAGCCATTGATCCCATCTGATCTCCTCAGCTCTTTTCTCGTACGCTTGCGGTAGCACATCATGCAGGTCCGTATCGGCAACGTGCTCGCATCGTGGAACGCCTGATAAAAATCCCGCACCGTCGACACCTTCCTGTCGTGCGGTATTGGCGTACACCACGTCTGATCGTTAGACAGCTCTCCTTCATGGCGAAGTCTTCCTCCAAAAACGCAGCACACTCGCCAGGTCTTCGGCCCGCAGCTCCCGACTCCTCTGCCTTCCGATTCCACTCCGAATCTGTTTTCTCGGGCGCTCGTCCGGACCAGGAAGACGTTTTCTTCTCCCGCCTCCGGGGCCGCCTCCGGGCCGCCTCCGATCCATGATTTCTCTCCGTGGCTGATTCGCTTCTTCGCAAGCCGTCGGATGCGGCAGCTTTGGCGACGACTGCCCGACTACGTGCGCATCCCCTGACACGCCATCCGGCCCTTTGCACTGGACAGGCACCGGGCCGTGCTGGCGAACGTTTTCCACGCCGAACCTTGACCTCAGTCCTTGCCTTTCCAGCACTCTCCTCGTTCTTGCTGCCGATCAAACTGCACGGGCTCCCCAGCCGCCACCCGCGATGAGCCGCCCACCTCCTTTGCTGCAGCCTCCGCCCGCTCAGCGAAGCGTCCGCTGGCTCTGCCGCGGCGTCGCCCACCCCACAGGAGACGGCCCCGGATGCTGCGCCGTACCTGCTGCGTTGGAGACACCCTGCGGCCTGGTACTCCTTTACCCGCCAACTCCGTCCCCGACGGCGCTTGGGCAAACCAGACGCAATCGCTGCTGCATTGCCCGTTTTCTTTTAAGTTGTCGAATCCCGGTTCCCTAGGCTGGATGGATCGAAGCTTCGGTCCCTCCTTCGAATGAACACTCGGGACATCGCCCGCCGCCGCCGTAACACGTTGCTCCTCATCTTCAGGATCTCCCTCCTGAGGCAGAAAGTGCCGATGAGGAGCGGACGATCAGAGTCCGCTACCCCATATCTCCACGTTCCCTAGGCAACAGGGGCCTCGGAAGCTGACCCGGTGACTGATGTTGCGCGGAACTTCCGCTGCTAACCATATTATGGAACTTCCGTGCTCTGTTTGACCGCAAACCGCCTCGCGGCGGTCTTCTCGGCAACGACCTCGCAATTGCTTCTGCGTGCTGTCTCCATGCGGTGTCTTCAACCACAGGTTTCCTAGGCTGAATCGGCCGGAACGTTGATGCCGCATTCGCCCGTGATTCGTATCTTCGTAACCGTCCCAGGCTCTCCCCGTGCTCTGCGGCCCTCTCAGAAGCTGCCACCACATCTACACCGGCTCCTGTCGCACCATCTCCGAGCCCCGAACCCGACCCGCTCACGTTCTCACCTCTTCCCCATCCCCGACTGACAACGAACAGGCTTCAGGGTGAGCAACCGCCTCGCTTAACTTCACTGCAGGACTGTCCGCCATGCTGCTGCCTCCTCGACGTCGACTGCCGTAAATTGGCAACAGGCTATAAAGCTTTGGCTCCGGAGCACCTCCACTTGGACAGTCTCGCTTGTTGACGACGCTACTTCTCCCGAATGGGAAGCTCCTAGCCATCACTTCCTCATGGCCGTGGCGTTTCTTCCTTATAGCTTCCTATAAAATGCTTCCCTATGGTACCGAGGCGATGCAATACTACCCCTCTATATTCCCCCGTTACCATGCCTATCTATGTGCGTCCACCGTCCCGGCCTCGCCTGGTCTCCACGTGCGACCTGCTACCCCGGCTTTGCCAAAAGCGACCCTTCCATCGCCGTGCTCTCTTTTGCGCACTCCAGCGAATCCCTGGCCACTGCCGACCTCCGGCACATGGAGATGGCCGCGACAACCGCCTGCCGCACACTTCAAACCATACTCTTCAGCCCTTCCAACACCATCCTACCAACCTTGCGCATCAGTTCACCATCAATAACCGCCAATCCGCCTCGTCGAGCAACAGCCACAAGGCTGCCGGCGATAACATGTCCATGACGTCCTCATGCAGCCGGACTACCCTTCTAGATTTGCTCCTCGCCAGCACCAATGTCGCATCAACGGCCTTAATGCTAAAGCGATAGCCAGGACCCCCCTGCCTGTCCTCTTGTAGTCGCTAGCCACCGGAGTCTCGACTTGCAAACCCTCTTGAAAGTTCTCGTGACCAACTCGCATCCTCCTCCTCAGGTCGACCCATATATCCGACTTCACCGTGTCCCAATAGTAGACTCGACACGGTCGGCACCCGCCTCGCTCAGCCGCACGCAATGCCCATCCAACTACCGACGACCGTCAAAAGGGAGTCCTGCAATACTACCATAACCTCTTTCTTTCCTTTACTCTCATTCGTTATTGCCCCCTTTGCTATCTACTCCATGCAACGATGACACCGAAGGGGACTACTGGACTTTCTTTCTCCGCAGTCTTACCCACACTAACCTTACCGTTCGCCGACCTCCAACTTCTCGCAACATAGCCATCACCCCTACTCAACTTCCAACCCCGGCTCCTACTTCACTCACGACCACAGAACCAGATGGTCGAGACTGCTCGAGAACCTCGCCAGCTCATTCCCACATACCCCGCTTCTGATCTATCACCTAGGTAGCATTCACTGACTCTCAAGTCTCCCGACCCGAGCCACGAGCCCTCTTTCGAGCAGCAAGAAAACCTGCTTTATAGGATGCCTACCTCTACTCTGCCTAACCCTCCTTTACACTTCCACGGTGACCACATCTGCCATGTTCTCACGATGTCGGCCTCCCAGCTCAACGTCGATACCTCGTCCTCCCGCGGCAACCTCTTGACAGCCAGAAAATGCTGGCGCCGACATGTCCATGATGGCCTTTGTCCAGCCCGGCTGCCCGTCTAGGTTCGCCTACCAGAATGAGCATCGTGTCAAAGGGCTCAACGCAGAAACCCTAGCGAGGGTCTTCCTTCCAACGCCCTCATGGCTGTCGACTCCAGAGTATGCAGCAATCCGGTCAGATCCTGACAATCCATCGACCTGCATCTTCTTGAGCCTTAATATTTCCATATACAACCAACAGATAATCCCCTCGGAATGGACCGAGCAGTGGTTCTTTATGGTCGGCCGTGTTCATCCCTTTGCCCTGACGTGGAAATCGAGCGACGTGATAGCTTCGAGTCGGAGGATGACAACATTACAGAATACACCATCCCGGCTCTCATCGTCCGCGACCACAGCTACCAGCCGTAGGTGTATGCTCCAGACCTCCGTCACCACTACCATCTCTGACGATGGCCACAGAGTCATCCTCGCACCCTCGGCTCGGCGGATGCCTTCCCAGCGATACAACCCATTGTCTCCTTCACGGGACCTGTCATCGGTTCCGGCCGCGACCTTCTGCATGGAAACTCGGCTGCGGCCCTTGACGACACCCAGCTGAGCTGTTGCGGCTTTGTCCAGCTCGACCTTTATCTGTCCTGGGATTCCGGGCAAAACACCCTTCAAGGGCTTTCATCCTTTCAACTTTTCGTCATCTTCCCATTCACGCCAATCCTTGACCTCCCTATGCAAGAAGATGACCGAGAGGCGCGATAGCCAGTTCCAGCCGAACGCTCTCCTCACCTGCACGGGCAAATCGCCGGCTTACTCGATCACCAGATCATGACACATGCCCCGGCCTTCGAGCAAGACTATATCTTCATCGTCGTCCCCGATACATGGACTTTCCTTGACAGGGCCATGTCCAACCAGGCTTCTGCGACACAGCTACTGCCGACGACACCCAGGGCTCAGTCGGCAACCCTCGGACTATAGCGATGCGTTGGCCAGGTTTACCTCTACCAAAAACGCAATGCCGCCCCAAGCGGCGCCTCCCACGCCGCCTGCATCTAGGTCAGTCGATCCTTATGATGACATCAAAGCGGTCATTGCCCGATCCCGACCAAACCCCAACCAAGAGACCGCGACTTTCTCCAGAAATTTCCACCATAGTCGCCGCCTGTGATAGTCGAGGCCCCGCCAAATCCGACACTTCCTCCTTCTGTCCCACGAAGACCCCGGAGACTCAGAGACGGACACCGAGCCAGTCAATCACCCAGCCACATCCGCCTCTGGCCCTATCAGACCTCCGGCGTCAATCTCTTCCCGACCCCACCGCGCCCGACATCCGCCCAAGAATATTCTGTAAAGCAACGAACGAAACAACACAACATGACAAGGAACATGTTTCATCATCCTCAAACTCAAGTGCGAAAGGCCCTAATGGGATATTTCCTTCTCCTCTTGCTCTCCTTTTCACAAAGACAATCCAGTCAAAACTTCTCCAATATACTCCTTATTCTGTTTATATCCACCACTTATAGCACCTGTAAATCCTCAGAGCCTTCCACTCCCACACATGCATTACCCACCCACAACTCTCTTCACCCCTGCCGCCTCTCCACGCCCTTTGCGCCTTTGCAAAGCAAAATCTCCCTTGCAGCGGCCTAGGCTGCCTCTCTGACGCTCTGTCTCGATTTCACTCACGATAATGCTCTACGTCTCTCGCCGGATCTCCATCTCATATCTCATATCTCACTCTTCTTCCTGTCTTCCTCTCACTTCCCTGTCTCCTATCTCCTGTCGCCAACTCTCTCCTCTCCCCGACTTTCTCCTGTCGCCATCGCCAACTTTCGTTCCGAAAGGCCTCTTTGCGCGAGCCGCGGCTGGCGAGCCTTCCCCTCGTACATTAATGCCTTGAGGAACGAAAGGCCTTCTAACGTGCCCCGCAGACCGCCCTCTCCCCAAAGGTTCTCCGCCCTTGATTGGTCCCTTGTGATTGGTCCTCCTTGCCTCCCTCCTCGTTGGTCGCTGCCCTTCCCCGGCTTCTGTTGCCTTTTCGCGTGCCTTATCCCACCACTAGGCGCCTCCCACCCTGTCTGCCGCCTGCCGACTCTTCCCGCCTGCCGAACTCTTCATCGCGTCACCTAGCGCGGCCGCCTTGACTCTTCAGCATCACCGTCCAGCCAGCGCAACGCCTCCTCAACGGTCCTCTCGCTCAGTACCTCGAGCCTGGCCTGTGCGGCAGTCATCTCCTCGGGGACCCGGTTGCCCACCAAGTCTCTGTCCCGCACCTTGGACACGAGCATGATGCCGTCTAGAGTTCGGCAGCGCGATAGCTGCACGTACAGGCCGTACGGGTCGCACTGCGAGGGCACCACCGTTCCATCCATCTTCGTCGTCCGTGTCCTCGCAGCTCGAGGGCCACGCGCTCCAGCGTTTTGCCCTGCACCTTGTAGTCCGTGCACGCGAACGCTGCTGCGCACGGCAAACCCTTTCGGCTGACGTCGTTGCGTTGCCACGGCCTTTTTCGCTGGCACTGTATCTTAACGGTCATGGGTGTCAACAAGATCGTGCCCGGCGGCATCCCGACGAAGTGGAGATATCTCGTCGTCTCCGATTCGAGAATGATCCCGCCGGCGGCCCGAAGTGGATCGTCATATCGGCCGAGATCCGATGCCCCGGGTACGCCTTGTCGACAATGACCTCCACCGCCGAGTAGCTCGCGCCGTTCACTAGCTTCAGCCCTGGTGGGTGTTGTGGTTCACGACGATGGGCATCCCGGCCACGAACATGAAGACGGCCGGCACCGGGATCGCGCTATCGTCGCCCTGGTTGAGTATCATGATCGCCTCTTCCTCCGTCGGCAGCTCCTCCTTCCACTTGTGCTCGGAGATGAAAATGCGCATCGTCGACCGCTGCTGGACCCGGAACGCCAGGCTCGCCTCCATGTTCAGGTTCCACCGATTCCTATTGAGCGGCGTCACCACGGTGATGCCCGTCTCCCAAGGGATCCGCCTTCCTCCCGGTAGCACCTTGAGTTGAGGAGGTTTAGATCCGTCCGATCCTGCACGCCTAGACGGATCCGCTTCAGCAGCCTCTGCAGCTCCGGGTCGCCGGCGGCGCGCATCTGCTCGTCCAGCATGACGACCGTCGTGAACCTCTTCCACAGTGCGTGCGCTTTGTCGTGCTGGTGACGCTGCTCGGCCTTGAACGAGTTGTCTACGTCCCACGAGATGGCCGCGCTAGGCAGGACGATCGACCCTCTTGGACCGGCCGGAACTGCTGAAAATCTCCGCAGAAGAGGACGATGGGGATCCCCCCGAAATCTTGCCGCGATCCGCGAAGCCGGCGAAGCCGCTCGTTCACGGCGTGCAGCGTCCGCGCCCCGAGCATGCTCACCTCGTCGATGACGAGCACATCCTTCTCCTGCCAATCCATTCGAGACTGGCCGTGGATGAACCGCTCCGCCTGTTTCGGCAGCCGCACCCGTCAAGGTCTTTGACCATGTTCGCGCCCCCCGCCCCTTGGTCTTTAGTGAACCCGCAGGCGGAGTGGATCGTGATGCCGTTGATCCGCGCCGCCGCAGTCCCCGACGTCGCCGTGATCAGCAGACGATTCGAAAGGCTCTTTTACTGAACAGCTCGACGAGTGCCTCGATGATTCGCGACTTGCCGGTACCGCCCTCGCCACCGACGAACTGGCGCAGCTGGCAGGCATCGCCCCGTCGGTCTGCTGCATAAAATCGAGCTGGCGGCATATTATCAGAAAAGCGATGGACTGCCTCTTGTTCAGCGTCAGCCGTGTTGCCAACACCTTGCCCGCCGCGAGGAGGAGGTTGATGGGCCAAACTGAACGTCCATTCCCGCCCCTGCGTCGATAGCGGTCTCGTCGGAGTCGGCCATCGTCATTTCGACCTCGTCCTCCCGAAACCGGTCATCACCTTCGCAACGCTGCGCGGCGATCGCTTTCCCAGGCGGCGGGCGTGCTTTGTATCCCTTGGATCATCCTCTCCTCTCCTTCGAGGCACTTACCTGCTGCGACTTGATAGCCTTGACCTGATCCTGCGGCGGAAGCGCGGCCCCGGCAAATACCCGCCCTGGCATGCTTAACCGCCTCTCCTCGTTCGATCAGCGCCGTGGCCTCGAGCTCGGCCGTCGAGCGCAGCGCCGATTGCTGAAACCGACAGAGCTGCTGTATCATTGCCATGAGCTCCGGCGACTTGGCCGTCACCTGATTCGCTCCCACTGCACCTCGGACGACGTCGATGAGCCGCGTTGCGTCTCCGATGCTGTTGGGCTGATATGTCGCTGCAGACTCCGCGCCCGCCTCGCCTGCTCCACCCTCCTCGACGTGTGCGACCGTCGGGTCGCCATCGCCGGACGAGGCTGCCCATTGCTTGGCGTCGCGTTTTGCGTCTTCGGCGGATCGTCGAAGCAGCTGCACGTTGTCGACGAGACATGATATTCTCGGGGCCATAGCGTCTCGAGCCCGCGCCCAGATGCTGTTGATCTCACCTGTTCCTTCGCCCAGGAAGGACTCCACGGCACGAACAGCGCAAGATGCTGCACGGCTGCCCTTCAGGGGGTGGGTTAGCCTCTCCGATAATGCCCGCTGACAGAGCAGTTGCCATACACACCTCCGGTAGCACGACTCGTCATCGTAGGTGAAGTCCTTGCTCAGGTAGCCGTCGAGGCAGGCGGTAGCGTGCTTGCCCGGCCGCCTGAGCACCTGAACCCAGCGTCGTCCCGGCGCCCATCCATCCTCGAAAGACATCTCCCCAAGCCGCCCAGCTCGTCGTTGCCGATGCGTTTCAGTCTGACGATCGATATGTAGTCATACAGGCATAGGCCTTTCAGCAGCTCTCCCGGTGCTGGTACGCCTCGACGTGGGAGATTCTCAGGCCTTCTTCTTCGACGACGACCGACTCATCCAAGGTGTCATCCGTAGCCGCAGCGCCACTGGCTTCTCGGAGATGCCGCCATCGCCGAAAGACTTCCCAGTACAGCAGAGAACAGTTCAGGTACGCCCACGCGCTGCTGTCGGTGAACTCGGCCGGATATCCGAGAAGGTGAGCGACGACCTCGACCTGTGATAGCGGACGCTCCGTGAACACGCGGTTCGCCACTCTCATCAGGAACTGTCGCGTCCTGTTCCCTTGACAGGGTCATCGGTGGCAGCGTCTCCGCCACCGTCCCGCCCTCCGTTGGCCGTGCCATCACCTGTTGAGGCGGCCAGGAGCTCGGCCGCGGCCGCCACACGCTTCCACACCGGGTCCTCCACCTTGGTCGCGTAGTTCGTGACATAATAGATGAGGGCCATTGTCTTGCGCTGCGTCGCAATGAAGGAAATATCATGGTTGTGCCGGAGCCCGACAGCAATAGCCTCGTTCCATCGATTGACCATGCTGTGTGTCCTCCGGATCTGCAGCACCCCGTCTGCCGTGAGGGCGGTCTTGTCGACTAACCTCCATGGCGCCTTGAACCGGCAGAGGTCCCCTTCCGCCCTCCTTTGCCCAAGGAGTACTTCACACAGGTCGGGCTATGCGTGTGCACCTGCGTCGCGCCGGCACAGAAGTTGGCCTCCTCGATAAACGCGGCCGAGAACTGCGCGGCGTTGTCCAGCAGGGAACCAATACCGCCCGTCACAGATCGCTCCGCTTGCACGGCGCAAAAACTTTCCTGGTCCAGATCCTGCCTTGCACGTCAACCCGGCCCCACTTGGCCATCAGAAGAGTACTTCAGGCTCCCGGTGGCACATCTTAGGTAGGCATTCTTACCTCTGAGAAGACGCTATCGATGTATCGGACGATTCGCTCGCGATACGCCGCCTGATCCTCCCCGTGGATGTCGGCAAGCATCGAGCTGAGATGCGCGTTCCCGTGCAGCCAGAGCAAGCCGTGAACATGAAGCGCCCTCGTTCGTTCGTCTCCACGGCGCCATAGTACTTGCCGATGCGCCCGAATACCGACTCTTCACCGACCTTCACGTAATGATCGAAGAACAGCTTCATCTCGCGGTGGAAGAACACGGCCGAGCTCATGGGATCCGATATCGCCAGCCGTGCCCGCTTATACGCATCCCCAAGGCCTTCTAAGAACTCCTCGGCCGCGTCGGGATCGCGTGCGGTATGCCGCCAGTCGCAGCTTCACCGGGTTCGTAATGTCGTTCGGGTTGATGGTGAACCAGATGGCCGGCACGCCATATCCGACGATGAGCGACTGGATTTTCCGCCGCATATTGAGACGGACTCTCTCGACATGGGCTGCCGGTGGCCGTAAAGCGAGAGGCTCCTGAGAAGCTCCTTCACGTCACCATCGGTCGTCTTACCCGAGCTCTCCAACTCGACCCTCGCCGCCGCTAGCCTTTCTGTGGTCATCGAACGCACGATGCGCTCTACCTTGCGGAAGTTCTTCCTCCCACACTCAACATGCTGACCCGGCGGTTCCTCGACCGCACCCCATGTTGAAGACGAGAAATGCGAAGATGTGGTGCAGTGCAAATCGACCACCATGGCGCCGGAGCACGATCTCGGCCCACGCCTGAAGGTTCAAGCTTCGAGACGATACGGGGTCTCCGCGGCCGCCTCTGCCTCGACAGCCCTGCCTCGCAAGTTGGCCGTGACCTTCCCGCGTCGACCATGGTCTCTTCAACCAGCCTTGGTCCCCAACGCCAAATGGGAACAGGGTCGGGAACGTCCTGGCAAAGAAGGACGCCTCAAAGGAATCGGTAAACTCACCCCGCGAAACCCGGATGTATGGCTCACAACCACCGTCGCCACGCCCCGAACCCCGGCTAGGGACCCGACCCACGCTCTCGGCCCGCACGGCCGTCGTCGGCACCTTCACCAACAGCGTCACAGGCAAACTGCAGCTTCTCCACGTCCGCGACGTCTGGCGGTCCGTCGAGCGCGAACATGCCAGAAGACGTCACCTCGTTGATCGCTGGAACGTTCTGGTCGGGGCAGGCGTCACTTCCATCGCGAACCGCGCCTTCTCCGTTGGGCCCGTGACCTTCACCCTGGCCGCCGGCTTCTTGTCCTTGGTTGAGCAGGGCGAAGAGCTCCTCGATCTCCACCGCGCCCTCGTCGTCCATGGCCCGCTCCGTGGGCGGCACAACGTGCGCCGTCCGCGCTTTCTCCCACCCAGACGGCTCGTTCCGCTCCATACGATCGCACACCGACGACGGTACCCCGTGTATCGAGTCTCCCAGCTCTCCATCTCCGCCGCGTCGATCTCGATCTCGGCGTAGTGGGGTTGTTCCGCTTCAGCCAGACAAGGGCCCTCTCGACCACCCGCCGCCTCACCGACAAGAGACTCGACAGGTCGCTCGGTGCCGGCTTCTCCGCGCCCTGCCACGAGATGTGGATCTCGTCCAGTGCTTGCAAAGGGTGCGGGAGCACTTTGGTGGCCAGCTCCTGCACATTGTTCGAAACACCGTGATGTGGCCCTGACATGCCTCGGATACTTCACGCTCTGCCTCTGCCCGCCCGGAATGCTATATCTCGTGACAAACCCGTAACATGAGTTCAGCGAGATGAGCTTTCTTCGACCGGCGTCAGTCCTTGAGCTCATCGGGGAACATGTGCTCGCAGCCAAGGCGACTGTGAAGGTGGATCGCCGGCGACAGGCTCCTGCGCGCCAGGCATCGGCCACACTCGGCGCACACCGACACGGACTCGCCCTCAGGAAAGCAACTCCGGCATGAAAATGGTGAGCGGCCGCCCTTTGGTACGCAACTTGACAGCCAATGATCCCATGTAATCTCCTCAACTCTCCTCTCGTACACTTGCGGTAGCACACCATGCAGGTCCGTATCGGCAACGTGCTCGCATCGTGGAACGCCTGATAGAAGTCTCGCACCGTCGACACCTTCCTCTCGAGCGGTATTGGCGTGCACCACGTCTGATCGTTAGACAATCTCTCCTTCAAGGCAAAGTCTTCCTCCAAAAAGCGCAGCACACTCGCCAGGTCTTCGGCCTGCAGCTCCCGTCTCCTATGCCTTCCGATTCCACTTCGACCTGTTTTATCGGGCGCCCATCCCGGCTAGGAAGACGGGCTCTCTTCTCCCGCCTCCGGGACTGCCTCTGTCCGCGCAGCGAGCCGTCCGCTGCCTCTGCTGCGCCATCGTCCACACCCACCTGTGCCCTTGGCCGCCGAACCGGTCCCCGACGGAGCTTGGGCAAACCCCATGCAATCGATGCTGCAAATTGCGCCGTTCGTCTTAGGTCTTGGAAAGTCGTATCCTTGGGCTGGATAGGTCGGAGCGTCGGTCCCTTTTTCGAACGAACACCCGGGACACCGCCGGTCGCCGCCTTATCTCCCTGCCCGTCACCTTCAGGACCTCTCCTGGGGCAAAACGGCCGATGAAGGGCGGACTGTTAGAGCCCACTGCCCCTGGTCTCCACGTTCTGTAGGCAACACGAACCTCGGAAGCGGACTCGGTGACTGACGTTGCGCGGAATTTCCGCTGCTGACCAAATTACGGGACTTCCGTGCTCTGCTTGACCGCAAACCGCCTCGCGGCGGTCTTCTCGGCAGTGACTTTGCGATCGCCTCTGCATGCTTTCTCCATGCGGTTTCTTCGACCGCAGACTGCTTAGGCTGAATCAGCCGGAACGTTAATGCTTCATTCGCCACTGATCTGTATCTCCCGAACCGCCCCAACCTTGTCTCCCGTGCTCCGTGCCCTTCTCGGAGTTGCCCTGTATCATCTCCGCACCCCGAAACAGGCACTCCCCGTTCCTACCCTCTTCTCCATCCTCGACTGACAACGAACAGGCTCCACGGTGAGCGGCCGCCTCGCCTAGCTTCCTGCAGGACTGTCCGCCATGCTACTGCCTCCTCGACGTCGACTAGCGTGGATTGGCAACAGGCTAGAAAGTTTTGGCCCGGAGCACTTCCACTTGGATAATCTCGCTTCTTGGCGTACACTATTTCTTTCCGAGTGGGAAGCTTCCTAACGATCACTACTCTCATGGCCGTGGCATTTCTTCCTTATAATGCTTGCCTATGGTACCGAAGCGATGCAATACTACTACCCTTTGTAATCCCCATTTACCCTCCCTATGTGCATCCACCGTCCCGACCTCGGCTGGTCTCCACGTGCGACCTGCTACCCCAGCTTTGCCAAAGGCGGCCCTTCCATCGCCGTGCTCTCTTTGCGCACTCCAGCGAATCCCTGGCTACTGCCGACCTCCGGCACATGGGGTGGCCGCGCCAACCGCCCGCCGCACACTTCCAACCATACTCTCCGGCCCTTCCAACGCCGTCCCACCCACCTTGCGCATCAGTTGCTCCATCAATATCTGCCACTCCACCTCGTCGAGCAACAGCCAAAAGGCTGCCGGCGATAACATGTCCACGGTGTCCTCGTGCAACCGGACTACCCGGCTAGGTTTGCTCCTCGCCACCACCAACGTCGCATCAACGGCCTTCATGCTAAAGCGACAGCCAGGATCCCCTGCCTGTCCTCTTGTAGTCGCTAGCCACCGGAGTCTCGACTTGCAAACCCTCTTGAGAGTTCTCGTGACCAACTCGCATCCTCCTCCTCAGGTCGTCCCCTATATCCGACTTCACCGTGTCCCAATAGTGGACTCGACACGGTCGGCACCCGCCTCGCTCAGCCGCACGCAATGCCCATCCAACTACCGACGACCGTCAAAGGGACCCTGCAATACTACCATAACCTCTTTCTTTCCTTCACTCATTCGTTATTGTCGCCTTTGCTATCTACTCCATGCAACGATGACACCGAAGGGTACTGCTGGACTTTCTTTCTCCGCAGACTTACCCACACTAACCTTACTGTTCGCCGACCTCCAACTTCTCGCGACATAGCCATCACCCCTACTCAACTTCCAACCCCCGGCTCCCTACTTCACTCACGACCATAGAACCAGATGGTCGAGACTGTTCAAGAACCTCGCCAGCTCATTCCCGCATACCCCCGCTTCTGATCTATCACCTAGGTAGCATTCTCTGACTCTTAAGTCTCCCGACCCTAGCCGCGAGCCCTCTTCGAGCAGCAAGAAAACCTGCTTTATAGGATGCCCACCTCCACTCTGCGTAACCCTCATTTACACTTCCACGGTGACTACATCTGCCATGTTCTCACGATGTCGGCCTCCCAGCTCAACGTCGATACCTCGTCCTCCCCGCGGCAACCTCTTGACAGCCAGAAAATGCTGGCGCCGACATGTCCATGATGGCCTTTGTCCAGCCCGGCTGCCCGGCTAGGTTCGCCTACCAGAATGAGCATCGTGTCAAAGGGCTCAACGCAGAAACCCTAGCGAGGGTCTTCCTTCCCACGCCCTCATGGCTGTCGACTCCGGAGTATGCAGCAATCCGGTCAGATACTGGCAATCCATCGACCTGCATCTTCTTCAGCCTTAATATTTCCATATACAACCAACAGATAATCTCCTCGGAATGGACCGAGCAATGGTTCTTCATGGTCGGCCGTGTTCATCCCTTTGCCCTGACGTGGGAAATCGAGCGACGTGATGGCTTGGAGTCGGACGATGATAACATCACAGAATACACCGTCCCCGCGCTTATAGTCCGCGATCACAGCTACCAACCGTGAGTCTATGCTCCAAATCTCTGTCGCCACTGCCCTCCTGACGATATCCATAGAATTGTCACTCGCACCTCAGCTCGGTGGATACTTTCCCAACGATACAACCCATTGTCTCCTTCACGGGACCTGTCATCGGCTCCGGCCGCGACCTCCTGCATGGAAACTCGGCTGCGGCCCTTGACGACACCCAGCTGAGCTGCTGCGGCTTTGTCCAGCTCTCCACCTTTATTTGTCCTGGGATTCCCGGCAAAACCCCTTCAAGGGCTTTCACCCTTCCAAGTTTTCGTCATCTTCCCCATTCACGCTAATCCTTGACCTCCTATGCAAGAAGATGACCGAGAGGCGCGACAGCCAGTTCCAGTCGAACGCTCTCTTCACCTGTACGGGCAAAATCGCCGGCTTACTGGATCACCAGATCATGAAACATGCCCCGGCTTTCGACCAAGACTATATCTTCATCGTCGTCCCCGACACGTGGACTTTCCACGACAAGGCCATGTCCGACCAGGCTTCTGCAACACAACTACTGCCGACGACACCCAAGAGCGCGGTCGGCAATCCTCGGACTATAGCGTTGCGTTGGCCAGGTTTACCTCTACGAAGAAACCCAAGGCCGCCCAAAGCCCCGCCTCCCCACGCCGCATGCTTCTGGCCCAGTCGATCCTTATGCTGGCATCAAGTCGGTCAATGCCCGATCCCTACCAAACCCCAACCAAGAGACCGCGACTTTCTCCCGAAACTTCCACCATAATCACCGACTGTGACGGTCAAGACTCCCAAATCCGATACCTCCTCCTTTCTGTCCCCGGAAGACCCCGCAGAGTCAGAGACGGACACCGAACAGGTCAATCACCAAGACACATCCGCCTCTGGCTCTATCAGACCTCCCGCGTCGATATCTTCCCGACCACTGCGCGCCCGACGTCCGCCCAAGAATATTCTCTAAACTTTAAAGCATCAAACGAAACAATACAACATGACAACATGTCTCATCATCCTCAAAATCAACTGCCAAAGGCTCGAATAGCACATTCTCTTCTCTTCTTGTTCTCCTTTTCATGAAGACGATCAAGTCAAAACTTCCCCAATATACTCCTTATTCTGTTTATACCTACGACTTATACCGGTAGCACATGTAAATTTTCCGAGCCTTCCACTCGCCCAAACATGCATTACCCACTCACATCTCTCTTCAACCCTGCCGTCTCTCCACGCCCTTTGAGTTTGCGCCTTTTAAACAAAATCTCCTCCAGCGGCCTAGCCTGCCTCCCCGACGCTCTGTCTCGGTTTCACTCACGATAATGCTCTACGTCTCTCGCCGTGTCTCGTATCTCGACCTCACTCTTCTTCCTGTCTCCAATCTACTGTCGCCAACTCTCTCTCTCTCTTCTGTAGCCAACTCTTCTCCGGTTCTCTTGTCGCCAAATTTCGTTCCGAAAGGCTTCTTTGCGCGAGCCGCGGCTGGCGAGCCTTCCTCTCGTATATGAGGATTTGGTGCAGACAGGGGTCATAAGTTTCTTGGGCTCTGATTGGTCCCAAATTTGTATGTACGGTCGCAAAACGATCAGCAACTGGATGACGGCTCCTAAAAAGTGGGTCCCGGTTTGTTTACTTGGAATGTCGCGTGACTTGGAATGTCGCGTGACATGGAAACTTCACTGACCCAACTCGTCTTGATATCTTGCTTCAAGCCTTCGGCTGAATAATGAGTTCTAGGTCTACTCAAGGGCTCCAAGTTGACTTGGCTTCGATCGTCTGTGCCCGCTGTGGCGAGAAGAAACCGGCAGGTGACTTCGTGAGCAAACGGAAAACTGGCGGGAACACCAAGAACTGCCTGGACTGTCGGAGTCGGTGCAGTTCTCATGTCAGCTCTGTCTTCCCGCTCCGTATGACATTCAATACTAACGAAGTGAAGTGTTCAAGATCCCGAGGGCGATTCTGACGTTGAGGACCTCGCCGCCCGTCCTTCCTCGCCTGGGAGAGCTAGCGTGAAAAGAGTCGAGGCAGATGCTGACCTGTCGCCTCCCAGCGAGATCGGGAACCCAGCCTAGTTCGCCGGAGAAGCTACGACGACTTCATGCAGCTATGACGTTATTCAAAGTCAATTAGCCAGCCGCACATAGAGCTGGGAACGCCAATTCCACCAACCCAACAAAGCTCGCGGTTCTTCCGGGCGCTGGCCCCGTCACCTGCTGAGCAGCCAGCGACCGATCCAGTCGCCTCCCATTTTGATCCATCGACTGCCCGAGGCAACGCAACCAGAATGAATTATTCTTACCTGGCTGCTAGATTTCACAAAGGCGGGAAGGTATCGCAAGATGATCTCTACCGCAGGGGCTAGGTTAAGCTGGCCGCTATCCAGCGCGACCATCGATCACGACGTCGTGCAGGGAGACTGTGTCCCTGACTCCTTCCATATCTCAACTCGGCGTCTCGGAAGGTTCGGGTGTCCTGGATAAGATGTCCCTTGTGTTTTCGTTGCAGCAGTGTGTTCGGGCTAACAGGGAAAGTAGATGCGAGTCGAGATCGGCCGCAGCCGAATGGGGATCAGGTAGCCAAGGAAGGGGGCAATAGAGACCAGTTTTCCGAACCCGATATGGACGCCGAGGACTATTTCAACCTGCTGCTTTCCCCCGCTCGACCGCGTCGCTACCGTGAACAATTAGGGGCTGATTGTAACTCCGATGCCGAGAACGAAGACGAGAACAGCGATAACGATTCAGTGTATGAAAGCCCTGTTCGTAGTCGCTTGCAGCAGCCGTCTGCGCGGCCAAGACGCGGCCGCCGTGGTCCTGCCCTGGCACAGGAGGGCGGCCGAGACAACCGGGAAGGCGAATCCAGAGACAACCTCGACGGCAATATCGACTGTCGCGGCCGCCACGGCGTATTCGAAGTCCAGTGATAATTCCACCGGAAGAAATGGCGGTCTTCCGTGCACAAGATCCGGCGTGGACTGGCGACCTGGATGCTTGGGCCTTGACGGACTGCGATAGGGCCACCCTCCGTGAGTTCTGGACCAAGCTCAACAATGACCAGATGGAATACTGCAGCCGATGCCGCGAGTGTTGGTTTCAGATGGAAATAGATTATGACGGCATTTGTTCGCGTTGCTATCGAAAGGATGAGAAACGTGGCCCCGACGAGCCTTACTTCTTCTCTGCGGAAAACCAGCTCGACTTTGGCCCCGTACCGACCCGATTGCCCGAGCTCACACCTACCGAAGAGGCATTGATTGCTCGTGTCCATGTCCACGTGAACATTATGCTTGTGCGGGGGCAGCAGTACAAGTATCGAGGGCACGTCGTTCACTTTCTCCGCGAGGTTGGCTTGGTGTACAACCAGCTCCCTCTCCTGCCGGGAGTTGAACAGGGTGTTGCTGCGTCCTGCCAACACGTCGTCACACGCTAATCTCAGCCGGCAATTCCCCCGCCAGTTCCGCGTGCGTCGCCAGGCGGTTATGATATGGCTAGACTACCTGCGCCATCATCATCCTGGCTATCGATCCATCGCGATCGACGACGAGCGACTGAGCCAACTGCCCGAGGACGGCAATGTGGTGGACGCCATCCCCCAAAGTCAGGTGGAGGCTGCCGATGTGGGACCGGAGGAAGATCAGGAGGCAGAGCCTGACCTAGAGGATGCGGCTGCGGTGCCTGACCTGTTGGCCAAGGACACGGAGCTGGATGCTCTGTGGTCTATTCTCGCGGGTGAATCCGAAGCGGATGCGGGGCAACCCCTTGCCACAGGCTCTCCAGGGCAGGCGAGGCACGAGCTCCAGCTTCCCAACATACGGCACACGCCGATCAATGAGTTCAATCACTCTCATGCCCTGCTCTCCTTGGCATTCCCTGCCTGTTTCCAGACGGCAGAGCCGACTTTGTGGAGCCTCGCTTGCGGTCCATTGAGTACAAGGATTACATCGAGCACGCGATGCGGTGGCACGACGGCCGTTTTGCGCGCCATCCAACCTTCCGCTTTGTCGCATTCAACACCCTGATGCGGTCCCAAGCACGTGCGAGGTCCAAATTCTTCGTGAAGCAACACGATGGCACCCGTGAGCCGCTCACGCGAGAGCAGCTTATTCAGGCGCTCGAACACGCTGAGGATCCACGGGCGCAGGCGCTGATCAACTCGATCACAAGGCATGCGGTGTCAATTCGCGGTACGCGACCCTTTTGGAATAGAAAGAGGCAGGACCTCGAGGCGTATGCCTACAGCTTGGGTTGTCCTGGCGCATTCATCACATTTAGCCCGGCTGATTTACACTGGCGGAGCCTCTACCAACACATGCCCCGATATGAAGAGACTCGTCTGAAAGACATGTCCGAAAGGACTTCCTCGAATTCGCAGAAGGGCTCGATAAGGACAACTGGGTTGTCTCGGCCTAATATTCACGCTGTAGAGAGTGTCCAGACGTCCAGATATGCTCTACTTTCCTCCACAAATGAAGCATCAAATCGGCAGAGCAAATATCACAGGACAGTCTATAAAGACCTCACCTTCTTCCGGATCTAGATAGCAGAATCAAGAGTCTTTCAGTCCCTGATATTATGCCTCCTTTGCTCGTCCTCCGTGAGATATTGTGCTCCTTACATTCTCAGGGATTGCCACTTGAGCCTGGTTAATCACGGCCTAGGTTATTAGGGGCGTGAAATGCAGGCACTAAGCGTAGCATGAAGATACAGTGATCTCGGCCTCGGGCATAATAACTCTCTTCGCTTCACCCCGTACCCGCGTCTTCTGCTCGAAGCTATACGCCAGCCCAATCAGTTCGGCCTCAGACCAGTGCCGTCCTACAAAGGACATGGCAAAGGGGATTGATGGGGCCATCATGACCAGGGTCTCATTTTTTGGGTCAGTGTTCGATATTATTGACGTGTTGGCTGGAAAATGTCCCAAGGGTACCGTCACGACAGACGCGCCGATAAAATTGGCCATTTTTGGAGCGTAGATGGTAGGCGACACTATAGCTGTAAGGTTGTGCCTCTCCAGGGCGCCGAGCAGTCCGTCGGGGCCCTGGAGCTGTTGAAGCCTTTGCCAGCTGGGCCAGAAGCGTGGGTCGGTGTTGTTGAAGCCAAATTTATCGAGAGCGTCATCCCAAACCGAAGTGCCCCATAGGTTGTTCTCCTCGGCTGGGGCGTTGCGTGTTCGGTTCCGTAAGTCGGCAAGCGTGTGGATATCGGATGAATTCTCGATGAGCTGGGCAAAGTAGTTGGGAAGGTCGGTCATCAAGTCCGCCCCGAGCGTCATGGAATCGTCGCGGTCGATAGAATTGTCGCTGCCCGCCCTTGTGAAGTTGGCTTCAACAATGGTCGCCCCAGCATCTTTCATGATCTTCAATGCCTTATGAAAGGCATCGGCCCAAGGACCTCCTTTCTTCCACAGGTCAGTTGCTTGATCCAAAACATTGTAGGGCACCCCGATGCGTGCTCCCTGGAGAGCCTTCTCATCGCAGGCCTCCACGTAGTCCGGGAGAGTGCCGAACGGTATTGCAGACGTGTAGTTGTCAGCCGAATCCGGTCCTGCGATGGCCTTCAGGACATGTGCCGCGTCCCGTACCGTCCGCGCCATAGGCCCGACTGAGTCTCGGTGCTCTGACGCTGGGATAACCAGGTAGCGCGAGACAAGTCCTACGGTCGGCTTGATCCCTACAATACCGTTAAAACTCGACGGAAATGAGATGGAGCCGCCTGTATCGGTGCCAATTGCTGCAAAGGCCAGACCCAAGTCGGCAGACACACCGCTGCCGCAGGAGCTCCCAGCAGGGTTCTGATGTGGATAATACGCGGCGTGTGTCTGGCCCCCGTATGGCGAATAGCCATGATGAAGAACGCCGGTGCGAAAATCAGCCCATTCGTCCATGTTTGCTTTGCCAAGGATAATAGCTCCGGCTTCGCGGAGCTTCCTCGCTACCGTAGAATCGTGGGGAACCTTTGCTCCGAGCAGGAGAGTCGATCCGGCTTGAGGCTGTCTTAGTTGCCATGATTCACTGCTGGAAGTTCTGGAACTGGCTAAAAGGAGCGTTCAGTACATACCAGTGTTATTCATCTTGTCCATCGTCGCGACGTTATCCTTGAGAAGGATAGGTATCCCATGCAGAGGCCTGTACTTGCCGTGAGAAAGCAAGCACCATCAAGTGAGGCACAAAGTCGTGGCTGCTACTCACCCGAGACGTTTGCCGCCGATATTCCTCTCCTTGTCGAGAAACGTTGCAATAGCAAGAGCATCTGGGTTGATCTCGGTGACAGCACGAGCTTTGCCCTGAACCTGCCGGATGCGCTCTTGATATGCCTGCTATTAGTTAAGTAGTGTGAACATGATATAAAGTGAACGTTCTCGAACCTACATTTACTAAGTCGAAACTATTGAAGCATCCCCTGTGAAGTCCTTGCTGAAGGTCTTCGAGCGTAGCATTAATGAGACTAGGAAAGGTCCATTTAGCTAAAAGAACACAAGGGGTTAGCATGGAGGCTCGCATTTACAAAGACCTATTGCAGTGCGGGTAAAAAGACGTAACTATTGGTCGAATATGCCGAGACACAGAGAACGGTCAAACAAAGGCACAGGACTGAGATCATCCCCATGTGATTCTCTTTATACATCTTGTTGTTCGTTTAACGTAAGCGAACGAGGCGGCTGCAACATGAATGGCTGAATACTGGTAGTAGATCAAGTAAGAGAAACAAGAGATAGCTCTGCATCAAAGTTCGTATATCGATTTACTGAGAGGTGACTGGTATCTAAATACTATGCTAATGTCCGTTTCTTAGTGACCTTGGTTTCTCTAAAGAAAAGTGATACGAATCATGCTAGCCTCCCGCAAAGGGGCATAAACCTGAGAAAGCAAGGGCCCCCGGCGAGACTAACTTATGTAGGCTCAGGCCGAAACTCTTTTCATTTTATATATATAGGACAAGTAGTGGGCTGCGGCATATACTGAGCTGAACAGGTGATCAACCCTCTCGGCTCTTCTTACTCTAATCCCTTTGAGTGCTCGGGAGCAGCCCCCAGGTCACAAACAGGGATTACCCGTGCCACGCCCCACCTTTATTTGTAACTCGCGAGCGCGCCCCACCTGGGCGCAATACAAAATAATAATAATTGTGGGAATGTAGCATATAGCTATAGTAGGATTGTAAGGGAGGTGCGCACACACGCACACGTGACCCTTAGCGTCACGTGTATGGACCTCGGGGATCCGTGTATAAAGGGCACGTAGTGTGCCCCCTCATTCCCTTTCCTCCTTCCTAGCAAGACATCTTGAATACAACCCATTGCGTTACTGCAGTACAGACCTCCCGACACTGATCAGTGATCGATTTGGTCGATCACAGATTGGCAAGGAAGAAGAGATAGAACGCAACCTTCGAAAGCCCAACTACCATATTCCTAGCGATATTGCCCTGGTTGGACCTAGAGGAGGTTTCTATGCTAAGATCAAGGACTCTACGATTACCCGGACCCGGCAACCAACTAGCTCCCGGTAGGCCATTGATAGATCCTTCCAACTTCACTTAACGGTTACATTAAGTGTAAGTGCGTCCACAACGCCGATTCGACAACTACGTGACAGCCCTCACGATTCGACAACTACGTGACAACCCTCACAATGACAAGCACGACCCCAACCCCGAACCCCGCCTCTACGAGGAACGACGCCTTCCTCGACCAAGTAAGGAATTGGTCCAAAATCTCACGATCCCAAAGACCCAATATCAGGATATCGATCCGACCCGATGGGAGGATGAGATCACGCCACAAGAGGAAGATAGAATAGCTGTTATGACATATACCGCACGATTTATGTCAGAATGCGAGGAGAACGTACACCTTCATGGCACTAATATCCTTGAATTCTTCCAGGATCACTTCCAACAGTGGACCGAGGCAACGTGGAGAAAGATGCCAAAGGAATTTCGAAGGAGCTACGTTACCTTTTAAAGAGACGTGGTATCTATACAGGAGAAAAGGGTGACCACATCATCCCACAGCTCGTCTTCCTACAGACGATCGATAACCCACCAGCCTGGCCCGACAACGAATTCATGGTAACCCAATTCGATAAAGGAACGGAGGCCTATACAAGAAAAGAGAGACGACTAACGCAGAACCCTCCCACCTCCAACACGGCGGAGCCATCCACGCCGTTAGCCCCTATTCCGACGCTCCCTGCTCCTCCCGCTACGACAATTGCGGAACCGCCCACAACGACTGCTACGCTTCCCAACGAACAATACATCCTACAAGCTATCAGTTCCAGCAACAGAGCATCGTTCTAGCAGAACCCTCTTCTCCCACATCCCTCGAAGCGTACACAACGCTTCCCCCGGCCGACATCCCGAACGACATCGTCGATGCCGACACACAACAGAAATTCACCAAGATCTGGGACAAAGAGAAGAACTATACGGGGGAACCCTATGACCTTCTCGATGATAAGCTACGCATCTTTATGAGTATCTGTTATAACATTCAGGTCAAGCCGGACCAATTCCACGCTCTTTTCCTCGAATCCTTACTGGCCGAGCCCAAACGTACTACATTGACCACGTTAACTGGACCTCAACGTTCCGCAAGGCATACGATAGCATCAAGCAACATTTCGATACGGAAGTTAACCACGTTCACTACTATACTGAATGGACGACTATTTCCTTTAACAAGCTCCGTGCCGATAATGCTACGAAATCCCTACACGAGGTTCTTCAGCTACTCCTTGATAAGCTACAGTTATGCCAACGAGCTCTTGGCAACGCGTATGCAGGAAACGTTCCACTGCGTACAACGCTTATTAATGCATGCCGCGGTGTTCCTGAACTTGAATACGCTTTATTCAAGCCCGCCGAAGGAATCGAGCCCTTTTGCAGATCTTCGCTCTTCCGTTGAGACCCATCTTGCACGCGGAATAGCGCCTCGTTATCTTCAAGGAGGCCCTCAATACCATCAAGACCTCGAGGAACCATCTGATCATATGGATCCCAATGACCACTACTATCTCGATCGAAGATACAACAACAATCGCGGAAGATTTGGTCAGAAGGGTATAGAAGGTATAGAGGCAACGCTCAACGAGGCAGCTACAACGCTCCACGGGGAATCTTCAATAGTCAACGCTTTAACCGCCCACAAGGCCGTTACGGCCACAACCACCCGTGGAATAAGAAGTGCTTCGTCTGCAATAAGGAAGGATGTTGGTCTACAAAGCACACTGCCGAGGAACGTCAAAGATCCGAGACCAATACGTCGCCCACTGTCACTTCATAGGGATTACCCCTCCCAGGACCTTACAGCCTACGTTCTTGACTTTGAAGGTCACGAGATGGATGCCCACGATGATGCTAACGACCCTGGGACGAGGACGACAATGAAGATAATGACAACAACCCAGAACAGTGGCACACAAGCCAAATGCTCTGCCAGCAAGCCTTCAACCATCTGATCACAGGGGAAGACGTGTATAGCACTCTCAAAACAACGCTACACCTGCTTCCCAATTCATGATAGAGGAGCGCTACTCAAGACTCCGATTCCAGGGCATCATAATTGACACAGGCGCCGCGAAGGTTTCCACAGCTGGCTACGACCAATGCATCGCTCTACAACGAGAAGACCCTGCTATAACGCTCGATAAGACTACAGCAGGCCAAGCTTCTATCAAATTCGGCAACGGCGAAGCCATTCTATCCCTCGGCTCTATCGCCCTTAAAACACCTCTCGGAAGGATCACATTCCATATCCTCAAGACCCCTACTCCCTCCTCTCTCTCTCGCTGATATGGATCGCCTAGGCATCTATTTCAACAACCTTACAGACACTATTGTCGGACGAACAACCCTCCCGGTTATCCGCAAATGGGGACATCCTTGGTTCCTCCTACCTAAGACCAACGAGGCCGCTATCGCATTCCTCACGGAGAGCGAGATCCGCACTCTTCATCGTCGATTCGGGCACCCAGCGGTCCCAAGACTTCACAACCTCCTACGGCAAGCTGGCCACAACGATGTGACGATAGATATCCTAGAGAACATCTCGAGATTCTGTCATCACTGTCAAATGCACTCTCAAGCTCCAAGACGCTTCAAATTCACCCTAAAGGATGACCAGGAATTCAACTACGAAATCGTCGCTGATGTGCTCTACCTTGAACCCCTCAACGCCCCGTCTTGCACGTGGTAGATACAGCAACAGCGTTCCAAGCAGCCAGGTTCCTCCTATCGATGTCAGCAAAGGATACGTGGGAAGCCCTCCGAGCCCTCTGGATAGACACATATCTCGGACCCCCTGATACTATCAAGCACGACGCAGGGACCAATTTTGCCTCCTAGAGTTCCGTAACGAGGCAAAGCTTATGGGGATAACCTGCAAGCAAGTCCCTGTGGAAGCACATTGGTCCGTTGGAAAGGTTGAAAGATATCATGCCCTCTCCGCCGTGCGTTTGAGATCCTCCACGCAGAAATCGGGACCTTCACATCCCGAATCGATCCTTCAAATGGCTATCAAAGCCATCAACGACACAGCAGGGCTAAATGGCATTGTCCCTACGCTCCTAGTCTTTGGCGCCTACCCTCGAATGGCGTTAGATTCGCCCCTTCTGCTACGACCCTGAAAGGGCTGCCGCAGCCCAGAAAGCGATGAAAATGCTTCGTCAGCTCTCAGCAGAGCGGCAAGTGCAGGGCGCCTTACACACAAAGAACGGACCATCATCAACAGGCGTTATACTATCGCTCCCACTGCAAAGCGAGGTCCGAGTGTGGAGAGAAAAGCTCGGCTGGCAAGGCCTTTTAAGATTAGTGCAATTGATGGCTCCAATGTCACAATTGATACTATCAACGGACCCCAGACCTTCCGTTCCACCCTTGTGCAGCCTTATTTCCGCGACGAGACGACGATCCCTGCCCCGCTGCTGCTGCTGCGGATGATTCTGACATTCCTGTTTCTGATCCTGCGAGCGATTCTGTTCCTGTTTCTGCCCCTGCCCCTGCCCCTGTTCCTGCTCCTAATCCCCCGGCGCCGCGCAAGCGAGGCCGCCCCCCTGGTTCGAAGAACAAGCCAAAGACGACGTTCCTAGTCAAGAAGGAAGAAGATGCCTACCAACTAGCCATCAAGCTACGGGACGAAGGCATTATCACAACGCCAGGCACCCTTTGAGGAATCCGATAGCACGGAGATCGATGATCTATTGGTACGAGGAGTGTTTAGCTTCGAACGCTACAATGAAGCAAAGCACGGGAACCATCATATCTTCCGCTCCCGCATGGTCCGCGAGGTTAAAGGCAAAGAAACCAAACCATACGAGAAGTCAAGGCTCGTGGTCCAAGGGCACAACGACCAAGAGAAACCACCCTATTGACGCAATCCCCGACAATTCAACGCGTCAGTCAACGGCTTGTTTCTGCTATCTCCCCAGACCTCCTTTCTCACGGCATGACCTCTCTCTTCGTGACATCACACAAGCGTATCCCCAGGCGCAGACCGAACTATTCCGCACCATTCTCACGCATCTTCCCGCCGAATTAGAAGGAAGATACCCGGAAGGAACAATCATTCGCGTTATTAAGCCCCTATACGGAATTGCGGAGGCCGGAGTCCATTGGTTTCGAACCTATCACGGGCATCATGTCGATAACCTCGACATGTCCACATCAACCTACGACCTATGCTTCCTAATTACGAATAAGGGACCTGATAACTTTGGGATTGTGGGAATGCAGACTGACGATACCCTTATGCTTGGCACACAACGTTTTTCCGCGCTAGAGGAAGCGGAACTCGTAAAGGCACAATTTCGGGCAAAGCCGAAGACAACGATGACCCCGGGTACTAGCATTGACTTCAACGGTGCAAAGATAACCCTCCAAGACACCACTTTCCACAACGCTCTACTGCTTCAACAAAAGGGTCAAGCAGCCAAGATCAGAGTTGGAAATCGATCTTATAGATCGATTTTCGAGCCTGATCGATCGAATTTTATCGATCGTCACCTTCAATCGATCGATATCGATCGATCGCTGTTTGATTCGAATCGATCGACGATCGAATCGATCAATACTAAAAATCATCCCTATCTAGGGTGATCTTGCCCATCAGTTGAAGAACTTGCCTCCAATTGTCCCTTCAAGCAGACCAAGAGGAAGTGTCGGCTGATAGATGCCAGCTTTACTCCAGGAACGAAGACACTGCGCCATCGCCACAATATGGCGTCGTAGGCGAGATCTCAGTGGTGTTATCATCCTCCCACAGCTGCTAAAATCTCTTTCCGTTCCTGCTGAAGACGACGCGATGGTAAGGTAGTCAACAGCCATATAAGACAGCCGAGGAAACCGCGCAACACCAACGTCCTTCCACCAAGCGATTGGGTCCGTTTTGTATGCGATATTTTCCACCGGCGGCTCTGATAGGTACTGATCAAGCTCGTCCTGTTCTTGCAAGGCGGTTGACTGCTTTGGTCCTTTAATTTGCCGCCCTCGAGGCTCAGGGCAAGCCAATGATCGACTAAACGCCAATCGACGCTCAATATAGTCCAAGCCACTATTAGTCGTATCCGCTGAAACACCATCGCAGGATTGCCGATGAGCCATGTTCTTGTACTCTCTTTCCAGACTGTCGCTAAGCTTCTCGCATATGTTCTTTCCCACCCGACGTCTGACGAGACGGAGTTGGCTCCAAAGCCGTTCCAGAGCGCGCCACTTCTTGCAGGGTGGAACACCACTGCCGCTACATATGCGGTTGAGGTCAGCTTGCTATAGTAGTCGTTCAGCTTCTTCCATCCGAGCTTGATGTAAATCTTCAAAACCCTGCGAGTTCTTGCGTCCATGTCATTGAACAGGTGAACCTCTTTCATGGTCTGATCTTCGTTCTCTTCGATTATAACTCCCTGAACTGCTAGTTCGAGGTGGTCAAGGAGCATCTCTACCACCGGAAGTACTCATCGAACCCTCCTGACGTGGAGCGTTTACCAGCAATACCCTCGCCCTGGAGTTGCTTCGAGGCGATCTTGAATGGCTGAAGGATCTTCTGAACCGCAACAACGACCTTCCATTCTTCAAGGGAAAGTTGTTCTTTCAGTATCGCTGGTTTGTCCTGTTCTTTGCCGCCTTTGCCAAGCCATCGTTCCTCGATGATGGAAAACATCCTGTTCAAAGCCGTACGCTTCAGCAGAGCGCGTGAGGCCATCGCCTCATCGGATTGCCAGCGAGTGCAGACGTTTTGAACCCACGTAAGAATAGGTTCAGTAGGAGCGGTTTGCCGTTGAGCTTCGTAAAGACCTCGAGAAGTTGACTGCTCGTTCGAAGAGCAATGCCAATATTGTGAAGTTTGCCAAATGGCCCAAACTTGCGGTACTTGTCCACTTCTTCGCCATTGATGATGTCGGGCAGTACGTCCTGATCCTGACTGCCTTCTGGGACTGTTTCAACCTCGAATCCTTCTTCCATGCTCGGCACACAGAAGTCGTCGTCGGTCGCCAGCTCATTGATAGCGTCGGACAACTGGCGCTGCTCTTCCTCTTCAGCCACAAAGTCCTTATCGCCCCAATGAGCAAGCAACTCGTTGAAATTATCCCTTTGCTGCCGTACATCATAGCCCTGACGGCCAGGTTCAGAAAATGAGGGCGCAGCGGATGCGACGCTCTTCCCTGTCGAAATCGAACTCAGCGGCAAGCGCTTCCACAGCCGTATCATTATTCGTAGCGTTGTCAAGCGTGTAGTACCCGATTCTGACGCCGGATAACAGTCAAGATTGTCAGCTAACGGACCCAAGAAGTGTTGACTGTGGTTCTATACCTGTCTTCAAGACCAAACGCGCATATTGTATCTGCAACTTCATCTGCAAGCGCTGCTCCAGTATGGCGTTTCGCGAGAGCCGGCAAAGCCAAGAGGATTCCCCATTGGTTCCAATCTTGGTCGATAAAGTGGGCGTTGATACCGAGGAATGATGTGTTTTGTCGGAGTCTGAGTTTACGACATTAAAGGGGAGGTTATGATATGTAAGCCAGTCGAGCAGGAGCAGTTGATTCATCTTCGGATCGAATAACGTATGCAGATTGCTGAGAAGAGTCTGATCTCGAGGGTTCGTCGGATCGGCGCGAAGCATATCAAGCAGGTTCCGTTCTGCACCTCCACTCCCGGTAACTGAGCCTGCACGTTGTCTAGAAGGTGGCTGACAAGTTAGCGGGCATGATCGAACGACGTGGAGATGGGGTACGGAGAGGTGGCACAAACCACGACTTTGTGCTCCTTCCTCAGATGTCGGACGACGCTTCCCAGTCGAAGCGATGAAGACGTAATGTGCTGTCTTCGGCCTGTCCCGGAGGAAGCATCTCTCGCAGATCCATACGATCTTGTGGGGCCGTGACCTGTTGTCCTTCATTCTGAATCCGAATTGCCACCACCACGTCCGTTCTCGAGAAGGGTCGTGGCAAATCGTGCCGGGGAACCGCCCAAATTTATCAGTCGTCCAAGCTTCATAATCTGGAAACCCCATGGGTGCATATTTAGTTGATGCTGAACTGGTTGTCGGCTCGGAAGGCGGCGGCGTGGAGGAGGCGATCTCTATGTCCTCATCAAGCGCGTCCATGGTGGGAAACGTCCGTAAACAATGTGGGCGAGGTCAAATCGAAGGGTGCGAGGCTGATAAGGTCGAATCTGTATGAAGTCTACTCGGACAGGCTGAGGCCCGAAATAATTCCTGGTTGCGACGCGTACTGATTCCGTTGAACGGGGAGGACTTGCAAACGCAAGAGACGGAGAGATCAATTTACTTTTGTCGACACGCGACGCGCGGCAACAAGATAGATATGACTGGCTGCCTGGGACCCCCGGTCGTTTGCCAGGGTGTTTGGCAGACGCGTCGGGCGGCAGCATCGTCACGCATCCAACCTACGCAGCCTACCCTGGACACCTTGTATGGACATGGCGAACGACGATCAAATCGATCGATTGGAGGTTGGATCGATACGATATCGATCGAGCAGGACTTCTAATCGATCGATCGAAATCGAAATCGATTCGATTAATCGATTCGATCAAATCGATTGTACGATCGATTTCCAAGCCTGGCCAAGATCGAACCCATCGACATCAAGGCATACGATCGAGCCCAACAGTACGTGGAACAGCGTGCCCGTGGCGCGTATGTGGCTTCAATCTGTCAACCAGAGGCCTCATTCGACATCTCTATTGCTGCCCAGGTCCAAACCCCTACGGAAGAGGATTGCACGACCCTCAACAAGCGGCTTCAATGGCAGAAAGACCACCAGCAGCGAGGCCTAACGTATATCCCTATTGACCTCGCCAATGCCAAGCTTATCGTCTTTACCGACGGTTCCTTTGCGAACAATAAGGACCTATCGTCACAGCTAGGCTTCGTCATTGCCCTAGTCAATGAGACCGAGACCGCACGTACCAAAGACCAATTCGGGATCAAGGGCAATGTCCTCCATTGGAGCTCAACGAAGTGTAAGAGGGTCACCCGAAGCGTGCTAGCATCAGAGATCTACGGCATGGTCAACGGATTCGATATTGGGATATCACTAGCAACGACGATACGGAAGATCACAGACCGCCTCAATCTTCCCCCCTATCCCCCTAATCGTTTGCACCGACTCTTTTTCCCCTCTACGAGTGCCTCGTTAAGCTAGGCACAACGAAGGAGAAGCGATTGATGATAGATATCATGGCCCTACGTCAATCCTACGAAAGGCGTGAGATCACAGAAATCCGCTGGATTAACGGCGCAGACAACCCAGCAGATGCTATGACAAAGGCATCGCCTAACCGCGCCCTCGAACGCCTCGTCGATACGAATAGCCTTACGATTAGGATAGAAGGATCAGTCGAACGCCCTCCCCGCTAGCTGCCGCTCGAACCGTCACTCTTTTCGCACCCTTGCGGTTGCTGCTACGCTCCCGCACCTGCTGCTACTGCTGCGATTGCAGCGATAAAAGAAGATTTGCCAGTGTGGGAATGTAGCATATAGCTATAGTAGGATTGTAAGGGAGGTGCGCACACACGCACACGTGACCCTTAGCGTCACGTGTATGGACCTCGGGGATCCGTGTATAAAGGGCACGTAGTGTGTCACGAAAAATCAAGCCACCTGTTGTTCAGGTGACATGTTCAATTGAACATCAAATCTGCTTCGCGACACACCCCCTCAGGGATCACGGGCTAGCCTGGGATTCCTGAGACCACTCTCGCTTTAGCTCTGGGCCCTCTCTGCCTTGTGCCATTCGGGCTACTCTGCGACAGTGCCTCGGGCTCTGGCTATGGCATTACACAGGTGCAGGTCTCGAACACTGACTCCGTCGGGGTGCGCGCTAGCCTAGGTGGTCGTGCGCAGTTACCGGAAGTTCCAGGAGGGGTTAGCCCCTCCTCCCGGGCTCATAACTGTCACGAAAAATCAAGCCACCTGTTGTTCAGGTGACATGTTCAATTGAACATCAAATCTGCTTCGCGACATAGTGTGCCCCCTCATTCCCTTTCCTCCCTTCCTAGCAAGACATCTTGAATACAACCCATTGCGTTACTGCAGTACAGACCTCCCGACAATAATAATAAAAGGTGGTGCTTGCTTGAGCGGGTCCAGCATTCGCTTGTTCATCACGAGCTCACCAAAGGTGAGATGGGACCATGTACAGAAGGTTTATAGCTTAGCGTAGTGGCTCTATAGGGGGAACCCTCCGGGCGTAATACAACTTGAAAAAAAAAAAGATAGTGCTGGGCTACAGTCACCTTCCAAAAGTTCCGCCTAATCCAAATCCGACCCAAATTTGGTACGGCAACGAAGCAACTTTAGAGGCGCAAAACACAGCCAATTTAAGGGCAATTGACTAGCCGTTTGATGAATCTTATTTAGCCGAAGTTGGAAGTTTTCGAGGTTATTCTCAGTATTTAGTATACCAACCCCGCGCGACTACAACAGCCGCACAACGCCGAGGCATCGAATCCACGAGGTTTTCCAACACCCTCTCTTCAATCTGCTCCCACGCCTCAACCGCTGCTTCGCATAGCTTCCGCTTTGCACAGTCATTTTTTTGGGAGGCCAACAAGGTCGGGGTGGTTTTCTATAAATTTTTCCTTTAAGACTTTCCATAGATTCTCAATCGGATTTAAGTCCGGCGAATAAGCCGGCCAGTCGGGCAAACGCACCCCGTTTTCTTCGCACCATGGCACAAGCCAGTCTTGCACAACCGCAGCCGTATGTGTAGAGGCGTTATCTTGGGCGAATACGGAACCGGGCAGATCGGCCGTGGATCTCGTTGCTGCCTTGATTCATGACATCGAGGAGGCATTTGCCTGCAAGCAGGTTGCAACATTGGTGACTTTGGACATTCAGGGCGCCTTCGACACAGTCCTCCGCAACAGCTTGGTCCTTCGCCTACGGGAGCAAGGGTGGCCTGGGCACCGACCCTCGCGCGATGGGTCGGCTCGTTTATGCAAGACAGGTCGGCACCAGTGTTGCTAATAATATAAACAATACGTATATTGGCAATATGGACCCCTCGCAATATTATTGTACTGTCAAGAGGTGCGTATTGTATTGCGCAATATGGCATTGGTCCATATTGTATTGTATTGCCAGTGACCCAATATATTGCCAGTAAAACAATATATCCCGTATATCCCACGTGACCCTCATTATTCAACCGTCGTTGCTGAAATATCGTCACCCTGAAAATCCTGTATCCCAAACCATGACTTCAAGCACTCCAATGCCTGAATTACATCACTCCCAAGTCGATTTCGACGGTCTGTGATGGTTATTTTTGCCCCAGAGAAGAGTCTTTCGGGCTCAGCAGACATTGCGGGAATTGACAGTATATCCACCGCCATTTTGCTCAGGTATGGGTAGTTCTTTTGCTGTGTTTCCTCCAGCCACCATGCGAGGGCGCTTGTGAACCCATAAACCCGTTCAGACTTACAATATCGCTCGTACTCGTCTGTGATAAGTGCTGGTTGTAGGTGCTTGTTTCTCCAATTCAAGAACTCGTTCGTGGTCGTCAACGGAACCTCAGATAGAGAAGGCGGCTCCACAGGTTTATAATCATCCCACAGTGTCTCCATCAGCTTCTTTGACGAGTCAGCCCACTCCTTCTTCCAGTTTTCGTGTATGTAGTGCCATTTATGCGAAGGGTGAAGCACAATCGCAGCGACGTAGGCAGGCGATTCGTCAGTAAGACAATAGTACTTATCCATCTTCGCCCAGCCCGAGTTATACATTGGTGCCATAATCGGATCGTCGATATGTGCCTCTTTTCCTGCTTCAAATTGCGCCAATACGAAGTCCATAGCCAAGAGAACATTGTCAAGAGTTGCAAACGATGACTCAAGGGCCTTTGTCGTCATTTTAAGCTTCTCCAAGAAAGACTTGATCTTCTCGAGGATGACCCACTCCTCGGGAGAGAGCTCGTCTCCGGCACAATCTCCTTCCACCCATTTGTTGAATATCCTCGACTGCGCCTCTAAGATGCAAGGCCGCTCGTAGCATGGTGTACCACGAACTCCACCTCGTGTCATTATCTCGCGCAAGCTTGCGATTATGGCTGATGGCCAGAAACTTTTGGCGACGCTGAACACTACTTTGGACGAAAACCACGAAGTTGTGGAGCTTGCCAAGGGACCCTTTTCCGCCACGCCTCGATCTCTTTTAGTGTCACATTATGCCCATCACGTTCGTCGTCTTTGAGCTTCTCATTATCGGTAACGAAGAGAAAGCTTTGGCGGCAAGGTTGATAATGTGACCTTGGCAGCGGAGTCGGTGAGATTTGGGATCGTATCGAATGTCATATCGACGTAGAAGGCCTGTAGATGTTAGGGCCAGTCAGAAAAACAGGGCACCGTACTTACCAAGGGAAAGAGATCTCATCATTGTATCGTTATTGCCTGCATTGTCCATCACAAAATATCCAAGGTTGGAAGCAAACCCCAGTCATCAACCACTTCCAAAATTGCCCTTGCCAGGTGATATCCGTCGTGCTCACTGTCGATGTCTTTCAAAGCCAAGACATGGTGTTCCAACTGACTGTCTTCTGCAACGTAATGAGCAACTACGCCTAAGATGGCCAAAGAGTTGGGGGAAGTCCATAGGTCGCAGCTGATATGAATTTTTGACTTTGCTGACTGGATGCGCTGCTTGACCTTCTCCTTCTGACCTTCGTACTGCCGCATAATCCATTTCTTGATGGTCTCGTGTGTATCTGGAAGCCAAGTATCGATATCGGCGTTGAGGTAGGCTAAGAATGCTCGGAATTCTGGGCATTCCACAAGCCTAAATGGGAGAGAACAGGACGTAATAAACCTTACGTATAAAGCTTCGAGCTGGTCTGGGTCGATCGAGTCTCCGGATTGATCGTTGAGCCGACGGCGTTTTCGGGGATGTTCTTTGGCCATAACACGAGCTATCTCGAGAATAGTTCGTATATTCGTGACTTTGGCTGTTCGTGGCGCGCCTTTGGGAGGCCGTGACCGTCAGGAGGAGGATCCGTAAGGTGCTTGGCTGGGGCCGCAGTTCCACCGGAACAGCAATACGTTTTGTCACAGTGTTTGCAGCGCCATTCTTCTTTTCCGGTCCGCTGATTGTAGTATTTCGTCTCTATGTCCTCGTCTGGCATATGAGAAAAGACCCATGATGTTCTTGGCTTGGCCGAAGGGTTTATGGAGGCCGTGCGAGGTTGCGACGATTGGCATTCAGTGGTTTGGGTCTCATCTGGATCATGCAACCGTGGGCTGGAAATCTCCGAGTATTCGTCTGATATTGACGAATCCCGTCGCGGCGATGTTTGAACAAAAGGCAGGCGTTGTTGAGGCATCGAGATTGCTTGTAAGTCCTGGGGTGGGAAAGCGGGGTTGAGGAGGAAAACAGTGTTTGGACGGCGAGCCGCTACCCTGTAGGTCTGGATTTATACATACATTTACGCGTTTCCGTGCGCCAATAGGAAGATTTTACGTCCTGGAGGTCCGCCAGACGAAAAACAATACATAGAACATGCTTATATTTACGCGTGTATTTTGACGCGTCATCATATTGGCGCGAATTGGGAACGGAAAGGCGAATGACCACCAACCAATACAAACAATACAAGCCATATATTGCCAGTATGGAAGGCGCCATATTGTATCGTCACAATATGACGGCGAGCATATTGTATTGGTACAATATGAGAAATCGCGTATTGTATTGTATATACTGCAGTATACTACTTTATTGTCATATTATTAGCAACACTGGTCGGCACGCATCCGCTATCAAGATATCGCAACGAATTCATCGCCTCTCCAGTGCGGGCTGCCACAGGGATCGCCAGTCTCGCCGATCCTCTTCCTACTGTATACGGAACCAATCTACCGCTTGGGCAGCTCAAAAGGGCGTTTCGGCTATGCGGACGACACTGCCATCCTTTGCGTCGGCGATAGCCTGGATGAGACGTCCGCCGAAGCATCTCATCACGTGCGTGAGCTTGTATCGTGGGGCGCCGCCAACGGGATCTCCTTTGACCCTGAGAAGACAGAAGTGATGCACTTCTCTCGAACGACGCCCAAGACGGCGCCGCCAGTGCTCCATGGCGAATTTGAGAAACGGCCGGGCCGGGCGATGCGTTGGCTCGGCGTCTGGCTCGACAGCACTATGTTGCAAAACTCCCTTTTGGGTCTAGGCTCCCTGGCCCCGGTCATATGAGTACCTCGGGTTGGTGTGGAAAATGTACCGCGGACTAGCAGCGGGCCCGCACGTTGACGCTCCTTGAGTCCGTTCACTACCCTCCGGAGGCGGCGATGGTCCAGCGCCATGGTCTTTCGCTTCCCAGGGCTCTTCTCAGCTGTCTCGTCGAAAGAGGCCAAGCGGGATGTTGCAATCAGCGACAGGCCATATCAGTTATTCTAGCAGAAGTGCTGTTGGGATGTGCATCTCACTTTTGGCTGGATGATCCATTCGACACGGGAGCTGGTCCTGGAGCGGCAGCAAGTGGCAAGAAGTGCCCTCTTCCTGATAGAATGTATACTATACCTGAAAACGGGATATCAACTTGGGAGAAGCTCGGAGGGATATAAAAGGGGCTGTTTGGACGGGAAAGGAGGCTACCGGGGTGAGAGCGATTAACACAACATCTGATCGTATGATACTCGACCTTCAAAAAGTCCCTTTATCCACGTTTATGCTCACTTTTGCTCTCTCCTTCGCGAGACACTCCACTCGTCTTGGTACAGTCCAGATTTCATAAACAAAAATATTTTAGTGAAATAATGGCCTCGCCCGCTGGAATGCGGCCAGGAAACCCCCCAGTAATTTTGTCAAGTCTAGTTGTGCGTATCAATGTGTTTGCCAGTGGTATGTAGAGTGCCGACTCGCCGTATAACATTGGTGGTGCGGCTGGCAGGCGACTTGCTGTCTGTAGAATTGCGTTTTGCTGGTCCTCTGCGGCACCATACACTGAGGTACATGAAGGAATGTACTGAGGGGTAACCTGCATACCACACTAACCTGTTCTGTCTAGTCGGAAGCGGTTTTGGGGGTTTTGCAACAGTGACCCCTATAGGCTGCCGTACCCTAGTCTAATATCGCACCTCAGCAGGATTTTGGCATGCCATGCCCACAGAGCGTCACAACGTCGCATCAACCTAACGCATCTGCATTAGAAGTGAAGCTTTTCGCGATATCTCTCCACACATACTACTTACCGCCGCCGCCGCAAGTTGACGTGTTCTGGCATCGCGAAAAGCCTCAGGGCATGAGCCCTGACGACGCCCCACAAGATCCGCTCCCTATACGCGGCAAAGGCCGGCCACAGGGCTCGTTGAACCTTCAAAAAAGCACACGTCGCGACCAGTCGGAATTTTGAGGTCGTTGAGGGCATCGAGCGAGCTAAGGCCACAAGGCCGCCGCCGTCAACAGCGCCGGCAGCGCTGACGGGCACAAATTCTACACGCAACACACGCAGGGGCAAGGCTGTCGCTGTCAACACCACTGCCAGCGGCGCTAATATGACGAGTCAGGCGTTGGAATACCTTCATACACACGGCGACTCGTACGAGCCGGGCACAGAGATGCCACGGGCGTATCAGCGCGCCGCTGCTGCTGATGACTCTGATGACGAGCTTGCTGGCGAGACGCAGGGCACGATCCACTGTTATCAGGCCACGCAGCCAGCTACACAGTGGACTTCACAGCGGACTTCACAGCGGGTCACGATGCCCTCAAATCGTCGAGAAGAGGAGGATATAGAAGATGAGGACGACCCTTTGGCCGATTTCGATGAGATGGAACGGCGGGTGGATGAAGAAGCTCGTGCGCGGCGAGTTTTGGATACAGATGACCCGCTGTAGCTACTTCCTTTGCGATTGTATTTAAATTGACGGTGGTGCGCTTCGTATGACTCTAAAATCGACTCCCTTCCATAGGTAAAGGGTATCACGGCCGGCTTCAATTGCGACTTCAATTGCGCCATGGACGTTGCTTGCGCCCGCTTGCAGTTCGTAGTGGGGAATGTGCACACAAAAATGCGGTATCGGCGCTGCCCCGCGATCTGCGCCACATTTTGTTGTACGTTCAGCAAAATGTGTTGTACGGATAACTACCCCCCTAAGATAGACTTATGCCTAGCTAAGACGAATACCTATATTAGATAATATACTATAAAACTAATAATAGCTTAGTAAACGATTCTGATGGTAGGCACCTATGTGCCTACAGATACGCATGCGCACAAGCTGTAGGCTGAGTCACAGTCACGACAGGTAGGGTAACCGGTGATGACTTCAATTGTAACTAACTAGGGAAGAGGAAGCTATTCACAAGAAACGGAATGTGCACTGGTAATGGGGCATGCAGCCGGGGCTGCGTGCCCTGATCGCGGGGTAGGGTGTCACGTGGGAGTCGTGCATGAACCGTGATGGTATCCCGATTGCACGGGTTACTCAGCAGGTTAGTATTCCAACAGATTCTATTATATATTAGTATAATAAGCGACTTAAGTATTTAAATCTATCGCTTCCTAACTATATAGCTAATATCCGCTAAATATAAGTAATTTTTTTTCTATAGTAAGTAGAATAGTCGCTTCTCTCTAGAATCGACTTAAGGCATAAACGATTAGTATATTCTAGGTATTACGTTCGTAGCTATAGGCGGGTAGCTAGCGCTTAGAAGGAGGCAGAATCTAGCTAGAGATGATCTCGCGTAGGGGATATATAAAGTTATGCAAGCCGTGCAAAGGCAGGAAGTGGATCCTGATCTTACAGACTCAGGTCTCACAGGAAAGCATTTCGAATAAAGACACTTGCCAATCCACGCAATCCACGCAATCCACGCAATCCACAATAACTCCAATGGATCCACTATACCAAAGCATTCAAGTGGATTATAATCTACCCACTCCACATAGGCTGCTAGTAGATTGAGTGTAGTAGTAGTAGCAGTAGTAGTGTATTTTCCGTCCAGCAGCTTTTGGCCGCTCAGGTCTCCGCGGGGGAGCACAGGACGTGCTGAGCTAGCGGGTGTTTACCTGCTACATATCGTACACTTCACCCACTATCCAGCATTTCATCGGCTCAACGGCGCTCATGACAAACCTGTTGCCCGTCAGCGGGACGTCCAGGCATGAAGAGAAAGCTGTCTCGTGGTCAGAGAGTGGATTTCAACCCTGCTACAGGGTCTGCGTATACTCGACAAGCTTGTTTTCATTGCGAATATAGCTACTCCGAGTTTACAGTGGTTGAAAATAAAATGAAGATCTACGAAAAAATGGGGATTTGTTAGTGCTCATACTTAAAGGAGCTTGAAAATTCGAGACGCTAAAGCCCTGACTCGTCCCCAGCTTCTACGGCATTAAGGGAGTAGGGGCAGCTCCTTAATTTCCTAGTTAAAATAACTAATTTATAGCTAAATTTTAGCTTCTTAAACTTGTTTTTAACGTGTTTATCATAGTGAGTCATAGTAATCAAAATATTTTAAAAAATCTGTTTACGAGCTACGAGTACTATAAGGGATTTTCCGATGATCTGCCGGATCTGGTGATCTGCCGGATTGCGGCGACTTCGCACGCTCAACATCAATCGACAATAGCTCAACAACAACGGTGCCAATTGACGTATCCTTTGATTTCCTGAATCATCAGAAGCAGTGAAAGTCTGGCATATATTTAGAACTTTTATCTAGGGGGCAATGCGCTGCGGTGCTGACATCAAACCAAGCAACGGCCAAAATAGGATGCCGACAGATTGTGTAAGTCATTTCAGCCAATACAGCAAAAACAGAACATTATTGGCTTTCATCGTAGGCTTTAATCATGTGGGATTCTCCCCATTCTATCCATAGTGCAGAACTTGGCTCAGGATACTGCAAAAAATGGGGGTTGGAAGGGCGAGCTGGATAACTTCATTCTACGCACCCGTAATGAGCCAGATTGAACGTGATTCGACGGTACAAGCATCTTCTGAAAAGAACCTATCTATGCATCTGAATGTAAGGTTTATTTTTAGCTTGAAATTCAGTGCGCGAGGCTCCGCTTTCACACCTGACAAGGAAAGACGTGCACGAAAATTGAGAAATTCGACACCCTACCCTAAAACACGTATAACATGGATGAAATGGGCTTTCTATTCCTTATGAGCATTTGAACGAACAGGGTATTCCTCTTATTATAAGAAAACAAGGCAAAATTGCTCGGCGTATTAAAAATGGCAACCCATCCTCCTTACGTTCAAGATGTGCGTCAGTCAAGAGATGGCATCGCTGCCCCATTTCTCATCCACCAAGACAAGCCAGCACAAACTCTGGACTTTTGGTTCGTGAAACGTGAATCAAGTCGTCAATAAATATTTTTAACACGTCAAAAACGAGGTGGACGAATCACAATATTGGAAATGAGCAGCTCACCGGTACGTTCGACCGGTTTACCAGGGTGAAAGCTCGAAACGGTTGTGCTTATCGCCTTTGGTTCCCGATGGCCACTTAACCATTTTAGTATCGAATTTATGGAGTGGTGTGACCGGCACCGAGTGATCGTTGTGGTGTTTCCTCAATCCATTCATCGGCTGCAACCCTTGATGTATCGTTATTCAGCCTCTCTCAACAGCGTATACGCATGATCTTATCCAGTACACAGACAAATCAAAAGGTTCATTGGATTGCTGAAATCGAAGATCTAGACTGTGTTTTGGAACGCATTTCAGGAAGTAGTCGAGAAGTCCTCTGTTGATGCTGGCCGCAACAGCCGAAGGCTGAGCAGCACCCTCGGGAGCCCTCAATATGAGTTTTAAGTGCTTGATATGAGAGTTAAAGTATGCAGAGAACAAGTAGTCACAAGAACCAGCGCAGGCAGACCGGTAAGGCTTCAAAAGATGATCTCTTCTGCTGTACAGATTCTAGTGCAGACGAGGTGTTTAGCTCTAAAATTGTGGCTCAAGCTCGCCAAAATGACAGTGAAAGGACTCCAAAAGAAAGAGGAGGCTCTGAAGAAGGAGGCCTGAAAGCTTCAGCGACAGCAGAAGGCAGCGGAGCAAAAGCTCTCGCTCTAGAGAAGAGGAAGCAATGAGAGGCGGAAATTGGGAGAAAACGACGGATGACGGAGGCCGTGAAGCAAAATAAGGAGATAAATTGGCATTATTAACAAGAGCTGAAGATTTTGAAAGTGGAAAAGCCACAGAAAATGCAGAATGAGCGACGGGTGGCTTCTGAGGGTCGCGAGAGGAGTCAGGATGTTCACGCTGCAAAATTGTCACTCTTCCGTTCACACCAGAGCGGGCCATAGCATTGCAGGTACCAAACACACTATATAATAACGCAAATAATAAGGCAATGATAACTTCAAACGACATATCCTGTCCTCAAAGGCCCTCTTTAGCTGTTGATAGTGATCGGGAGGCAATGGGTGCATTTCGGGGACTTGCGCGATCGGAGAGTAACAGAAGACGACCTCGATGGCTGGATGACTTCAAAAAGATTGAGTGGCATCTTTGAGCATTATTAACTGCTCTTATAAGATTTTAGAACAATTCAAATAGTATTCGTGAAGTTATTCTCAGTTCTTTGCTGGAATGCAATGAGCCCAAAATCCGGCGAATCGCCAGATCCGGCAGATCACCGGAAAATCCCTTATATAGAAGAGGAAATACGCACTTACTTCCTCCATCTCAGTGAGTAAATGTTAATTGTCTGTACGCGTGAGGTGAAGACGCAGTTCTCAATCTGTGGTATTGATTCCTTGTCCAAATACCTTCCTTCAGGTCCCTAGTCTCGTCATGTGGCCATCCTTCTTTAGTGTTTTGGCACTCATTTTCCTTCAGGGTGTCACGGGCTGTGCCCGGCTGGTGGACCCGGTTGTACCGGGTCCGGTGGGTCGTGCTCCGGTGGCAACACCGGCCCCGCTCCGCGGACCCAGAAGCTGCGAGAACATTCCGAGAAGGGCAATAAAGCTCGCACTCGAGGCTACGCCTCGAGTTCAGCTTCTTTCCTCCTTAGCTCTAGATAGACAACACCTAGGCACCTGCTTGTTGAATAAACTCCGGGCCAGCCTTTCACATATCTAGAGCTCCTTCTAAATACCGCAAGCTGCAGACTGCTCGTCAGGATGGACCAGCAGAGTGAGAGCCCAAGTCTCCAGCAGCAATGGATTGACCAACGCATTCAAGAAGCGGTCAATGCGACTCTCAGCCCTCTACAGGACCAACTTTCCTTGCTGATGGAGCAACTCGGGCGAGCGCAGCCGCAGAGCGCCGACTTGCAATCGCCGCCAGTGGCACGAGGATTGGGCGAGAGCACGCCTGGCTTGGGCACGCCCTCCCAAAACCTGCGGTACTGGAATGCGGAAACCGTTGCCCAACCCACCCAAGTATGACGGCTCACGGAAGAGCTACTCCTCCTGGGCCAGGCAGATGCGAGACAAGCTGGACCTTGATGCACACTACTACAGTGGAAATCGCGAACTTTGGTACCTCATCAACTCATGTTTGGACGAGCGACCACAGCAAGTGGTCGCTACCTTTACGCCGCGGAGGCCCTGGGGTAGCTACGACCCCAAGAGTTCATGCGATACCTCGACCGAACCTACCAGGACAGCAACATCCAATCCTGCGCTGCTGCCACGCTGAGAACTATGCGGCAGCGCGAAGACCAACCTCTCGCGTCCTTCCTTCCCCGATTCGAACAGGCATTAGCTGAAGCCGGGGGAGCAGACTGGCCGGACAGTGCAAAGATCGTATTTCTAGAGAACGCAATAAATGCACGCCTCCAAGAGAGTTTGGTCACAGCCGTCCTACCCGACGACTACCAGGGATGGCTTGCGAGAGTTCAGGAAATTGCGGGCAGATTGAGAGACTGAAACCCGGTAGGCAGCCGACGTCGACTGAGCGGACGCCTCAACAGCTACCAAGGCAACGACCCAAGGAGGAACCGGAGGACCCCGACGGAGATGTTAAGATGACGGACATCAACCGTATTGGCCACGAGTCGAAGGGTCGTCGACATGTCGATAAGAAGCCGAAGGATGAGCGCCGCTGCTATCGCTGTGGTCGGACGGATCATCTTATCGTGGACTGCCCAGCCCAGGTGGTCTTTCCTGGCGAAGGGAAGCAACAGCGACCTAAAGCTGCGCGCATGAAGAAGCCCGATGCCGCAGATGATTCGGAATCAACCGCAGCATCCAGTGAGGACGAGTCGGCGGAAAAGACTAGCCCCGGGCGAAAGCGGGCGCCGGGGCCTGCAAAGGCAGACATCCGGGACTGGGAAGCGTTCAAGCCACGAATGAATAGTCGGACTGTATTAGTCAACGCGCGGGTAAACCGAGGCTATCGAATACGCGCCCTTGTCGACTGTGGATGTGACTGCTATGCCGTGATCGACGAAGCCCTTGTTCGGAAGCTGCGGATACCCTTCGTCGACTCGAAACCACTTGGATTTGACGAACGTGTCTTTGCATACGTGATCCCAAGCCTGGGCCAGGACATGTTCCTCGGCCGGCCTTGGATGGAGAGAAATCACGTCGTGTACGATGCTGCCAAGCAGCGAATGTACCATGGGAGGGCAGGTGTGACGATACGCCTCATTGGGCAGGAAGAGCCCGCCAAGATACGCGCGATTCGAAGCGCAAGACTCGTGTCGGCAGCCGTATTCACGGCGGAGTGTCGACGCGCAAAGAGACGCAAGAAGTGCAACGCGATCTCGATTCATGCAATCAGTTTGTCGGATATAGAGAGGGCGCTTCAGCCGAAGCCGCCAGTCGATCCGAGCGAGAAGGTCCCGGCAGAAGTGCTGAAAGAATTCCGCGACCTATTCTCACCAGAAGAGGCAATGAAGCTGCCGCCACATCGACCGGGTGTGGATCATGAAGTCAACCTGCAGCCTGACAAGAACGGCAACGAGCCACCCCTTCCGTGGGGCCCACTCTACAACATGTCACGAGAAGAGCTGTTGGTCTTGCGAAAGACCCTGAAAGACCTGCTGGACAGAGGATTCATCCGAGCGAGTAGCTCAGCGGCTGCCGCGCCGGTGCTGTTCGTGCGGAAGCCGAATGGAGGGCTGCGATTTTGTTGCGACTACCGAGCGCTGAATGCAATCACCAAGCGCGACCGATACCCACTGCCCTCATCGCGGAGACCCTGCAGAATCTGGCCAAGGCTAAGTGGTTCACCAAGTTGGACGTGGTGGCCGCTTTCCATAAGATCCGCATGGCTCCGGGACATGAGGAAAGACTGCATTTCGCACGAGGTTTGGGCTCTACGAGTGGCTCGTGTGCCCTTTCGGCCTGAGCGGCGCCCCGGCATCATTCCAACGATACATGAACAGTGTATTGCGCGAATGGCTGGACGACTTTGTCACAGCGTACCTGGATGATGTACTGATCTACTCGAGCGGTTCGAAGGCGGATCATGAGGCTAAGGTGCGACGAGTTCTCCAAGCACTCGCCGACGCTGGGCTGCACCTAGACCCAGCGAAGTGCGAGTTTTCGGTACAAGAGGTCAAATACCTTGGGTTCATCGTCAACGCAGGGAAAGGAATCGCCTGCGACCCCGAAAAGCAGCGCGCCATCCGCGAATGGGAGGCCCCGACCACGGTGAAGGGTGTCAGAAGCTTTCTGGGCTTCGCCAACTATTACCGGATCTTCATCCCCGACTATGCCAAGATCACGCAGTCTCTGGATGCCCTGCTTAAGAAAGGAACTGCCTTTCATTGGGGACGAGCGGAGAACGAGGCGTTTCAGGAGCTGAAGCGACGATTTTGCGAGTCACCGGTGCTCAAGCAGTGGGACCCGAGCCTCCCGACCTTTTTGGAGACGGATTGCTCAGGCTACGCATTGGGAGGCGTCCTGTCGCAGGAAGGCCCAGATGGACGTCGACACGCATGCGCCTTCTTCTCGAAGCGACTTTCGCCAGCGGAGTACAACTATCCCATTCACGACAAGGAGATGCTTGCCATCATGAGATGTCTCGACAACTGGAACGCCGAACTTAGGAGCTGCGGCCCATTTACAATCCTTACCGATCACCGCAACCTGGAGTATTTCATGACACGCCAGAAGCTCACGGAACGGCAGAGCCGTTGGGCAGCCGAATTGTCCCAGTTCGACTTCAAGCTCGAGTATCGACCGGGAAGCGAGGCTGTCGTGCCTGATGCGTTGTCCGCCGTGAACAAGACAAGCCACAGGGCATTGACGACGAGCGGGAACAAGGAAGAATGATACAGTTGATACCGGATAGTGCCATTCCATCATCGACAAGAGCATGTATCAACGCGATGAGTTCTGACTGTTCAGAGGCATCCACCCTGCCGAAGATGAAGGTCTTCGAGGTAGCGGACCTGCAGCAACTCTGGGACGAAACGGTGGCGAAGGACTCGATATTCCGGGCAGCCTATAAGGCAGTCCGCGATCGCGAGCGTGCCTTCCCGCCCTCGCTGGGCCTGAAGATCCAGATTTCAGAATGTGCGATCGACGCAGGCAAAGGCTGACATTCAGAGACCGTATTTGGGTGCCGGGTGGATCCGGAGAGGAGGGTAACCAGGAGGAAGCTGAGAAAGACCAGTTGAGAACCCGCATTGTGCAGCAGTCGCATGACTCTGTTGCGACCGGTCATCCCGGCAGGGAAGGTACGCTGGCTATTGTGGCTCGGCGATTCTACTGGCCTGGGCAGTCCCAGCTGGTTCGCCGGTACGTAGCCAATTGCGACACCTGCGGCAGAGCACACATCTGGCGCCAGTCGGAAAGGGGATTTTTCAAGCCTCTGCCGATTCCAGATCGACCCCGAAGCCATTTGTCCATGGACTTCATCACAGATCTGCCGCCTACTGGACCGAGCAAGGCAAGGTACCTGTGGGTGATTGTGGACAGACTGACAAAGGCTGTGACCCTCGAGGTGATGGACAACATGGAAGCTGAGCAGTGTGCAAACCGTTTTCTCCAGTGTCATTACCGATTTCACGGAATGCCACGGTCCATCGTCAGCGACCGCGGGAGCAACTGGCTAAGTAGGTTCTGGAAGAGGTTCTGCCGTCTTGCAGGTGTCACGCAGAAATTGAGCACGGCCTATCATCCTCAGACGGACGGAGGGCCAGAGAGAATGAACCAGGAGATCGAGGCCTACCTGAGAGCCTACGTGTCGTACGTGCAGGACGACTGGGGAGAACTGCTCCCTGCCGCGCAGCTGGCACTCAACAATCGTGAATCCGCAGCGACCAAGATCAGCCCTTTTTCGCTGAGCATGGTTACCACGTCGATCCCATCAGCGTCGAGGAATCGGAAGAGCCACCGAGGCATAGAGAGGAAAGCAGAGCTGATAGCCTACTCAGTCGCCTGCAGGAGGTCAATGAGTACATGCAAGCAGTGATGGCCTCCTCACAGCAACAACAAGAAGAGGCTGCCAACGCAAAGCGACAGCCTGCGGAGCGATTTGAAGTTGGTGACAAGGTGTGGCTCTCGATGGCAAACTACAGATCGCCACGACCGTGCAAGAAGCTCGACTGGCTGCATCACAAGTACACAGTCACGAAGGTAATTAGTTCGCACGTTGTTGAGCTCGATGTTCGTGGCTCAATTTACCCGCGATTTCATGTTGACCTTTGCGGCGGGCGCATCAAGATCCGGCTCCTGGCCAAAGGTAGATGACGCACAGCCACCACCGGTACAAGATGAGTCCGGCACGGATCTGTGGGATGTCGACGAGATCCTCTGCGCGAGATGGAAGAAGCGCGGACGAGGGGAATTCAGGCAAGCACTAGTGCGATGGACGGGCTACGCAGAGCCGACTTGGGAGCCAGTTGAGTGGTTGCAAGGAACAATTGCGATGAAGGCATTCGAGGACAAGTACGGGCCAATCAAGACCAATGATGGCCCTAGGGAGAGGTACGAGACGCTGGCAGGAACGCAAGAACCCCGCAGACGCCGACCTGGTCGGAGGGGACAAGGGGGGTAATGTCACGGGCTGTGCCCGGCTGGTGGACCCGGTTGTACCGGGTCCGGTGGGTCGTGCCCGGTGGCAACACCGGCCGCTCCGCGGACCCAGAAGCTGCGAGAACATTCCGAGAAGGGTAATATAAGCTCGCACTCGAGGCTACGCCTCGAGTTCAGCTTCTTTTCCTCCTTAGCTCTAGATAGACAACACCTAGGCACCTGCTTGTTGAATAAACTCCGGGCCAGCCTTTCACACTCTCTTATCATATTGTCAAGAGGTACTGCCGGCATAACTAAAATCGCCAGACAAAGTCCACATTGACCTCCAAACTGGTGTCTCACCCAACCAGTCATAGAACATACTAGGAGCCCAGATGATGCTAGGAACACCAGTCCGCTTACTGCTCCAAGCCACGGCATCCCTTGGTTTGACGTCGGCTGGTTCGAGCACCGGTCAAAACGACGGAAACGCTGTGTCTTCCTCCATATCGCCATAACCATAATAACGGTAGTCAAGTGAGATACCAATGGAGCAGCCCACCAGTATTCGATGCCAGATAGCCTGATATGCCAGACGGTCGCCCCAATAAAGGGAAGGTGAAAGACTAATGCTAGTCCAAAAATGATGATTCTCGCCTTAATGGATGGGTCAGGCTCGACGGCGCGAGAAAAATAGGCGTAAATCAAGGGATCGACAACTTGAATAAGCTGTAAACAATGAGTATATAGGGGAGATAACTAGACGGGCTTAAATAGGAGTACCTCGATGATGTCGACGCATAATATTGTGACTCCTTTCCAGGCTGTGAAGAAGGGGTAGGCAAGGACGCTTGGTAAGAGTGCATTTCTCGCACTGCCGAACAAAGAGGCAAATATTAGTCCGGTTCCCAAGAAGACAGAGGCCGTAGAAATTAACGCCCAAGTTCGCCTACGCGAAGCTTCTCGTGGCTTGACTCTGATCATCCAGTACAGGTAGGGCGCCAGAAAGACCGTCGTCACGGAAAACACGACACCAGCCTCGGTAACCTCCTTGATGGTAATCTCGTCATGCATGTCGGCATCCGGCAACCTGGAATGGTGGAGAGAGTGGATTTGGGACTTAGAGTGATGAGAAGGCATATGAGCATCGGATTCGCCCAGAACGAGAGACGTGCTTTATATAGACGTTAAGTCATAACAGCGAATGTTAGTACATAGCAAGTAACGCTCAGGTAAAGAGAGCCACAGCACATTGTCCAGTCGCTTTACAAACGGGACGATGTACCTAGAGTAAGATGGTGATTGGGTGTTCTGTGCATAGGAAGGTTACACTATCATTGCCTTGGGGTTGGGCTATTGTTGATATGATGATTTACATATATGAGGCATATGAGCTTCCTCCACATTAAAACGGCCCTGGTCAGAGTAGGGTGGGTGGAATTGCACGACTTCAGCTGGTCAATGTGGTTGGCTCACAGTTACGAGGCCATCCAGTATCTCGGCATCACCAGCAGTGCATACAACCTGGTTCATGCACTCTAACTTGCATGCGTCTAAACAATCCTTGACTAGGGGTCGGAACGCCATGGAACGGCACAGAGGGCAACTTGCCCAGGGGCCGTGACGACACCATGAGCTCTCTGGTGGAGATGGACCAAACAAGGATGGCCAAAGACACGGCAAAAGGTGTGTGTCGTTGCTACATTCCACATTGGGATTTGTGGGGCAACAGCGCGGCTGCAGGAATCGTGACTCTCAGCTGTGACAATTCCGCAAGATGGGTTTCGTACTGGCGCACAGAGCCAAGAACTTGGCTGTCTCCTGGTCGGCCTTACCGGGGCCATTGGTCGTGAGTGTCAAGAAAAGGCAGGATTGTCAGGCGGGAAGGGAAGGAACAGAGAATAGATCTCTGAGACGGGAAAAGATAATTAGATACTGGGCAATTCCTTTGGCGTTTTCGTCTCCTCAAGAATCATCTCCATCGCCCTTGCTAAAAGTGCTTTACCCTTATCGCTGTCCAACTCATCAATAGAACACGGTTCTTGACCATCCATAAAACCGCGCTCGCACCGCAACTCGCCAATTTGTCAAATCTTCTGGGCTCTTCCTGCCATGCTTCGCGCATACTTACTTCCATTTCGGCGCTGATGCTCCTGAAAACCGGAATGCCCACTCTCACACCCAACCTGGACGGCCCCCAAAAATATCTATCCTCAAAGACAACCGGTGGATAAGGTTAGCGATCGATCACCCGCAGTTGAAATGGGTTGCGGGCAAAGGGTTTCAACCCTGCCGCAGCTTGAATGGCAATTAGCAGTCGGATTAGGAAGTCTTGCTAAGGGCATCCGCTCTGGGGTTCCCTGATCATGCTAGAGAAAATCCCTTTCGAAGTCTCTACCTTCCCGACGATGAGGAACCCAAATTTTCGGTACAGTGGAACACCGGAGGGTGATGCCATGACGAAAGCAGGGCAGTGCAATTGATCAAACCGATTGCAGGCATGCTGTAGTAGTCGAGAACCTAAGCCCTGACGCTGACGACGAGGATGGACCGACATGAAGGTTAAGCCTGAGCGGCATAGGTCAGCCAGTTCCAGATTGATTTTGCCAAGATTCCACGCTTACGGCAAACGTGCTTGCGACCATTGAGAGCGCGTTCTCTCCTTTCTCAAGTTGCTCGAGACGCTGGACCATGCTGATATATCGAGCATCTCAGGTATCAACAGGTGCCTTGCTGGTCCGTTCTCCCTCCTCGCGAGAGGTCTATCCTCTACGGTCCACCCGCAGAATCCAAGTGGTGTGCCTTCAGCGTCGCAAATTCGAATGAGTGTGTCGGTGGTACGATTTAAAGCATCGATGATCCCTCGTACGTACCAGTGGATGATTTCGGTTTGTTGCTCTTCTGTGACCTCCTTCAAGGGAAACATCAAGCGGTATAAAGGGCCATCTTTCATAGCAGGCAGATCTACCTTGCGCACGACGTCGTCCGCACCTTCAATATCGAGAGGCGCGATGTGCAACTGCATATTGAGGATGGGATACATGATGGTGAAAGGAATGGCGATAAGTTCGTGGATGTGTGTGTGTGCGGGAATACAGGATTGGGTACGGCAGATAAAGACGGCTGATAAAGACCGAAAAGATGAGTCACTCTGCATTTGCAAGGTAATAAATAGCGCTGGAAAAACCCGTTGGGCGAAAACCAGCGCCGAGTGACTAAGGAAAGTACATGCCCATAGTCCCCACTACCCCGGTTGCCCTGTACCCGTGACACGCCCCACTTAATCTCGCGTTCGTTCCTCACCAGCTCCATAGCTGGTGAGGAACGAACGCGAGATTAAGTGGGGCGTGGCACGGGTATCAGTCAGCCACACCCATGGTTGCTCCCAGTATGTGCTCCTCCCCGGTCTTTATAACAGTATTCCCTACAATTGCATCGGTCATCCTCATCCATGCCAAAGACCCACATTGCAGAGATGAGACTCTCTTCGTCAACAGACCCCTTGGCGAGCATGATGTTTGAGCGACCTCGGTAACCTCAACCGACGCGTTAGTATCTCGCGAATCCAGCATCCTGACTCCCAGGATTTGATCTAGATTGGACTGGTGCAGGAATGTGGACAGCTCCTGTAGGAAAAGCGCACTGCCTTCCGCGACGTCAGATGATCCACTCTCCGTAAACTCAAACTCGTAGGGACCCCAGCCCCCCTTCCAGGATCTCGTTGCCCGTGGGACGACGTGGCCGTTATACTTTGAAATGACAGCATCCGTGTCGTTCCCGGTTTGCCAAGGCGTGGACACGCTGCGAAGATCCACGAGGCGCTCCTGTGGCTGGATGTCAAAATGCTTGTGTAGCAAGGCCAGTCCAAGATGCTTTTGAACTTTATGGCGAAGAAAGAGCTCCCGAATGGGGCCGGTGATGATACTTTCACAACCATTTTCTTGAGTAACTGGTTTGCCCGGTGCAAACTTGGGAGCGAGCGGTATGCTTCTGGATCGTATGCCGTGCTACTTTCGTTGTTAGTAAGTTAAATAGTCGCCGAAAGAATGACATACCTCGCCATTGCAATGATTCCGTGGGTGCGACTTGTAGCTTGGTGGGTTCGAACTGTCAGACTGCAGACGCGAGGTGGACCGTTCGGCACTTTTATAGATCAGGGCCTTGAGAGGTTTGGTCCTAAGCGGCTACCTTGGGGTGGAACACCGGCTCTTATGTAAAAGGCATGTTTGGGAACCAGGTATTAGCTTATCTATGGGTGGGCTAACTGGAAAGCCTTCAGTTGGTCTAGTTGTGGCGCGCAGTGGTAGTTGCATGAGCCGCACATGCTGAAATGCAACTTTGCGGAGAAGGTCCTCATGCGATAGTATAACGGCGGACGAGGACGCCCACAACAAATGCCTAGGTACAGTGGCCAGCAGCCGATCATGCCTCGTGCTGGTTATCTCGTTCCACTTCAGCTGGGCGGTTGCACTGTGACCCTTGTGCAGATTTGAAATGTGGGTGGGCGATCGCAGGTATTCGTTTTTCAGTCGTATTGGCTGACTTGTACCGCTACCGGGTGGAGCAAGGCCGTGACAACACGACGCCACCCGTTCTCGTGCGTTGGCGGCCCGTGGTGCCGGGGCATCTTATTGCAGATATGTAGTGCAAATGAAGTGGAAGGTGTGAATCAGGGACGACCCAAGGTGACCCCTGCACCACTCTGGGATTGCAATGGCCCCGCAGCTACAAGATGTTACTCAGGTGTGTTTACCGGGGTCACACATACGCTAATAGGGCCGTTGGAGCATCCCGGCGATTGTCCCTATGCTTCCCTCGACTCATTAGCGTCGTTTTCTTGCCTCGGATGCTGCTTGGCTGTCGTCGCACCTAGGTGTTCCATGGCGCGTACACCACGTTGCAGGTTAGCACTCCTCTCAGCTGTTCCGTGGTCTCCATGGCCCGGAGGGTCCTTGCGAACTCTCGTTTCGCAGGACCTGAGCAAGGCTTCTCTTGCACCGTCAGTTAGCACACAACACGAGAACTGGGACAGCTTCACTGCCTGCCCCTCACCTTGAATTGCCAAAGGGGGTGCGCGTTCTCGCCTGCCATGTACCATGCTCGCTACTGGCTGGCGCACCGGCCCTCATCTCTTTGAGTGTGCGAAGGCAGCCCCCAGGTCACAAAACCCACAGTACGTGGCTACTCGGCCAGATTGCTGGGACTTAAATCATAGCCCAATTCGCTGGTTATGTCGTGTACTCTTTATCAGCTAGTGGTCTTATTGGCTGAGATCCCTGTCTGTGACCTGGGGGCTACCTTCGCACATTCAAAGGGATAGTAAACCTACGCGTCGCAAGACTAGGCGTGAAAGGTTATAGGAGAACTGTAATTGGAGGAAGGTCGTTCGTATATGCAGGCGGCGCGCAGACACCCCAGCTGGTGGCTGGGATTACAGTATGCTCCACTTCGTCCCATTTCGAATGACCAAATATGGGGCAGTACCTACCAATAGCAAGGTAGACAGGGATTAGCAAATCGCAACAAGCCTCGAGTCTCGGCATTGTTATTAACATGTCCAAGTCCTGCCTTTGGGAGGGCCATACGGACCGTCTCCTTCTCCCTTAGCCCAGCCTTCACCGTATTCCTTGCACACCATGGCGAGAGCTCCATCGTCTCCAGGTTCGCCCTGAGCTATCCCGCTGTCGTGCTCGTCGGCCATCAACTGGAGCAGGTCAACAAACTCCAGCGCGAGCTCGCTTCCTGCAAATCCGATGCAGAGAAGGCCATGGTATGCCGCCAAACACGAGACAGCCTTCTGGGCGACCACGAGAATTTGGAGATCTTGTCCGCGATCTGCCGAGATGTCATGGAAGCTTCTGAGCAAAATTGCACTTCTGGCGAGCTTGATGGATCGTGGCGACAATTCACGCAGCTAGCCGCGAAGGGAGCGAAGCTACGGGCGGCCCGTGTCAAGGCTCTCCAAACGGTGGCTGATCATTGGGGTGCCCAGGTCGCACGCCACTATGGCTGGGGGACCATATCGCACACCTACTGCCAACAGCTACACGCTGCAGCGAGGGAGATAGACTGGCCAACGTTCGTGAGGAGGTTGAACCAAGTTCTGTTGGATCGACATTGGGCCAAATCTCTCAATGTGCATCCCATCCCAGCTTCCATGAACCCGATCACGCAGCCCGACATTGAGAAAGCGAGAAGGCAGGACCAACGCGGCAAAATCCAGCGCGCCAAAGCCAAGGGTCTGGCCACCGAGAAAGACCGGGAAGCCGCTTATAAGGCAGCCAAGCATGAGTCTGAATATTTTTACCGTGCCGCCAATAGGTTGCCTGCCAGTCTTGGGTTGGACCGTTTCGGCGTTGTGGTGAGGGAGGAATTTGACGATCAGCCAACAAGTCTCGAGACCGACGGCCAAGATGGCAATCGAGCAAACCCCGCACCATCAGCAGCGAGCAGCATCGCCCCCGATCGTCCACCGCCCATCGGCTACAGTGGACTCTTGCAGACCGAAGCGGCTTGCCCGTTGCCAGCCCCATTGCCTGCCGACATCAGGGCTGCTGGTGGAAATTCTTGCCCGTTCCCGCCATCGCCGCCGTCGTCACCTGACGCTGGGACGACTCCAACTTTGTCGTCGACTGCAGAGTCTGAACAAGCCCTACCCTCGAGCGGTTCCCACGGCAAAAGAACAGCTCCGACACCCTCGGATCGAGCGACCAAGAGGCAGAGGACTCGTCTCCCCACCGTTAGTGCTGCCGCTGATGCCGGGAAAATTTACGGTGAGTCAAAGGCTCCGTTGTCACTGGGAAGCCGCTGCTAACTGGCCTGACCCAGACTTATTGGCCGAGCTCCAGGCCCAGGGCTCGCCTCTGGCCAACCAACCGCAGTTTTCGCAATCGTTAGAGTGGGCCAGAGAAGAGTCCAAGAAGGGTGAGAGATCCTACCGAGATACCAGCACGGCCGCCTCTCATCTTTCCCATTCTGCCGCAAGCCCTTCAGACGCCGCTACCGTCACCCACCGCCCGGCGCCGTCTTTCCTTGACCGAGTCCTTTGCCCACTCCTGCCAAACACCCGCTACTCATTCATCACAACATGCTGCATGTGATCTGGTACTGTCCCTTTCCCGCAGCCGGGGTGCAGGGGTCATTTCAAGAGAGTGAGTGCTTCTAGATACGTTGCCACATCAGGGTGCTAACGGCTCAAGTTAGCTGCACGAGCGTCCTCCTCGCCCGATCTAGTCTTCAACGGCACATCAGGTGCGACTATGTCCGACCCTGCCCAACATGGCCTGGATGACGACGCTGCAGTGCACGCGAAACGCGAGCAAGCCAGAGTTGCGCGACCCGGCGCGCTTGGCCCGCCGATACAGAGACATATTGGACAAGAGCATCTCATGCCGCACGCAGGTGCAATTGCCGCCTTTGATTCAAGTGAGTTATGCTCCCATTTTACAATCAAATTATGCAGGGTTGACGATATGCAGCCTCCCCTAGCTTCCAAGCTAGCTCGTTCATGCTTGGCAAAGAGCAGGCAATATGGGCTTTACGAAACCACAATGCTCAAAAATTCACATTGATACTCCTCCAGACGGCATTCGACCAAGATGGCAGGATGGGGTCTTGTGTCACATTTACCGTTCCCGAACCAATAGCCCATAAACTAACAAATCGGCCTGGTGAACTTCCGGAGCAGAGTTCTGTAACACCGGTAGTGCTGGGTCATCTTGCTGATGTCACCGAAAGTGGGGCTCATTCAGCTCTGCTGAACGGGTCATCTTACTTTCTGAACATCCCCAGAAGTCCCAATCAACCATTCATCACGGTGTGGACTACATTGGATGTGGGGGAAAAAATTTCGTTAATGTCCTGTGCACCTAGTTGAGAAGGCCATGCTCCCTCAAGAAATGCAAAGCATCAGAACAAGTCTCAATCTCATTGTTTTTCGGCGGTTCAACGATGATGATGTGGCCGTTGGGACCTGTGACATGATGCTGCTTCCCATCTTTACACACGCGTGGCTCGCCGTTTTCTTCTACGAAAGCCCAGCCAGTTTGCCGGAACGGTCTGCAGCCTCTCAGGCGTTCCGGTTCCATCATCATGGTTCCATGATCCCCCAGGACAAGCTCCATCATGGTTTCCGGCAACGGGCTGTCTAGAACCTCAAGTGCAATTATTCTGCTTAGTTGGTTTGTCCTGAGGAAGTCGGCCAGCTCAGAAACGAAGTTATCCTCGATTTGGGCTAATTCGGGATGTTTGCCGGAGTGGTATTCGTACGGGTGGAAGCCCTTGTCTGTGAGAATAAAAGTGTGCCCGCGCAAGCTGTCGAGGTTCAATGAGTCCACCTTGGTAGGCTTTGTCCAGCGGCAACGTGGGCCAGTCCTGTCTCCGAACAGGACTTTCTTTCCGGGATCTGGAGGTGACCATGGACCAAGTGGACGCCGAAAACCTTGTGGGCGTTGTTTCGGACAAAAATCTCGGCGAGCTGTTGGAGAAGGTGCTCAACTTCGGGCTGGGCTTCATCGGAGGGAAGGCCGTTGTACCTGCGGAACGAGGTCAGTGTGCGTGGCAGTCTGCGTGGTGCATGGGACAAGGCGTGTGACGTACAGCTGACGGCTCCATTCCATATCTGCATCTGTAAGGCCGCTGTTGAGGCCGGGGATTTGGACTTTTGCCGCCATGGTGCGTTGCTGATTCCGGTTGTGGTCGCGAGAAGAGTGACTGCGGGGTTGATGTCTGATAGTTTCTGTGCGGCGGGCGTGAAGCGGATGGTGCGCTATTAAATGCAAGGTTCGTCGGGTGACGGCATTCTTCTCTCCTAGGCTCCACCCGTCCACTCAAGCTCAACACCCAATCAGCATTCCGCACATCTCAGGTGTGTGTGTGTGTGTGTATTTTTCGTCCAGCGGCCTTTAGGCCGCTCAGGTCCCCGAGACGGGGCACAGGACGTGCTGAGCTAGACTAATCGTGCCCGCCCCCACTCTTTTTGTGGGTAGTAGTAGTAGTAGTAGTATTGATTACCGTCTGGGACATCCCTATAAGGGCAAAAGACGTGCTAGGCTAGGTATAGTACAAGATGGGGATGCTCGTCGGAGACCCGTCGCGCGTTCCTTACTTCTACTCCCTATCTAGCAATTCTTGGACTCTGTGGCCGCTCGATTCTCAGGTCCCTTCCCCGTCAGCGGGTTCCGGGCACGGCGGCGAAGCCGTAATATTAGTCAGTCTTCGGTCAGAGCCGGGTGACTGAGAAAGCCCACGCAGTCAGCTGGGCCGTAGGCCCACAGGAGCCTACGGGCAGAAAACATAGAAAGAGAGAGTTGTACATATTAGGTTGGAGGGTTGCCTCGAGCTAGTGGCGGTGGCAGATCCGATCAAAGAATTCTGCCTCCGTAACTAGCCCGAGGAACCGGTCAAATCCCTTCCTAGTGCCTGGTTGATAGCCTTGCCCGCCGTGGGGCTAGCCTTAGGCGGTGTCGAGTACCTACCTTCCGGCAGTAGAAGGGTGTGTCGGTGATTTTCTCCTCCCGCAAGAGCATTCGATCCGGGCCTCTTCGTGGTTAAACCTCTCGTGGTAGTCGGCGAAGTCCCCGTGCCCGCTCCTCGCAGCGAGCAGGTGATGGAGGTGCTGTCGTTTGGTGTGCAGCTCCGGGGGGCACCCGAGCGAGGCCTTGAGCTCTAGGCTCTTGTAGCTGCTCGGGGCCCCCGCGGCCCACCAGTCCTGGAAGTCGCGCCCGGCCGCAGCCTTGGCCTGCCGCCGTAAGGTGGTAGTAGTAGTAGTAGTATTGATTACCGTCTGGGACATCCCTATAAGGGCAAAAGACGTGCTAGGCTAGGTATAGCACACAAGCTGCTGCATTAAGCCTTGATCCATCGTACATACCCACCTATTTCCTCATTAGGCCCGAGCCGCAGAACCACCGTTCTGACAATTTCCTTTATATTATAAAGGTATTTCTTTAAATTAAAGCCTAAGGGACTAAGATTAAAGAGCTACTTTATAAGTAAATAATTCTATAAGAGATTTAACGGATTATATAGCTTTATAAGCTTATCCTAAGTAGCATCTCACTTCCCATCTTCGCCAGCATCTCTAGAACCCTCTGCATCATCGATTTGGCGGTCTCCGCATTGCTGCGTGACTTCACCTCGTCGCCTCTTTCGCTTTCGTTGCCCACCGATATGACTCGCGTCGTTCGGGTCGAGACACGCTTGGGAGCTCTCGCGGTCGCATTTTCCAGCGTTCGTAACGTATCCTGCACTCGTGCGCTGGGCGTCATCCCTCGCGTCGGACGCGTCAATGGCGACGGGCTAGTTGGATCCAGCCCCGCCCCCACGTCGGCCGGAGGCGCCATTTCAGGCTCTGCCATGATGGCAATCAAGAGCCACACCTACCCCAGCGTAAAGAAATATGAAGAAGAACGGGAATCGAATCGATCGAGCCGGCAAGCCTTTCGTCCAGCACCAGCTTCCTCATCACCCACTTGTATGTATGTCCCAGCACCAGCTTATGGAGCTGGTGAGGAACGAACGCGAAATAAGTGGGGCGTGGCACGGGTACCGGGAGCAAGCCTCATCGTCTCAGCAGACCTGCCAGTGCGGAACCAAATTCAGTCCCGTTCCTCAAGGCATTGGCGGACCCTGAAAGGGGCCGGTCTCCTGTGTTGCATGACGTGGTGCGTTGCATGACTCAGTGAGGTACGTTATCGGCGCTCCTGCGCCACCAAGCCACACTACTCCACTTTTTGCTGTGCACATAACCTTAGCGTAACCTGTTGTGCATATAACTAGTCCCTATTAGTGCCTACGTAACCCCCTTTCTTTGTGCCCCCCTTAGTTTGTACGCCTCCTTTTCAACTTCAATCCACTGGACGCATTGATATCTCAGTAGCCTCCAGTTAGTTGTTCCTGGTCCAATTTCTAGGAGTCAAATCGAGGTTCCATTGCTGGCCGTCAGCGAGCCAGTCCTTCACTTCATAATCGACATGAACACCAGTGAGCGAGCTGGCGCAGCGTGCATGGACGCTAATATCTGAATTTGGCACGACGTATCAGCTGCCATGCTTTCCCCGAGACACGAGGGGTGAGGCGAGGGGGGGAGGGGGATTTACTCGAAGCCAACGCCTTATTCCAAGACCCTCCTTCACTCTTGATCGAGATGCGCTTAATATCGGCCACAGGAACAGCCGACGACCTATAGGCGACCTCGAGGTTGACGTTGGAGATGTAGCTTTGGCGGCGAGAGGGTTGATGAGCGATCTGGAAACGGCCATTGCCGGCATAGATATAGAGATCGTTGTTGGTTCCGGCCCAGCTCTCATCAGCCATCTCCACACGAACGTCCATCTGCTGGAAATGGCTGCATGGGGGCCTCGGAACCCAGTCTTCGGATTTGATATCGTCGGCCCAGACTTCCCAATCCCTATGATATCGGTACCTGCCACTGTCAGTAGGCTTAGCCTGCATCAGCCTATTCATCGAGGCGAATTTGTCCATGTCAACCCATATACCAGACTTAGCGCATCGTGCTGTCAGTTTTAGGCCTATATAAGGAGTTAGTGTCTTTCGCGGCAGGGCAAAGCGAAGTAATAATACGCACCTATAAGGCTCCACTCATCTGCCTCCTTGAAATCAAGGACTGCCTGATTTATCTCGGTGGCAAGGCGGATCTTTGACATACGGCGGACCTCGACTAAATCCGACCCAAACACATTCTGCATATTGATGGGCTGCCACTCATGAAATCCAGCGGCTGGACCGTTTGCGATGACGTGTTTTTTTGAAGCCGCATTCGGGAAGTCGAGCTTAATGGTATCCCAGGTTCCGGCGCCACTACTGTCCGATAACTGGAAACCAAGGTTCAAGTGATCGAAATGAGAGCAGAGCTGCGGCTGAGACTTAGGCGACCATTCCCATTGTTCAGGCGTGTTCGACTCTTTCGCCGCGTCGCAGCGGAAGGAAGCGATCTTATCATTGAAGTCTTCGGGCCTTGGCCACTCGCCCTTGGAGACATCAGCGCCTGGGTAAGAGACATCGAAGTGACCGCCCTCGCCGTCCTTGCAGCCAGGCTTACTAAAAGAGGTCGTTAGCTTCCACGCCGTAGGTTAATAGAAGAGAAGAAGAAGAAGAAGAAGAAGAAGAAGAAGAAGAAATAAGAAAGCCTACTTATAGAAGCGACAGGTACCGGCAGCTTCATTTGGCCGTACCGAAGACACCTTGCCTTTCAACGAGGTGGGCACAGAGACTTCAAGACAAGTGGTTAGCCGAAAGTATAAGGACTGACTTGAGGCGGGACCTACCGCACTGCCCGGCCGAGCTCTTAACAGTAGTACACGGCGGATTGAAGGTATCGTTTTCGCAAAGATGGACAGCAGGCTTGGCGATTGTCTCTTTGAGTTTGCGACAGAAAGATCCCAGTTCCTTCTTGGGCCCGTCTGAAACGTCTCGAATTAGCAGGGGCATCGATTCGATGCGTTTGTCAGTTATCAACCAACATTGGGTATCTTACCTTGGGCCCTCTTGCGTCGCTGAAACTTGCCAAACTCCGAACCGCATCCGTCAATCAGATTGCATACACCATTCCCACCTTGCCTCATCCTTTCTATAGCTTGCTGAATAGAGGCGTCTAAAATGCCATGGTTGTGTCCGAACGGTCCGCTGGGGTTGTGCTGGTCAAGCCGCTCCAAGGACGTCGTGATGGCATCTCCACGTCCATAGCCAATTGGCTATTGGGATAATCGGAATCGGACCGGCATGGTTCGTTGTGCTCGCGCAGATACTCGGCAGCCTCCATCATATCCGCTTCCGTGATCATTCCGTTAGGAGCAGGGTCAACATCCATTGGTTCGGGGCAAGTCTGTTGTGTATAGGCATTTGCACTTTGGCCTTGGGTGGAATAGCAATGTAAGACATCAACCTCCATGGGTTCATGGCTAAGCTGTGGTGTAGGAGGCCGTTCCGCCGTATTTTCAACCTCCATGGGTTCGTGACTAGACTGCGGTGGAGGAAGTGATGTTATACCCTGACCGTGATCATCTCGCTGCTCCCATCGACCTCGCACATTCGTCCAGGTGGAGACGTCAACACGTGGCCGGTGGAGAATTTCATCCGACTTAACGAAGCACTCCACTTGAAAGTCGATCCCATCTGGTTGGTCGTTCGTAAGATGAAAAGGGAGTAGGATCTGTACTACTCTCGTATTGTCGGCTGCTCTCTCCTCATCGAGATATGAGATACGCACGGGCTCGTTGACCGCCCAGGTGGAGTTGAGTGATTTGATATATATCTCGGCTTCGTCGTCACCTAACCAACCCCCATTTATCATTTCAATGGGTATAATGACCTTGGGTAGTCGCGCGAATGCTTCTTCATCGGCTTTGATGTCACAAATCCTAGCAATATTGAAGTTAGATATATTAATTCTGATACGGTGTACTTCAAGGTTGCAAATACCAGTTTGCATCAAGATCTCGGTATTCCCCGGGGCCAGCAGTCATATAAACTCCTGGCCCAATCTGTGAGCCTCCTGGGTTCTCGTCCTGGTGGGTGAAAGTTCCAGCATTGTTGTAGTCGCGTGCTTGTTCCTATGTTATAATGTGAGGACCAATACTCAAGAACCGGAATCAAAAGAGAGGGACAAGGTGGCTATTCTCGGGACTCACGGTATTGACAAGTCTGTATCCTATAACTACATGACGGCTCCTGCGGTCAAGGTAAGGTTGGCCGAACGCTAGAGGAGTCCCCTGTGTGAAAGGCTGGCCCGGAGTTTATTCAACAAGCAGGTGCCTAGGTGTTGTCTATCTAGAGCTAAGGAGGAAAAGAAGCTGAACTCGAGGCGTAGCCTCGAGTGCGAGCTTATATTGCCCTTCTCGGAATGTTCTCGCAGCTTCTGGGTCCGCGGGCCGGCCGGTGTTGCCACCGAGCACGACCCACCGGACCCGGTACAACCGGGTCCACCAGCCGGGCACAGCCCGTGACATTACCCCCCTTGTCCCCTCCGACCAGGTCGGCGTCTGCGGGGTTCTTGCGTTCCTGCCAGCGTCTCGTACCTCTCCCTAGGGCCATCATTGGTCTTGATTGGCCCGTACTTGTCCTCGAATGCCTTCATCGCAATTGTTCCTTGCAACCACTCAACTGGCTCCCAAGTCGGCTCTGCGTAGCCCGTCCATCGCACTAGTGCTTGCCTGAATTCCCTCGTCCGCGCTTCTTCCATCTCGCGCAGAGGATCTCGTCGACATCCCACAGATCCGTGCCGGACTCATCTTGTACCGGTGGTGGCTGTGCGTCATCTACCTTTGGCCAGGAGCCGGATCTTGATGCGCCCGCCGCAAAGGTCAACATGAAATCGCGGGTAAATTGAGCCACGAACATCGAGCTCAACAACGTGCGAACTAATTACCTTCGTGACTGTGTACTTGTGATGCAGCCAGTCGAGCTTCTTGCACGGTCGTGGCGATCTGTAGTTTGCCATCGAGAGCCACACCTTGTCACCAACTTCAAATCGCTCCGCAGGCTGTCGCTTTGCGTTGGCAGCCTCTTCTTGTTGTTGCTGTGAGGAGGCCATCACTGCTTGCATGTACTCATTGACCTCCTGCAGGCGACTGAGTAGGCTATCAGCTCTGCTTTCCTCTCTATGCCTCGGTGGCTCTTCCGATTCCTCGACGCTGATGGGATCGACGTGGTAACCATGCTCAGCGAAAAAGGGGCTGATCTTGGTCGCTGCGGATTCACGATTGTTGAGTGCCAGCTGCGCGGCAGGAGCAGTTCTCCCAGTCGTCCTGCACGTACGACACGTAGGCTCTCAGGTAGGCCTCGATCTCCTGGTTCATTCTCTCTGGCCCTCCGTCCGTCTGAGGATGATAGGCCGTGCTCAATTTCTGCGTGACACCTGCAAGACGGCAGAACCTCTTCCAGAACCTACTTAGCCAGTTGCTCCCGCGGTCGCTGACGATGGACCGTGGCATTCCGTGAAATCGGTAATGACACTGGAGAAAACGGTTTGCACACTGCTCAGCTTCCATGTTGTCCATCACCTCGAGGGTCACAGCCTTTGTCAGTCTGTCCACAATCACCCACAGGTACCTTGCCTTGCTCGGTCCAGTAGGCGGCAGATCTGTGATGAAGTCCATGGACAAATGGCTTCGGGGTCGATCTGGAATCGGCAGAGGCTTGAGAAATCCCTTTCGACTGGCGCCAGATGTGTGCTCTGCCGCAGGTGTCGCAATTGGCTACGTACCGGCGAACCAGCTGGGACTGCCCAGGCCAGTAGAATCGCCGAGCCACAATAGCCAGCGTACCTTCCCTGCCGGGATGACCGGTCGCAACAGAGTCATGCGACTGCTGCACAATGCGGGTTCTCAACTGGTCTTTCTCAGCTTCCTCCTGGTTACCCTCCTCCGGATCCACCCGGCACCCAAATACGGTCTCTGAATGTCAGCCTTTTGCCTGCGTCGATCGCACATTCTGAAATCTGGATCTTCAGGCCCAGCGAGGGCGGGAAGGCACGCTCGCGATCGCGGACTGCCTTATAGGCTGCCCGGAATATCGAGTCCTTCGCCACCGTTTCGTCCCAGAGTTGCTGCAGGTCCGCTACCTCGAAGACCTTCATCTTCGGCAGGGTGGATGCCTCTGAACAGTCAGAACTCATCGCGTTGATACATGCTCTTGTCGATGATGGAATGGCACTATCCGGTATCAACTGTATCATTCTTCCTTGTTCCCGCTCGTCGTCAATGCCCTGTGGCTTGTCTTGTTCACGGCGGGACAACGCATCAGGCACGACAGCCTCGCTTCCCGGTCGATACTCGAGCTTGAAGTCGAACTGGGACAATTCGGCTGCCCAACGGCTCTGCCGTTCCGTGAGCTTCTGGCGTGTCATGAAATACTCCAGGTTGCGGTGATCGGTAAGGATTGTAAATGGGCCGCAGCTCCTAAGTTCGGCGTTCCAGTTGTCGAGACATCTCATGATGGCAAGCATCTCCTTGTCGTGAATGGGATAGTTGTACTCCGCTGGCGAAAGTCGCTTCGAGAAGAAGGCGCATGCGTGTCGACGTCCATCTGGGCCTTCCTGCGACAGGACGCCTCCCAATGCGTAGCCTGAGCAATCCGTCTCCAAAAAGGTCGGGAGGCTCGGGTCCCACTGCTTGAGCACCGGTGACTCGCAAAATCGTCGCTTCAGCTCCTGAAACGCCTCGTTCTCCGCTCGTCCCCAATGAAAGGCAGTTCCTTTCTTAAGCAGGGCATCCAGAGACTGCGTGATCTTGGCATAGTCGGGGATGAAGATCCGGTAATAGTTGGCGAAGCCCAGAAAGCTTCTGACACCCTTCACCGTGGTCGGGGCCTCCCATTCGCGGATGGCGCGCTGCTTTTCGGGGTCGCAGGCGATTCCTTTCCCTGCGTTGACGATGAACCCAAGGTATTTGACCTCTTGTACCGAAAACTCGCACTTCGCTGGGTCTAGGTGCAGCCCAGCGTCGGCGAGTGCTTGGAGAACTCGTCGCACCTTAGCCTCATGATCCGCCTTCGAACCGCTCGAGTAGATCAGTACATCATCCAGGTACGCTGTGACAAAGTCGTCCAGCCATTCGCGCAATACACTGTTCATGTATCGTTGGAATGATGCCGGGGCGCCGCTCAGGCCGAAAGGGCACACGAGCCACTTGTAGAGCCCAAACCTCGTGCGAAATGCATTCTTTCCTCATGTCCCGGAGCCATGCGGATCTTATGGAAAGCGGCCACCACGTCCAACTTGGTGAACCACTTAGCCTTGGCCAGATTCTGCAGGGTCTCCGCGATGAAGGGCAGTGGGTATCGGTCGCGCTTGGTGATTGCATTCAGCGCTCGGTAGTCGCAACAAAATCGCAGCCCTCCATTCGGCTTCCGCACGAACAGCACCGGCGCGGCAGCCGCTGAGCTACTCGCTCGGATGAATCCTCTGTCCAGCAGGTCTTTCAGGGTCTTTCGCAAGACCAACAGCTCTTCTCGTGACATGTTGTAGAGTGGGCCCCACGGAAGGGGTGGCTCGTTGCCGTTCTTGTCAGGCTGCAGGTTGACTTCATGATCCACACCCGGTCGATGTGGCGGCAGCTTCATTGCCTCTTCTGGTGAGAATAGGTCGCGGAATTCTTTCAGCACTTCTGCCGGGACCTTCTCGCTCGGATCGACTGGCGGCTTCGGCTGAAGCGCCCTCTCTATATCCGACAAACTGATTGCATGAATCGAGATCGCGTTGCACTTCTTGCGTCTCTTTGCGCGTCGACACTCCGCCGTGAATACGGCTGCCGACACGAGTCTTGCGCTTCGAATCGCGCGTATCTTGGCGGGCTCTTCCTGCCCAATGAGGCGTATCGTCACACCTGCCCTCCCATGGTACATTCGCTGCTTGGCAGCATCGTACACGACGTGATTTCTCTCCATCCAAGGCCGGCCGAGGAACATGTCCTGGCCCAGGCTTGGGATCACGTATGCAAAGACACGTTCGTCAAATCCAGCTGTCTCGACCACAACAGCCACGACCCTGGGGATATGACACTCTTCGCTGACTCTGAGAATCCCCCAATTTCTCGTGGTTTCGAGTCGACGAAGGGTATCCGCAGCTTCCGAACAAGGGCTTCGTCGATCACGGCATAGCAGTCACATCCACAGTCGACAAGGGCGCGTATTCGATAGCCTCGGTTTACCCGCGCGTTGACTAATACAGTCCGACTATTCATTCGTGGCTTGAACGCTTCCCAGTCCCGGATGTCTGCCTTTGCAGGCCCCGGCGCCCGCTTTCGCCCGGGGCTAGTCTTTTCCCGCCGACTCGTCCTCACTGGATGCTGCGGTTGATTCCGAATCATCTGCGGCATCGGGCTTCTTCATGCGCGCAGCTTTAGGTCGCTGTTGCTTCCCTTCGCCAGGAAAGACCACCTGGGCTGGGCAGTCCACGATAAGATGATCCGTCCGACCACAGCGATAGCAGCGGCGCTCATCCTTCGGCTTCTTATCGACATGTCGACGACCCTTCGACTCGTGGCCAATACGGTTGATGTCCGTCATCTTAACATCTCCGTCGGGGTCCTCCGGTTCCTCCTTGGGTCGTTGCCTTGGTAGCTGTTGAGGCGTCCGCTCAGTCGACGTCGGCTGCCTACCGGGTTTCAGTCTCTCCAATCTGCCCGCAATTTCCTGAACTCTCGCAAGCCATCCCTGGTAGTCGTCGGGTAGGACGGCTGTGACCAAACTCTCTTGGAGGCGTGCATTTATTGCGTTCTCTAGAAATACGATCTTTGCACTGTCCGGCCAGTCTGCTCCCCCGGCTTCAGCTAATGCCTGTTCGAATCGGGGAAGGAAGGACGCGAGAGGTTGGTCTTCGCGCTGCCGCATAGTTCTCAGCGTGGCAGCAGCGCGGGATTGGATGTTGCTGTCCTGGTAGGTTCGGTCGAGGTATCGCATGAACTCTTGGGGTCGTAGCTACCCCAGGGCCTCCCGCGGCGTAAAAGGTAGCGACCACTTGCTGTGGTCGCTCGTCCAAACATGAGTTGATGAGGTACCAAAGTTCGCGATTTCCACTGTAGTAGTGTGCATCAAGGTCCAGCTTGTCTCGCATCTGCCTGGCCCAGGCGGAGTAGCTCTTCCGTGAGCCGTCATACTTGGGTGGGTTGGGCAACGGTTTCCGCATTCCAGTACCGCAGGTTTTGGGAGGGCGTGCCCAAGCCAGGCGTGCTCTCGCCCAATCCTCGTGCCACTGGCGGCGATTGCAAGTCGGCGCTCTGCGGCTGCGCTCGCCCGAGTTGCTCCATCAGCAAGGAAAGTTGGTCCTGTAGAGGGCTGAGAGTCGCATTGACCGCTTCTTGAATGCGTTGGTCAATCCATTGCTGCTGGAGACTTGGGCTCACTCTGCTGGTCCATCCTGACGAGCAGTCTGCAGCTTGCGGTATTTAGAAGGAGCTCTAGATATGTGAAAGGCTGGCCCGGAGTTTATTCAACAAGCAGGTGCCTAGGTGTTGTCTATCTAGAGCTAAGGAGGAAAGAAGCTGAACTCGAGGCGTAGCCTCGAGTGCGAGCTTATATTACCCTTCTCGGAATGTTCTCGCAGCTTCTGGGTCCGCGGAGCGGGGCCGGTGTTGCCACCGGAGCACGACCCACCGGACCCGGTACAACCGGGTCCACCAGCCGGGCACAGCCCGTGACAGAGAGCACCAGAGGAAACGGGTAGATAGAGAGATGCAGCTGTCTGTGGTGACAGAACCCGGTACTGAACGGTCGGCGGAGCACTGGTATCATTCTGAGGGCATTGATTCAGAGTGACGGTAATTTTACATCACTGTCCTCGGTCTGCCTACGGCTACTTCCTTCAATTTAAACGTTCCAAATTAGGTCACCCGCAGATGCCGCGTTCAGGTCGATGCAAACGCTCCAAATAATTCTTTCATAGCTGCAAGCGCGACGCAAAGGTGCCCTCCAAAGCATTAAAGGAAGCCATGCCTTCCGCGTACATCATCTTGCATGTATGATCTTCAGTTTAGTCACACTCTCTTCACTCGAACTCCCTACGTTAGTTCACGAAAATTTCCACCAGTCGTCTAAATGACAAGAAGGTTTTCCTCGGACTCGCAGAAGGGCTCGCTAGTTAAGGATTACCGGCTCGTCCCGCCCTACCCGTCACGCTGTAGGGAGTGTCCAGACGTCTATATATGCTCTACTTACGTCTACAACCGAAGCTTCAATCGGATTCCAAACTCTGGGGCCGAAGAGCTCAACGCAGACGACTAGGTACAGTTCAGATGGCAGTGACCGCAGCGAGCCGAGCATGCAGCGGCAGCTATTCCAGCGCACGACACCCAAACCTAGGGGAAAGCAGCGGCAATCACTCATCACACTTGTGGTGGAGAGTGCCAAAAAGCAACAGTCAACCTCAGACAAGGGATTTGGCGAGGAGCCTGGATTCAATTTCAACATGCTCAAGTCACATGCGACTGCGGGAAGCCCCGGGCAGTTCTATCGCCACAAACGACTCGCCGCAGTGTGCTCACGACCGAGTTGACGCTGTTGACCGACTCACTTAGACTTGGACTCGTGCTGAAAGGCGGCAGGGGGCGGTCACAACCGACGCCGTTTTGGATCATCGATACGCCTCGCATGATTCGGTGACCCGAGGGCAATTCCCCGACAAGTCTCGCATGAAGGCGAGCGAGGATGCAAATGCCAGCTTGTGGAACCAGCGTTTCTTAGAGGAGATATCTAAGGACTACTACCATTATAAGGACTGGTGAAGATATAACAATTCAACACTCCTCCACGGCTGGTTGCTTGCTCCTCCGGATTTTGTGAATCCGCTGTCGCTTATGCCCTTGCCCATGGCTTTGCCATATTCTTTCAGGCGCTCGACATTCTGTACTCACACCCCCGTATATCCCGCCATGGTCTCTCCGCTCGCATTTCCTGGTGTGTCGTGACGAGTCCGAAGGAGAAGACTGAGAAATGCTGATAGTAATTCTAACAGGCTTGCAGAGAGGGAGGTCAAGTTCCATCTCAACCTGTTTGCCTTGTCCGTTCTCGACTGTACCGCTGGCCTCTACTCGATGGCAAGTATCGGATACAGTGACTCGAAAACGAGCCCAGTAGGAGGACGATTCTCCTTGTCATCGCCCCAAAATGAAGAGTAATCACTCTCTTCAAGATCGCTAGGTGCAAACGAGGGCTGTATATTTTGTGTAGGTGACACTTCAATCTCGTCTTGTGGATATCTGTCACGGCAGTTTGTGCTGTTGAATTGGCTTTCGGTATCCGAGAATTCTGATGTGGGCGAGGTAGGACAAAGAAGCATATCGAGAGCACGAAGATGACCAGTTTGTCCACAGGCAATCGATTCAGTGGAACTCATATTCCCCTGCATAGTCGAGGTAGTGTCAGTCGACATGGCGGGAAGGAGGGCTTCGTTGGCTTTCGGAGAGTTGCAAGAAAATGGGAGATATGGAAACTGGGACAAAAGGGGGTGGTGCCTACCTCCTTCACTATCTAAACGAGTATGAGACGGGCTGCCTGGCCGGGACGAGAGCTCCAGCGAATCATCCCGAGAATCCCCAAGGCGCAGCTTTGGCCATCTCATTGCACATATCGTCGGGTGGGATCATGCGCCTTCCTCCACTTCCGGGCTGTGGTCCGTTGTTGTAGCTGACGCCTGCCGGCCACCCCTGAGATGGTTTATGCGTCTTTGACCAGGTTCAGCTTCTGCATCTATGCGCCGATCACATCCGCTAATGCTGCAAAATTACGAGTAGCCAAATTCTCTGTAGGCGCAGGGGGGCGAACCGAATCGTGCAGACTAGTCCGCAGCCTCCCCTGCGACGGGGTTCAGGGAGGGAACGCGAGGCAGGACTTGTCCGTTAATTTCTCTTCCCTCGCCGTTGACCCAATGTATGACAATGTACATGTGCATGCCTGGGAAGTGTCGGGGGTGGCGAAGCTTGCAGCGGAGGGAGCCTCGCGACAAGGGGAGGGCTGCCCACGTCGGCATCAACTTTGGGAAGACGCCGTGGCTGACGTTTGCGTTGAGCAGAAGCCGGCCGGTGCCTAGGCGGGCCGACTGGAAGAAACCCCGGGCGGCGATGAGCTGGTGAAAGTCCTGGAACAGGTTGGTGGCGGCCTCGTCTTTGCCAAAGGGGAAGAAGCGGGCGCTGCCGACGGCCGAGATGTCGTGCAGCTTGGAGCGCGGGCCGTGGCCGAGAATGACGTTGAGGGCGTCGACGACGTCCGGGTACTTGGGGGAAGAGGCCGTCGACGGGGCCCTCGCTCATGGTGCCGACGTACTTGAGCAGGGCGTCGAGGGGCGCCTCTGTCGGGCCGTGGATGGTGGCCTCGATGACGTCCCACTTGTCGCCGCTGGTCTCGACGGCCAGCCGGAACCGCACCGGGTTCTCGGCCAGCTTGAGCTTCTGGAGCGAGACGAGCTGGCTCTTGTACTCGGTGGCGAGCACGAGCGTCTTGTCGGCGGCCTTGAGGGTGGCGAGCAGCTCGCGGACGGCAAAGTAGAGCTTGCGGCCCTTGACCTCGCGGCTGGCGGCCTTGGACGACTTGGACGGCTCGCCCGACGACGTCTCGGAGCCGACCTGGACAAACTCAAAGGTGTACTTGTACAGCACCATGGGTTTGAAGGTGACGTTGAAGTAGTTGGACCACAGCGTGACGGGCTGGCCGCTTGTGCCAAAGGCCGGCCTCAGGGGGAAACACGTCAGTGGACCGGGCCTGGAGGGGCGGCGCCTGGATGTTGGTCTTGGCCATCTGCGCCGCGAGGCCGGCGGCCGAGGATCTCTGCGTCTTGATGAGGCGGTCCTCGAGGGCCGTCACGGCAGCGTCGGGTGTCACGACCCTGGGCGCCGGCGTAGAGCCGCCAGCGCAGAACCTCACCAGTGTCACGTGCCCAAGCAGCATCACGTGCCCACGCGCGACCTCGTGTCTATATAAGGGCCCGCTCGGTCGTGTAGTCTAGTCTTCCTTTCTTGCTCCTTAGCTTTGAGTCTTTGTTCATAGTGCCAATACATCTTTATAGCCGTCAAGGCTCGTATGTGCCTGGCCGTAACACTACTCAAAGCTCAATAAGATCGCTTGCCAGCGATTAAGCAAATAGGCACCGAGCTTTCACGTCACACGCGCCTGACGTAAATCCAGCGCATCCGTTCTGACCGTTCCGACCAAGACTCCGACCACCGACCAAGTGATCCTCAAGGCTGAGATCACGTCCGTTCCGACCAAGACTACGCGTGTGTGTAGCCGTCCGACCAACCGTTCCGACCAAGGGATTCGTCCCGTCTGACCTCCGACCGTCCCTGCTCGTGCAGGCATCTGACCGTGATTCCGCGTGGTATCATTTCCGACACCTATCACCTCGCGACTATGATATCCGAGGAAGCCCTGCCCTCTGATCAGCCTCGCCGTTCCACCCGGCTTGCTGGCCAAGCCACTGAATCCGAAATAGTAGCCATGGCTGCCCTGAGCCCCAAGACGCTCTCATCCGCGAGATGAGGGAACAGATTGCGGCCTTAACGGCCCGTCTAAATGAACGCTCTCCGTCTGTTGAATCAAATCGACAGCACCGGGAGCCCTCGACTGCTTTTGCCGGCCCAAATGGCCCGGCCTTCCGACCAACAGGCAAAGCTGCCTGGCCTGTTTTTGCCCCCTTCCCAGAGGGCAAGAACCCCGAGTACAGCGACGCCGCCAAATCGCGCATCAAGGCCTCCGCGACGTTCTCAGGAAAGAAGGACGAGTTCCATTCCTTCATCCTGAGCATAAAGAACAAATTTGACGAAGACGTGCGAACCTTCCGGACTGAGAACAGCCGGATGGTCTGTCTGTATAACCTGCTCGAGGAAAAGCCCGCCGAGCACTTGAAACCCGCTTCTCCTCTGACACTCGACCCTTCTCTGGAGTGGCAGAGATGATCCAAGCCCTCGAGTCCGCCTATGGCAATCCGAATGAGCTTTCCGAGGCTCTTGACCGCCTGCAACGCCTCCAGTTTACCGTGAATGGGAAGACCGACATTGTGGACTTCCTTGCGGAATTTGACTACTTAACTGCGACCGGTCGTGTGCCCGAGGACCAGATGAAGCATACCTTGTGGCAGCACATCCCGGCCAACCTAGATAACAGCCTCTTGACCAAGACCCGTGACGAGTCCGTGACCTACGAGGTTTTCTGTGGGTTCATTAAGGACGCTGTCCACTGCCAGAAGAGGAGTATGAGGCAGACACAGGACTCCCGCTCTTCCGACCGATCTCGCCGCGCGCCGACTAAGACTGCTCCGACTACCGCCAAGACTCCGAACAAGACCGGCTCGACCCTATCACCTCGCGTGATGCTGGCAGAGCCTTGACCGACGATGAGAAAAGGGTCCATTGGGATAATGGCACCTGCTTTATTTGTGGAAAAACAGGGCACCTCTCGCGACTGTCCCGACCGCACCCATGCTGTCTCCCGTGTCGCCTCCGTCCCTGTCCCTGCCAACGACTCTGATCAAGATTCGGGAAACGAATAGGACCATCACAAGACTCCTTGATGGTCCCTAAGGTGTCACAGATAGCGAGTAGGTCTAGCAAGTCATTCACTCTGCCAAGTCAAGTCCAAGTGGATGGTGTGAGCTTACCTGCCCGCTCCCTCTGTGATACCGGAGCCGAAACCCGTTTGCTGGTTAGCCCAACCTTCGCCCAGTCCGCCGCCCAAAGACTCGGAGCCCAGATTAAGGAGCTCCCGAGTCGGATTCCCCTCCAAGACTTCCGTGGAAAGCCAGCCGGCTATATCCAGAAACAGCTGGTCGCCACTTTCGTCATCGATGGCCGTTCGTTCGCAAACGAGACATTTGATATAGCTGAGTGTGGCCATGATATCTTTATCGGTCTTTTCTGGATGCGGAGAAGCGCCTCCTGCTTGACTGCGCCGCCCGACAGATCATCTGGCCAGATGATCTTCCTGCCTCGCCAAGTTCTCCCCGACGATCCAGCTCTCTCGTCAAGCCCCGCTCTCGGGTCGGATCGACCCTAAGATCCAGGCCGACGCTGAGAGGCGGAACCGCCTGCTCGAGAAAGAGGAGAAACGCTACCGGATCCTCCACAAGAACTGGCGCCGCTCTGATCAAGCTCCTCCGGCCTCTGTCCCGACCCGTTACCGACTCCGTCTCCGTCGTTTCAGTCCAAGTCTCCGTCTGCCAAGAAGTCTGTCCGTTTTCAGCTCACGACCGCCCCTGCTACCGACTTCGTCTCCGTCGCCTCGGTCCAAGCCTCCGAAGATCAAGCCCTGATTAACGCCCTGGTCTGCCAAGTAGAGTCTCACGAGAGATTCGAACAGTGGAACGAACTCGAACCGTTGATGCCCCGGGATCCAGTCCAGCTCGAGCCAAGCTCCGGCCTTGACCAGACCGTCCCTAGTGCTCGAACCGTTGCTAAAGTCTCCCCGGATCAGAAGACCTACCAGGGACAAAGCATTCCGTTCCCTCAGGGAGAAGACCCTGAGCATGTTGCTTGTGTCCGTAGTCGTCTACCGCCCCAGCTCACCCATCTAGAGGGATTCTTCTCGAAGAAAGAGGCCCACACCCTACCTTCGAGCCGACCCGGTCACGATGTAGTCCTAGAGCTTGAGAAGCCTCTTTCGCCGACAGGACCCCCATCGTACCGCACGCCCGTTAAGTATCTGCCTCTAGAGAAAGAGACTGTCGATCACCTCCGGGAGATAGACTTCATCGAGCCCGATCCGAGTCCGCACGCCGCATCCGTCCTCTTCGCTCCGAAACCGAACACGACCGCCCGCCGCTTCTGCATCGACTACCGTTGGATGAACGATCATCTTAAAAGTCGCATCACGCCCGCTCCGTCCCTCGAAGGTACTGCTTTCGGTTGCCGTGAAGCTCAACGCTTCACGAAGATCGATGTGATCCAGGCCTTCCACCGTCTCCGCATGGACCCTGACTCCGAGTATTTGACCGCCTTTCGCACCCGTTTCGGAACTTTCCGCTGGAAAGTCCTCCCGTTCGGTCTGAAGGTAGGTCCCGCCTGGTTCCAGCAGTTTATCAACGCGCAGCTCACGATCTCCTCGACCGGTGCGCCAGCGCCTACGCAGATGACGTCCTGATCTACTCGGATAAAGAAGAAGACCACTGGAAAGACTGTCAAGAAGTGATCTGGCGACTCCATCAGGCCAACCTCAGGGAGACATCAAGAAGTCTAGATTTAACGTGACCAAGGTTGACTACCTCGGCGTTCTGCTTGAAGCCGGTGTGGGCCTTAGTGTCGACCCTCGGAAAGTTCGATCGATACAAGACTGGAAGTTTGAAGACCTCCGAGACCGCACCGCGATCCGATCATTCGTTGGCCTATGCAACTTCATCCGTGTTTTCTGCTACCACGCCTCCGGAGTGGCAGAACCCTTGAACCGGTTGCTTAAGAAGGATGTTGCCTTTGTGATGGGCCCGGAGCAACGCGAAGCATTTGATCAACTCAAGCGCCTGGCTATCGAAGCCCCGGTCCTCGCCTTCTTTAGACCAGAACTGCCGACCCGACTGGAGACCGATGCCTCCCGGAATGCCACAGCTGGTGTTCTATGGCAGGAACAGCCTGATCAGACCTGGAAGCCCGTTGGATTCTTCTCTAAGACCATGACCCCGGCCGAGCGAGCCTACCCAATCCAAGATCGAGAGCTCCTCGCCGTCGTACAGAGTCTAGAGCACTTCTACCCAGAGCTCTTAGGCCAGAAGTTCGATGTGATCACCGATCACGAAGCCTTAGTCCATTTCTCTACGAAGCGCCTGCTCTCGGTACGACAGATCAGATGGTCCGACTTTCTCGCCCAGTTCGACATCCGTTTCCTCTACCGCCCCGGTCGACTGAACGTAGTCGCCGATGCCCTCTCCAGGAAGACAGCGGAGCTCCCTACCGTAAAGGCCGGGAAGCCGAGGAACGCACGGTGACCCTGATCCTCCGGAAAGGCTAGGCTTCGCGACCGACTCTCTAGACCCTACGGCCGCCGGCAACCTGCCCTCAGAACTTTAGTCCCGAACCTAAGCCTACTAGACCATTAGTTCTGAGGGCCACGAGTGCCCTACAGACCCCAGAAGACCGAGGATACAGCAGACGCCCGATCAAGACCGCCCAGAACTAGACCCGAACTCGGTCCCGAAGGGAGCCGAACTCGTTTCGTTGATCCGCCAGGAGAACCTCCTCCAAGACCTCGGTACCCATGGAACACACCTGGTCGTACCAGCCCAGACCTCAGACAAGCAGACGTTTCTTCAGACCGCGCTCATTCGCGAAGCCCACGAACCCCAGATCTTCGCTCACGCCGGACAGAACAAGGTGATCAAGCTGCTCCAACGAGACTTCTACTGGCCAAGGATGAAGGAGGATATCCGTCGTTATATTCGGAACTGCCACGACTGCCGCCGCAACAAAACCCCTCGAGACAAGACCCCTGGACTGCTCCATCCACTGCCCGTACCGACCTCTGTTTGGGAGCACGTCGAATGTGACGGGAAGGATATGCCGAAAGACCGTTACGGATATGACTATGTTTGGACCTTCGTCTGCAAGCTAAGCCGGATTATCGCCACGCTCCCAGGAAAGAAAAACGATACGGCAGAAGTCTTAGCTAGCCGCTACTTCCGCTACCTCTATCGTTTCTTCGGTATGCCCCTCGTATGGATTTCTGACAACGCTGGACAGTTTATTTCTGCCTTCCTCGCAGAGATTAACCGGCTCACGGGAACGAAGCATCGTCATGGAAGCTCCCTACACCCTCAGACCCAAGGGGGGTGTAGAAGTTACAAATCAATACCTAGATCAAAAGCTACGATTCTACGTGACGAAGCATCAAGATAACTGGAGTTCCCTGCTGCCCGCCCTCGACTTCGCCCATAACTCGTCTTGGCACTCTTCCATCGACATGGCACCGTTAAAAGTAGCCCTAGGCCGAGATATCCGGAACCCCCCTGTCACTGCCCCCGACTGACAAGACCGCTGCCACCGGACCCGCCGCCAGAGCTAGGGAACTTGTGCAGACCGCCCAGGAAACCCAGGAAGACGCCAGGAATGCTGCCACCGCCGCTCAAGAACGTCAGAAGGAACAGGCTAATAGGAAACGACGACCAACCGACTTTGCCATCGGTGACCGAGTTTTTCTCAGCAGGAAAGGCTTCGCCACGAACGCTCCGACTACTCGGCTAGATAACCAATGGTCAGGTCCGTTCGTAATCCTGGAAGAACGCGGTCATAGCTACGTACTGCAGCTGCCCGAGTCGTACAAAATGAAGAACCTATTCCACGCCGACCGTCTTCGAAAAGCAGCCGATAACCCCTTGCCCCAGCAGATCCAGTCACCTCCGCCACCCGAGGAGATCAACGGAGAACCCGAGTGGGAGGTTGATCAAGTCCAGCAGTCTCGAGTAACCGGTAGGAGTCGACGACTGGAATACCAGGTCTTATGGAAGGGATGTGACCCTGATGAGACCTGGTACCCGGCTAGGAATTTCCGTAACGCACCAATGGCATTGAAGATTTTCCACGATGAACATCCGGACGCAGCAGGCCCACCCGTCAACCTGCAATACTGGATCGAATGTGCTGCAGCGGAGGAGGGCTGCGAGGAACGAGACGATGACGACACAGCAGAGAAAGCCGTGAAACCAAGAACCCGCCGCCACGACTGACTACCTTGATACGCATATCAAGGCCTTAGACGGGGGGTAGTGTCACGACCCTGGGCGCCGGCGTAGAGCCGCCAGCGCAGAACCTCACCAGTGTCACGTGCCCAAGCAGCATCACGTGCCCACGCGCGACCTCGTGTCTATATAAGGGCCCGCTCGGTCGTGTAGTCTAGTCTTCCTTTCTTGCTCCTTAGCTTTGAGTCTTTGTTCATAGTGCCAATACATCTTTATAGCCGTCAAGGCTCGTATGTGCCTGGCCGTAACATCGGGCTGCGGGAAAGATCCATTGACGCTGCGGGCCTTGTCAGCGGGCCGGGTGTCGAGCACGGCAGACGGGGGCAATATACACACCTATACGCCAGCTCGATCGTCGTGTCGCGCGGCCGGCCCCCACGACCACCGCGGAAGCCGCCTCCGCGACCGCCCCGGTCACCGCCGTCGCCACGGCCGCCGCGATAGCCACCGCGTCCGCCGCGATAGCCACCGCGTCCGCTCCGGTCCGAGAAGCCGCCGCGGCCGCGGGCAGAGGAGCCGCCGCCGCCCCGGTCTCCGCCGCGGTCTGACATCGCAACAGCCAAGTCTATCTCCAGGGACGTGTCAAAAAAAATTAACGCGGACCGGGCAAGGGATGTCGCGACAGGCCAGGGTCTTGCTCGGAGCACGGCAGCGGGGGGCTTACATGTTATTTATATATACGTGCACGCCGAGGCGGTGAGCAAGCAAGCAGCGCAGTCGCCGTTTGCGCGGGGCGGCAGAGGCCGTGAAGAGGAATGTGTGCGAGGCAGGCGCAGGCGCAGGGCAGGCCGTTTGCTGCCTGTGAGCAAGAGCACGGGCTCGCACGAAGTGAATGGCGAGATGGGCCGGTGCTGGGTGACGGGCGGCGGGCGGGGAGAGCGCCTTGCAAGAGCTGTGTCCCGTCCTTTATCCTCTTTAGCCAGGGCCTGTTCCCGCAGTCTTTGCACCTCGATGCGCCCGCTGTTCACGACACACTAGAGAACAGGGCCGGAGAGGATGCTGGCTGGCCTGGCATCGTCGTGGAGGAGGCGAAAAATGCAGACGAGACGAGGGTGAGGTGGTAGTTCAAACCGTCCCCGCTTTTTTGGTGGATGGATAGTCGCATATCAAGCCTGCCTAGGATGATTAACGTACCCCACTGCGTCGGCGGCTGATAACTTACACTGGCGCCCGGGGCGCGCTTTCTGACTAAGCCTCAAAATCGTGCCCCTATCCCATTGAGTGTACGAAGGCTGCAAGCGTGTACCTTACAGGGATTACAGCCAATAAAAACTCACACATTAATAGTTACTTCCCGTCTTTACACAAAGCTACATCGCATGCATTACATCCCCAACGTGTCTGCCGCGCCTGCCGGCGGTTGAGGGCATTGCCAGTCAAGTCAGCCAGAGCCGCCCTCTGGCCCCTTTTTTGCTGGCTTTGAGACCGTGTTTGGCCCAGCTTGAATCCTTGGCAGGCCAAGCAGCGAGAGCATTTTCCCCCTGTTGATATGTTGATGCTGTGATATTGGCACGAATTCGTTGCCGGCGTTATATCGTTGCCTCGAGCTGCCGCTTTTTCCGTATCTTGCGATAATCTCGTCAACAAGCTGCTGCCGCCACTGGCCCTGTGAGAGGTAGGGCTTCCACTGAGGCCGGCCACGAGACTGAAGAATGAAGGTGTTGATAAGAACTGAGCTCCGTCTCAGCATGCGGCACAAGATCCTGGCGCTCATCGTCCGCTACGGCGTGCCCGCGATCTGGTTCACGATCAACCCAAATGACATTACGAACCCAGTGAAGCTCCGGCTGGCAGCGTACCGCACGCGCGACCCCGAGGCGGCCGAGGCGTTCCTGCGAAGCCTCGATATGTCGTTCAAACGGGTCCGGCTATCCGTCTCCGACCCGATGAGCTCGGCCATGTTCTTCCATCGCGAGATGGCGCTGTTCTTCGAGCATTACGTAAATGCAGGGGGGGGGGAGTCGGTGTTCGGGCGCATCAGCCAGTATTACGGTGCCGTGGAGACCAACGAACGAGGCTCCCATCACGTCCACGGGCTGCTCTGGCTACACGGGAACGCGCACCTGGGCTCGATGCTCGCCGACGCCCACGGCGAGGAACAGGCGGCGTACCGCGAGCGGATCGTCCGCTATGTCGATAGCGTCTTCTGCGAGGTAAGGGGCGGGGCGTCGCGGTCATGGGCCAAGAGGATGCAAGCTGACACACGGAAAGCAGGACCTGGACCAGGAGGGGTTTTGCGCCGTCCACGCGGAGCGTTCGGTGACGTCCGATGTCTCGTCCCTGCTGGACAGTGCCGAGCGGTTCTCGGCCGCATTCGAAGAGGAAGCCAACTTCTGCGCCGGCGCGACGCAGATCGACACCCATAGTCCGACATGCGTCAAGTACTCCCTGGGTGACAAGGGAGGAAAGGGCGACCTCTGTCGCTTCAAGGCGCCATGGAAGCTGGTGGAGAAGACGGCCTTCTCGCCGGACGGCGTGCTGCGGATCCGTAGGACGCATCCCATGGTGAATCGATGGAATAAGGCCATCGCCGTGGGGCTCCGCCACAACCACGACATCTCCTTCATAGCGACGCAGCGGAAGACCATGGCGCTCGTCTACTACGTCACGAACTACGCGACCAAGGTAGAGGACCCGACGTGGAAGCGCGTCGCCGCCGCGGCGGATCTACTGCCCGTCGTCTCGGCCGGGGAGGACGCCGGAAGTGGCGTCGTGGGCGGTGATGATGGAACCAAGAACAAGACACGGCAGTTTCTTATGAGAGTGGCGAACCGTGTCTTCACGGAGCGGGCTCTGTCCCAAGTCGAGGTCGTCGCCCATCTGCTAGGGTACCCAAGCGAGTTCACGAGCAGCAGCGCCTGGGCGTACCTAAACGTGTCGGTGCTCTACTGGCACGTCTCGAGACGGTGGCGACACCTTCGACAGGAGAGCGGCACCGCGGTCGCTGACGTGTCCGTAGATGAGTCGGTCGTCGTGGAAGAAGCGGGCGAACGGATCAGCTTCGCCGAGGCGTACCATCATCGCGGAAACGTCCTACGAGGCTTATGCCTATACGACTACGTTTCGCTCGTCAGGCTCCAACGCGTCGGCAAGGACGGGTGCTCCGGTGCCTGGGGAGAGGTGGCGTTCGAGAGCGGCTGGGTGGCGGGTAAAGACTGGGTGCAGGTATTGAGGCGGCCGGGGAAGCATGCCGTCGTCTGCCTTGACGGGTACCTAAGCAAGGATTTTGAAGAGGACGACGAGGGATCATGCCATCGCAGGTAAGCACGGCAAACGGGCGGTTGAAAAGGGGATCGCAACGCGTCGCAACTAAACCGTTCTGTTCGTTATAGGTCAGCCGTGCAGCATCTTGCGTTGTTCACCCCGTGGGAGGCCTTTCTTAGCGAGGAGCGAGGCGACATCAACGACATATGGAGGCGCGCGCGGGAGCAGCTTCCGCCGAGAACCTCGTGCCTCGTCGACAACGTTCAATTGCTCAGGCGTTCCGCCGAGGACGCCAAGCGAGACGCCAAGCAATGGGCAGCCTCGTCCGGCGACGGGGAGGGGGGGGAGGGGCAGGGCCAGGGCCAAGCGGATCACGAGGCGGCATCGGCGTACCAGTCGGACGACGTCGGAATGGCGACGCGACTGATTGACGTCGTGCGAAGCGCGGCCGGGGCGAACCAGATCACGGCGGGATCGCAGGAGCTTTCGGGAATGATGCAGCAGCTCTGCCGCTTCCAACAATCCGCACTAGCCTCGACGGCCGAGCTCCAGGCCACCATGGTGACCGAACGGGGCGGGAGGTACATCAACATGCCCGGCCAGGTGTTCTCCGGGGCCGCCGTGCCGCCGCAGGATCAGGTCAGGGCCATCAAGTCGCAGCAGACTTGCGCCTCCAGGGAGAGGGTGAAGATGATCCAGGGCATACAAAGCATGGCCCCGGCCCACGGCACCGATCGCGGCGCAGCGGCGCGGAGCGTGCTGACCGGCTTCGGGGAGGAAGACGTGCAGATGACGGGAGCGGCAGCTGAGGAGACGGCAGGTAACGCGCAGGCCGGCATGGAAATCCGCCTCGGCCCGTCGACCTCCTTCCTCGAGGCTGGGAAAGGCTTAAGAACACGGTTGACGCTGAACAAGAAACAGGCGATCGCCTTCTCGATAATATGCCGCCACCTGGACTCGATGCGGGAAAGAGACGGAGGCGACGTCAGCCAGCTCTGCCAGTTCGTCGGCGGCGAGGGCGGCACCGGCAAGTCGCGCGTCATCGAAGCACTCGTGGGCCTCTTCGCCGCCAAGGGTATCTCGAGTCGCCTGCTGGTCACGGCGACGTCGGGGACCGCCGCCGCACGGGTCAACGGCATCACCATCCACTCCGCCTGCGGCTTCACCAAGGACCAAGGGCCGGGCGAGAACACGGCGAGGAACGTCGACGGCGTGCGGCTGCCGAAGCAGGCGGAGCGGTTCGTCAACGGCCAGTCCCGGATGGACTGGCAGGACAAGGACGTGCTCGTCATCGACGAGGTGAGCATGCTCGGCGCGCGGACGCTGCACGCCGTCAACGAGCGGCTCTGCCAGCTCCGGGGATCGCGGCGGGACTTCGGCGGCATCCCCATCGTCCTCTTCTGCGGGGACTTCCACCAGTTCCGCCCGGTCCAGGAGCGGTCGATCCTGCTGCCGAGCGCCGCCGTCTCGTGGGACGAGGACAGCTCGTTCAGGGCCGAGCGGCACCACCAGCACGACAGGGCGCACGCGCTGTGGAGGCGGTTCACGACCGTCGTCATGCTGGACGAGCAGATGCGCGCCGCCGGCGACCCGGAGCTGCAGGGGCTCCTGCGGCGGATCCGACGGGGCGTGCAGGACCACGCGGACCTGGACCTCCTCAACTCGAGGTGCCACCGGGAAGGCAGGCGGATCCCGTGGGAAACGGGCATCACGGTGGTGACGCCGCTCAACAGGAACCGGTGGAACCTCAACATGGAGGCGAGCCTGGCGTTCCAGATGCAGCAGCGGTCGACGGTGCGCATCTTCCTCTCCGAACACAAGTGGAAGGACGGCCTGCCGACCGAGGAAGAGGCCATCACGATGCTGAACCAGGGCGACGACAGCGCGATCCCGGTGCCGGCCGTCTTCATGTTCGTGCCGGGGATGCCGGTCGTCGTGAACCACAACACTCACCAGGGCTGAAGCTGGTGAACGGCGCCGGCTACACGGCGGCGGAGGTCATCATCGACAAGGCGTACCGGGGCATCAGATCTCGGCCGACATGACGATCCACTTCGGGCCGCCGGCGGCGATCATACTGGGGTCGGAGACGACCAAGGACTTCCACTTCGTCGGGATGCCGGCCGGCACCATCCTGCTGACGCCCATGAGCGTCAGGGTCCAGCGTCAGCGGAAGCGACCGTGGCAGCAGAACGACGTCAGCCGCAAGGGCCTGCCGTGCGCCGCCGCCTTCGCGTGCACGGATTACAAGGTGCAGGGGGGGACGCTGGAGCGCGTGGCGCTCGAGCTGCGGGGGACGAGGACGACCAACGTCGGCGGACGCGCCGTCCCGTCGCAGTGCGACCCGTACAGCCTGTACGTGCAGCTATCGCGGTGCCCGACGCTGGACGGCATCATGCTCGTGTCGAAGGTGCGAGAGGGACCTGGTGGGAAACCGGGTCCCCGGGGAGATGACCGCCGCACAGGCGAGACTGGAGGAACTAAGCGACAGAAGCGTTCGGGAGGCGCTGTGCTGGCTCGGCGACGACTTGGACGCCGCGAGGCAAGAGAGGGAAGGCTTGGTGAGGCACGACGTCGTCGGACGCCGCGGGAACGGCTGACGTGAGCAAGGAGGCCAAAACGAAAGAGGCTATTTTCAGCCCAATCGGGTTGAGAACGAGGCGGCTAAGTCAAAAGAGGCAGATTTTACGGAACGGGTAAGGCAACACCTCATGGGTTGCGCAAACAGGAGAAGGCAACCCAGCGGGGTTGCGCAAAGAGCCTTGAGGAACGAAAGACTTGCGGTTGGAAGGGGAGGTTTGGAAAGACTCAAGCTAAAAAAGATCCAAGCTCAGAAAGGGAAGCTAGGAAGATTTAAGATTAGTTAAGAGGGGGAAGTTAAGAAAGAAAGAAAAAGACTTTAAGTTAAGGTTGGAAAGTTAGGAAGACTCAAGGTAGGAAAGGGGGAGGCAGAAAGGACTCAAAGTTGGGCGGGGTGATAGGAAGTTAGGACGATATAGGAAGGGACGAGGTTTAGTTCGGTAGATGTAAGTGACGATTCACGACATAATGTGCCAGGTCAAGGCCTCTATCAAGTAATATAAGAGTAGATAAAATAAAGGTCAACTAACATGAGCTGTTCAAGAAATCCCAGCCGACAGTAAACTTGCCTTGTTATTCTATATCTATCGTTCTCTTAGCTGGGTGACGGTTTCGAGGCGGGCGGGCCGACGAGGCTACGGGGTGGGCGACAATCGAATCAAGGGGCGGGTTTCCCGAGGCGGGACCCTGTTTAGATGATACATCCGGGTCGGGAATGGAGGAGACAGCCGAGACCGAGAAGGGTTGAGTAGCCAAGGGGCCAGGGATAGGGGAAGAAGAAGACCCAGAGGCCTGTTGCGTCAGGCACGGTCGCTTCGTCGGCGTATCGGCAGGTTCAGGATAATGGCGCTTTTGGGGCGGCGTGGGGAGCAAGTCGAAGGCGCAGCCGAAGCTAAAGACGGAGGACTAATTGGGAGAGTGCTAGGAATAACCACGGACATAGAGGCAGCGCGCATATTATGAAAAGCGGCAGAAGCGGAGGACTGTTGTCGTTTTGGTGGCGTAGAGGGTAGCGGTGTCATCGCAGCCATAGAGGTGGACGACTTGTCGAGAAAAGTCCAGGAATCCGGGACGACTATAAAAACAAAGTCACGGTCAGAGCCCGGCGGGTGAACCATGACGCCGTGGTCCAGCAGGCCAGCGACCTTGCCTGTGCAGGTAAAGGGGACATTAGGCTGAAAGTAAGAGTTTCGCCTCTCGGCCATCTTCTTACATAGGACGGCCCAGGGGCTGGCGTGAATAGGGAAGATGACGAAGGCCTGGAAGGGGTGGAAGCCCTTAAAGGGGATCTTATCGGGGTTCCCCGGGGCGACGTAGGTAGATAGGTGGACGAAGCCGCAACATCTAAGTTGGGCGGTGTCTAGGCCTGGCAGAAGGTCCCTCCGCAGCAGGGAGTGGCCGGTGCCGACGACGAGGCCGGTGAAGGAAACAACAGGCGGGACGTGGGGGAAGTCGTCCATAGAGGCAAAGAGCCTAGGAAGAACGCTTTAGGACAGATTTAGCTACCCATTTCCTCGCTGCCACGCGCGGGGGAATGGGACCCGGCCTACGGCTGGTAGCCCTGGTCGCGGACGACGAGGGCGGGCATGGTATAGAGAACGGTGCCGCCCGTGTCAGACTCCAGGCCGTCGCGCTGTTCGACCTCCCACGCAAGGGCGTAGGGGTGGACGCGGCCGTTCATGAAGAACCACTGCTCGGTCCAGTCGGTGTCAAGAATCGACTGACCGTAAATCGAGAGGTTAAGGCTAAAGAAGACGGAGGTTGGGGAACTGTCGGCACCCGACCGCAGGGGCGCATATTCCGCTGTGAGCAGCCACGCGGGTGGAGGCAGCAAGACGCGGGCCATGGCTTCGGCGTTAAGTCCCTTGATGCGGTGTTCGTCCAGGTGGGCAAACCTGGCGGGGCAGTCGGTTTGGACGAAAAGCATCACGGACATATCACCGCCAGCGCCGGTTTGGCTATCGAGCGGCTTTCGGAGGTGCGGTGCGGGCAGGTCGGTAGGATGTAGAGAGGAAGACATCGTGCACCTGGGCCGGTCGATAGACCCGTCGCGCCCCCTAGAACGACCGCTGCCTGGCGTTAAGAGCGGAGTAAGGAGGAGATCGAGCGTAAACGTACGTAGAATAAACCAAGGGTGATATAGATTGGCCGGGAAATGTGAGGAGTTTCGCCACGGCAAGTGTTTGCCTAGATGTCGAAGGGATACGCAGTGGTGTCGCGAAGCTGGGCTCCAGTCAGGCACCAAGGGTGACGCGGACTTAAGAGTCCGGCAGGGCTGTCGGCAGACTCGTCTGCCGATAGGTCTAGAGGAAGCCCGGAAGGTCCGGGAGAATGGAGGCCCAATGCATAAAGGGGGGCATTATTGCGGAAGGACATACACAAGGGGCGTGTTGGAAGGCCGAAATATAGGAGGATAAAGCAAGCCAGGTCGACACACGGAACCGAGTCCCGGCCTTCCTCGCCTTGCCGTATGATGACTAGCACGCCGTCTTCAGTAGGGGTAGAAGAAGTCGACCGAACATCATATAATATAAACAAGCGCACGGAGAGCGGCTATAAGGAAGGTCGCAGTTAGGGTTGACAGGGAAGGTCGGGCAAGACGGACCTAAAAACCACCGTGCTAGGCGAGCGGAGCCGGATGGCAGGGCGATTCCTGGTTTCGGCGCGGCGGGGATGGTAAGAGATACCAAGGAAGGAGAATGTCTTAGTATAATGCCCGATTGGACGCCCTTTGGCAACGGTCAAATAGGGAGCTGCCAAGGGGAGTCGACCAGGAGAAGGCCGCGCTAGATAGAGCTGCAGCATCATTGCCTGGGCTAGGGCCGGTCAAGGCCGTCCGTAGGGATAGACACATGGCGGTAAGGTAGGGAAGGATGGGGAGAAGGGGGAATAGATGGGGAGGGGGGGCCTCTCCCGGACCAGGTACTGCCGTGTTGCCCGCATGTTATCGAGACTATAAGTTTGCCATCGCTTGCAAGGGGGTGGCCTTGGATCACACCTCAGGCGAAGGCTTCGTAATTTCTCGCCTGTTCGCAGACCCTTACCGTAAGGGAAATATAAGTTTGGGGAGAATCCTAGGGGCGACGTTAGGTCGGTGGTAGGAGAGGTGAACCGGAGACAGTAGGGGCTGCCGCTGCTGCAACGAGGATCATTGCGGAGGCGAGGATGATCGCAACGGACACAGGGCCGAATCGGGGGTCGGGCGACGAAAGTCAAGCGGGCGCGGCACCTAGGTTGCGGCCTATCGAGGCGAAGAAGGCGCCGGCGTCCGAGGGGGACTCACGAGGGGAAGAAGCAGAAGCACTCAAAAGATTGTTGCCTCAGCGAAGTCGGCGAGGCGGTCAGCTGGGAAAAAAGCTGCCGCACGTCGATGGTGCCACTTCAGAGGGAGGGCAAGCATTACGTTTAATAAGATTTCGGCTGAAGGGCGTAAGCAAGCACTCGCCCCAACCCATCCGGCCCAAAGGGATCGGGGACGCGGCCGGACACATAGCTCCACCGGACGAGGGCGGGTCTAACGTCGGGCCAGCGGCAGTTGCTATAACGAGGAGCATTGCGGAGGCGAGACCGAGCGCAACGAACGAAGGGCCGAGGCGGGCGTTAGGCCACGAAAGTCAAGCGGGCGGGGCACTTGTGCTGCGGCCAATCGAGGCGAAGCCGGTGCCGGCGTCCGAGGAAGGCTCGCGAAGGGAACAAGCGGAAGGAGTGAAAAGAGCGATGCCTAAGGGAAGTCGGAGAGGCGGTTGGTCGCGAAAGAAGACGACGCGCGTCGATGGTGCCACTTCGGAGGGAGGCCAAGCGCCACGTTCAGCATCGATAAACGTGCGGGACAGGCCGGAGGCCTTTGTCAGGGGAAACAAAGGATCAGGCATCGGGGAGTCGTCCGTTGCGGTTGGCGGTGGCCTCGAGACAGTTAGGCCCAGGCAACCGAGCGATGGCGTACAGATAATCCTAAGAGGTCTTGTCGAGCGGGCAACGGGCGTGGGCGGGGGGCATAGGAGGAGAAGACCGACTGGCAGGTTTAGATTTCGGCCGGAAGACGCATGCCAGCACTCACCTCAACCCATCCAGTCTAACGAGATCAGGGATGCGGCCGGAAATATGCTACCCCCTGAGGGACACTCAACTGGCTCAGGAGGACAGGATCAGCTGGCAGGTGCTGCTGGGAGTTCGCCTAGAGTCGTCAGGGAGCCCTTCATCCAGCCAATTCAAGCCAAAGCGACGAAGGATAGAGTAGGGGATGCGGAGTCATCCGGATGGTCATCACCACGTCCGTCACGGCAGGCAGGGCAGGATCGGCCGGCAACGACAGTCGGGATTTCCTCTACAGCCGTCAAGGAGCCCTTCGTTCGGCCAATCCAACCTAAAGAGACGCAAGATGGAGCAGGAGATAGACAGCCATCCGGACGCTTGGCATTACGGCCACCACGCCAGGCAGCGGTGGGAGAAGAGGATCGGCCGAGGCGAGTCGAGGCGGCGGCGAGATCTTCGCCGCCCGTGGAACAGAGGAAGAGGATCCGCCAGCCCGACCGAGACCAGCTCCCACCGAAACGTAGCCGAGTCGGTCATCGGAGGCAGAGGAGAAGTGAGCTACAGGCGGAAGATTTGGCCAGCGTCTTGCGTTACCTTGAAGAGGAATTTGCCGTCAAGGAGAGGCTATCCAACGAGCAAACCTGGTGCATACCAGTATCGGACGAGAGGAGGGTATCAACGGTGCGAGGCTTCTATCGGGCATTCCATGACGTAGACACGCTGCCGATACGGACGTGGTCAGAACACGATACTCAACATAGTCCTCGCCGTCAATATGAACGATAGTGCCCGCCGACACGAACTTTCCCGTAAATGGCCCGGTCGACTTCCGCCCATACTTGACGCCGTCGTGCATCTTGGCGTCCTCGGCATAGGCTTTCATGCGAAACGACTCCTTGCGAGCCCAGACCTTGTTGACGTGCTGCGTATCCTCTGACTCGTGAAGAAGCGTCCGTCCGTTGATGGCTGAAGCGGAGCCGCTATCGCA